ATATATCAACCCCAATATACTATTTTAGTAGAATGCACTAAAATAAAATAAAACTACATATTTTTATCACTACTTACATAATATGTCAGTAGGATGCACGATCACATATTTAGATGTTGGGCTCGGTTGAATCGAATCCGACCCGATAAAAAGAAATCCGATCCGATATAAATACCAAATGGATCTTGTTTTACGGTATTTTGGATTATGAGTTTTATCCGAACCGAACCCGAACTTAAATGGATATCCGAAAGAACCCGAAACTTTAAAATTTCAAAAAAAATTGTACCATAACCAATCTCAAATTTTAATATATTCTAATACACATTAAAATATTATTAAGTACCTACAATAATAGTTATTATGTGAATAACTAACTCAAATACTTAGTCTAATATATAGTTTTATTTGTTTAATATTAACGTTTATGTTTGACATTACATTTGAAGTTTAGTTACGAAGAAATTTGTTTTGAAGTTTAAATAATGTTGTTGTTTTTTAAGTTTAAATAGTATTTTACGTTTATAAAATTCTTAGTTGTTAACTTTACTTTTTTTCTTTAATTATGTAGGATTTTAGTTCATAAAAGATTTTGATTTGTCATTAATCATGATATGTTTAATGTTGTCACGTATAGTTCAAAGACAAGTCTTATATGGTTGATAGACGAGTTTCAAAATATTATTTGAATAACAATATTATAGTTTGAAGAAGCTAAATACAAAAATATATTAAAACGATTGAAAATATATTAAGTTTAATCGAGTATAAATTAGTATCTTTAAAACTGATAACCTGATTAGTATCCAAAACTGAAACTATTTTGGGTTCCATTGGATCTTGGACATGTTACTAAACCCGAATCGAACCCGAGATAACCCGAACCAAATCCGATCCAAATTTTTATAACATCCGAATGAAGCTGAAATTTTTGAATCCGAAATCCAAATAAACCCGAACCGAAATCCGATTGAGACCCCAATTGTCCAACCCTATTTAGATGATATCCTTTTAGTTTAGGATATTTGATATTGTATTCTTTGAAAAAATATTTTTAAATCTTTTAATTTTATGTATATGAATATAAACAAAAATTTAAAACAAATATTTGTATTTTCACTAAATTACATCTTTTTCTACATCACATTAAATTACATCTAAAATGTCAATGCAATACATTACAATAAAACATGAGCATGCGTCTTCCCCCACATGTACTGGGGTCTCAAAGCTTGTCCTCAACCTCTTCTTTAAATTCATTTAAAAAACCATCACACACCTTATATATTGTAAAATGTGAAGGATATGTCGTCGGAAAAGATAAATGTCTTTAATTTTTAATAGCCTTTTAGATTTTAGGATAAATTCGATGATAACTAACAACAAAAAAAGATTTGTCACACTACTACTCAAAACATTGTATTGATAAATGAAGTGGGGGGTGGGGGGAGGGAGTTGTTTCGTTTTGTTTGTCAATTTCTATTGGCCATACTCTTTGATATTGCGGTATTCACGTGATGATTATATCACGATTAATCTGAAATCTGATATCGTTATTATGAGAAGAAAACAAAGCCTTCACTACTGATTGCGATGCTTTCTTTGATATTTGCTTCTAACTACTTACTTGTTCTGTCCTCTTCTACCGACAGTCGACAATTTATTTTAGCCCCTATCGATTTTCTTAGTGAGTTAGCATTTTCGTTTGATTATTACATGTTTGGTCCACACCTCACAGCACAATCCTCTAGTTGGTCGATTCTCTCGTGGAGACATCACAACCACTGAAGTTATATATATAATATTATGTTGCATGTCATTCTAATATTATTTTAACTTGGTCCCACTCCCATCCATGATGATTCTGTCTGCTTACTGCTTAGAGTCACGAAGTTTGAGTTATTCTTTATTACTGTTAGAATATATGATTTTCTAATAAGTCACGAATGTTTTCATCAGTAATAGCTGCACAATCATAACTAATGTTCATCTTTTTACATTGATTATTTGTCATCTATCATTATTTCACATATAACTTGTTTAATTGCATAAAACATATCATGATTTGGATATGATTGTCGGTATATCGACGCCTGCTCTTTTATTAGTTTAATCAGGAGAGTTTAGCTGTACTTTTTGTCAACTAGATTGCATTATTATTTTTCCACATGATTATAGATTGGTATAACTGATGAATAGCAGCACTCTCCTGATCCAAGGCAACCATGCAATGTTTTGAGTACTAATGGTTGCCATTGCCTCGGATCATGATTATTTGTTTCCACATGATTCGGTTGCTATTCATTTCATTCATGAACTTTTAATTCAGGTGATTACATTCTGGTAGCCCTAGTTTAGCCAATGATGTTTTGCATGGATACAACCAATACTGCAAATTTGTTGCAATGTCAAACCAACTCTAACACATAATTCTCATCTTTTTCTTTTTTTTTTTTGAATGAATGTAAAATTTATTCAGTCAAAACGTTTTTACATCAAATGCATCTGTTTTTTTTGTCAATTATAAATCAACATATAAGCTCGCTATAATCAGGAACCAGTTCTTTCATGTTATTTACTCTTGTTTAGTTCCAAACCATATGAACCCCTCTTCAAGATACTTTTGTCCCTGTCCCCCTACCTGCCCCTTCACCAACAAAAGCTTGAGTCGGATTGTTTTGTCCACAAATTTGATAATGCAACTCGCAGGCTGTGGTTGCTCACCATGTCTTCGAGCATTTCTGTCACTCCATAAAGCATGGACTGTTGCTTGGAGGGTGTATCGTATGAGGAAAGTCTTTGTGGCCGTCATCTTAACCCAGTTTACAATTTAAACATTTACTTCGAATAAGCATTTGGCTCTATGTGAAAATCTCTGATTTGACTTTTTCACCTCGTTTTCGTTTTATTAGAAAGAAAAAAACAAACAAATGGCCCACTTTTGTATTATATGATTTTGCCTCGTTCCAAAAGAAAAGCAAAAGTTGTCCTTATTGACAAAAGGATGAAAGAAAGAGTAAAGATTTTCACTTATTATTTTGTTCAGCCTGAAATGATAATAGAACTTAGAAGACCCACTCATTCTCTACTTTTGAAATCCTTCGAAGTTGATTAAAAAACAACCGACAGAGAGAGAAAAAATCATCAAGTAGGTTTTCAATACCTTGCAACAAAAGTAAGTGCAAGTGAAGAAGAAAGAAAACACACCATGATCAAATTATCTGTAGTAGCGTCTCTGTTTATTTCTTATAACGCACAACAACGCCCACAAGAATCTAAGTACATCAAAAGAATCATGATGATGATGATGATGATAAATAAGAAGAACAAGTAGAAGATGAAAAAGGAAAAATAAACACCTCCACACAAGAATTAAGCATACAAGTAGAAAAAAAGGTCTCACCAAATTTGAGTTTTTTTTTCTCAATCAAAGAATTCCCAATTGAACCTTGGTGGGATGGCATGATTATTTGCTGTATTCGAGCTCAATGGAGTAGTCGTCGCGGTATGATGATCAAATGTTTCCCATTTAGTAGAAGAATCCATAGGATTTGGTCCTGCTTCTGAGTTTCTAGGCTCCTCCTCAATCTCATGCTTCTTTTGTTTGTAGTTTATAGGCATGTCCATAAGTGATTGTATCGGTTTCTGTTCTTGAATCGTTGCCAGTCTCTGACGACTAGACTGTTTCTGCTGCCCATTAGCCATAGAGTTCTTCACCTTCAAAACATCAAGTGTTTCCACATAGTTTTGCACTCTCGTCACCTACACACATATATAAAACAAACATTACAACTAAAAAGTCTAAAACTAACCAAAAAAACCGTTACCAAAGAGGATTGTGCATAATACCTGCATCTTTCTTTGTAACTTGACATCTCCTTCAGCTATAATCCCATCCAACTTAATCAACTCATTCATCAACAACTCAATCACCGTAACAAGATCTTTCTCCGCAACTTTCCCTCCTTTTTTAATAACCATCTCAAACGCCGAAACCTACAAAACGCAAAACACTTTCAAAAAACTCGTCCAAAAATCAAAATAAAAGAAGAAAAAGAAGAGAGAGCATCATTACACGTCCTCCGAGCCTGTCAACTTCGAGGCTAATATCGGAAATCGCTTTAGACGCCTTTTCGGTTTTGGCGATCTTCCTCATCTCCAAGAAACGTTTCTCTTGGCTAATCGGGTCCTCGATAAGCACCATCTTGGATTTATCTTTCACTCCCGAAACGTCAAGAAAGGCCTTTGAGTCTCTTTCTTTGTCTTTATACATTAGCTTCTGGTCTTGATGGTGAATACCCGTTGGTCCACTCAACATCTTCTTTAGCTCCCCTGTATCAACAAAATATGATTTCAAATTCGCATAACCACACAAGCATTGATCTCTTAAAAAATGGGTTATGTGAAGAGACTAACCAAATGAAGCATGAGGACTAATACTGATCTCATGGTAGACCGAACCAAACTTGACTCTGACTCTAATCATCGGTGGCGGTTTAGCTCCGACAGGATCCGAGTCCGGGTTCCTTTTCTGAACCAACATTCCTCCCGGTCTCATCTCCCAATCATGACCGCCTGACTCCCTGCCGCCACCACCGCCACCACCGGCGCCGGAGACTCTGCCGCCGTTAGTCGCCGGGAGATTTGTCGGTTTGTTTCTCAACATTTTTGCTGCTGTCTTTTTCTCTCAACTTTGTTTCAACCAACCAAAAGGAAAAGAGGAAAAGAACGGATCTGAAGATCTTAAGTATCAGAAACAAGACAAAGGCATTGGAGACAGAAGAAGAATGTTAGACGAACTCTGGGACTTGGACATCATCAACATGACTCCATACCCATTTCGCCACGTGTCTCAAGAGGATCAAAGCAGTGACCTTTCTGATCCACAAACCACTCCAAACAAACTCTTCTACTTCTTCTACTTTGACTTCACAGATCTCCTTTGTCCGGGAAGACAATCTAGAGTTGAAATGAACCTTTGTTTTCCCGAGAAAATCTCAAAAAGGCATCTGGATTCTCTGTTCGAGTTTGTAGTTTCAGAGAACCAGTTGGGGAAAAAAATGGAAGAAATATTAATTATTTATAAAAGAATGGAGAATAATAACGAGTGGCCAGCTAATATGTCATCTCTCTTTGTGCCGCCTGTGACTTATATGTCACACATATACTTACACTTAGTTATGTCTATATATATTTTGTTTTGTCTTTGACCTTTCCATTATTTCCTATATTTCCCAAGAGTTCCAGAATTAATGTCTTGAAAATTTAGAATACATCAAGAAATGTTTAAAACTTTTTATGCATAACTTTATGGGACTTACATTACTTTATATATTTTTAAATTATAAAGTGGATTTCAAAAGGGCAATTCTCTAGAATATATATTTTTAAATTTTATCACAAATTAAAATGATCAAAATAACAATTTTTATTTTAATTTTTTTTTTTTTAATTAGAAATCTTATCCCAAAATATCACTCTTCATCGCTGAACAAAAATATCTAGAATTAGTTAACCTAAAGGACATAAGTGTATATTTATTTATTTTTTAAATATTTAAGTTATTTTGGTAATTTTTATTTTTAAAGTCGATATTTGTGACAAAAACTTTTTGGGTGTATCCTAAAGAATTTCTCATTTTGAAATTAAATCTGTAAAACAAATGTATAATAATGAGTTACAAAATTTAGAAATTATTATATAGTTTTAGAATATTTTAAGTCTTCAATATAACTCATAACTTTCATAACCTTACCCCTAAGTTCAATGTTTATATCCTTTTGTAAAAAAAAAATATGGGCACCAAATAATTATATGAGCACGGAATAATTTTCATAGATATTGACATAATTAAAATAGTTGATTATTTAGAATGTAACTGGTAAATAAATGGCATAATTAGGTGAAAAAAAATAAAAATAAATAAAAAGTAAAAACTAGAGAATATGTATTACTCTAGTTTCGTTTTTATTTTAATACGGAAATAGTTCATTTTCACTTGATTGCTGAAAAAAATCGGAATGGACGAAAAAAATTCAAATTCAGAATAAATTAATATTATAAAAACTTCTCTAAAAAATTCTCTATTTTAGAGTTTTAAAAATTCTATATTTGAAGTTTAAAAATATTTTTGTTCAAAAATAAAACTTCATATTTTTTATATTATATATTATATTTTTATATTTGTTATAACTAATTCAAATTCATAATAGTTTTATAAATAACTAGTACATATATCAAAATATTGTAGCAATATTAATTAATAAAATTCAACACTAAAATATAAAATTATAAATAGAAATATATAATTAATATTAAACTACAAACAAAATTCCACATTAACTCTTAATATTGTTGTTCTCTAGTTTAGTTTTAAAGTATTTTAAATCTTATCTTAATGTTTATTTTAATATGTTTAAAATAAATTTTTATAAAAATAATTTTGAAACATTCATGAGATAAAAAGCTTAAGGATTAAAACGATAATCAACAAAATATCTAAGAATCATAAATGTAATGTATTATTGTAAAGACCAAAACTCAAATAAAAATATGAAATTTTGAATTTTAAATTTTGAATAATGATACTCCATATTGAAGTTTCATTATTTCAAAATTTCAAATTTTAAATTTAAAAAAAGAATTTCATATTTTGAATTATAAAATGTATTTTCGAAATGCTTAATGTTTAGAATCAGTTGGGATAAAATACTCGCTTGATATCTTGGGGACTCTCCGTTCCACCAGGTTGTGTCTTATACTCTACTGCAATTGAATCACATAGTCATTTGTTTTTTGAGTGTTCTTTTGCTGTTGCTACTTGGAATCATTTTTGTGGCAGGTACTGGCGTCTCCACCGACTTCTTTGGATGCGGTTGTTGATTTATGCCGCAGCTTCCAAGGACCCCATGCTCAACGTGCGGTGATCATCCTAAAGCTTATCAGTCAAGTCATCATTTACAATCTTTGGCACGAACGGAATACCCGCATTTTTCGAGCCACTGCCTTATCCCATGACGGTTTCTTCAGAGTTGTTGATCGTGGTCTGCGCGATAGACTGCTCTCCCCTTCTCTGTTATCTTCTTCCTCCCCTTCCCTGCTTCATTTGTACTTTTGGTTCATTTCCCCTTTTAGTTAAGCTATTATCTCTCTTTCTATTCTCCTCCTATAATAAGTTGTGCTCCACAACATTGTAAAACCTTAAAAAAGCGGTATAAATCTTAACATTTAGACCAAAAAAAAAAAAAAAAAGTTGGGATAAAATAGCTCCATCTCAAAATAATTTCACTCCACTTGGTGAGAAAACAAAGAAAAGCTGTTTCTCCATAAAACTATTTATTAAGAATTAATAGAAAAACAAAACATATTAATACATAAACAAAAATTTATCACCAACTCATCTTATATTGGGAAAATGTTATATACGAAGTAGTGCATGTAGACCAATATAGGATGAGTTCGTCCTGTCGTCCACGTGTACTGGCTATTAACATTTTGGGAAATTAATCTTTGGATCCAATCATTGACTCGTGAACTACTGTGCATCGGTCTTCACAATCACAAAAACATGTGGCTCTTGTCCTGTCGACACGTGTCCGTGTTCGACGGCGAGTCATCTGGTATCGCTTGATTTCATTGTGCTCATGTCCCAGTTATGAGCTAACCAAACGAAATGAGTTTAGGTCCTCGTTTTTTTCTATTAATTTCTATTTTGAAACTACTTACAAATCGACTTGTGTCATATTTTCTTGCACGCTAATCATATTTTAATTTGGTCGTTAACTTAGGAGTATTTCTTTTTGCATTGTATGTTATGTAGCTGTTATTGTTTGACTAATTCAGTATTAACAACATATTTTCTTTTTATTGCGAAATAAACATGTCTTTTGACAAAGAGTTATTCGTAATGCTGCCATAAATAAAACACTTAGACTAAAATATGTGATTGGTACATCAGCTTTGATTTAAGATTGGCTCATTATATTGGCATTTTATCAAAACCCATTACTGAGGATCTCATGCTTTGTCTCCGATACGAATGTTCGAGTCATGTGCATATTTTTGTTTGCACGGGCCATTATCCATAAATTTAAACTTACAACTAGATTTTGACCCACCCGCGCTTAAAAGCGCGAAAATTTTTTATCATTAAAAATTTATATAATTGGGTTTTGTCTTAATTTAAAGAATATTTTGATATAAAATCAGTTCACCAAAATTTGTGGTGATGATTGTTTTTCATTAGTTTTTAGTTTCAGTTTTTATTTTTATTTTTTTGTTTTTGGTTTTTAGTTTTTAAGTTTCTACTTTTCATTTTCAGTTTTTGGTTTGGGTTTTTAATTTTTAAACCGCTGAGTTAGTTTGAACTAATATTACCAACAAACAAATCTCAAATAATCGAACATCTAATTTAAAACTGAAAAGATGATAACAAATTTTTTTAAAAAAATTTGAAATAGTTTATTTTGTAAATAAACAAAGCAAAAAAATATAACATGTGTTTTCAGATTTTTGTTTTGGATTTTAGTTTTTAGATTTGGTTTTTGGTTTTGCTTTACATTTTTTTAATCAGTAAATTATTTAAGAAAAATAAAACAATAAATTATTTAAAAGTTAACATTGAAATTTATCAAAACAAAGTGATTGTTATTTAAAAAACAAAAATATTAACATGTTTTAAAGTAAATGATTTAAATAAATGATTAATAATAGATAATTTTGTTTTGTTAAAAATATTAAATATTTTTTGGGTCTGAAATAATAATTGATTTTTTGATCTTTTAATGTGAAAAGTTTATTCAATGTTTTTGGAGTTTTTTCTTAATACTAAGCCAAAAAACCAAACTATATAATTTGTTCAAAAAATAAAAGTAAGCCAATACTATATTCCATAAATAACCACTGGTTTAATTTAAGTATAATTAGTAGATTTACATATTCCATATTTTGATGATATATATTCTTCTAGAACATTCTATATTTGTAGGAGAAAATATGTGTTTTTGATATACACATAGATATCTGCCGTATTTTGAAGGTAGTTTACATTAAGGTCGTCTCTATACATTAATTGTATTGGTTTAATTTAAGTAATACGGTTCAATTTAAGTAATACGGTTCAATCAATTATATGATTTATATTGTTTGTAACATTTTAGAAAGAGTCTAAATTTAAATGACAATTTGTATCAGTAGATAAAAAGAATGACTCTATTTTAATAGAGTAGATGTGAATAAAATTCTCAACTATAAGCTATGCGAATAAAAAGACAATATGCATGGTTGTATTTTTAGACCACAACAAAAATATCTAAAAGCAAAGGTAAAAATCTATGCTTTATCAGACAAAATTCTATGATTTATATAAATTTTGTAAAGAAGATTTCGACAAATGTATGAGGTAAATAATATGATACAAAAGTATTTAAAAATAAATAAATCAGAATATCGCTTTTTGAGTTTGTACTTTTTATCCTGTCTTCCCTAGTCATCAGTCTGATTATGGAACGTGCAGCCACCGACACTTGCGCCACGTGCAAACTCACACGCACACAAGTTCCGAGTGGGTTGTTCCTCTGCTTCGCGTTATTTTTATGCTGACGGTGCGCCCTGATTTCACTTCGCCGACGCTGAATATGGCCGGTGCTTGGATTTATTCAACTCTTTCTTAATTTTATGTTCTTAACTACTCATTACCTAACCGACCCTTTATTTTATTGATTAGTTATTGAGTCTAGTAGTATTAACAACATTTTAATATTCATTGGAATCTTTTACTTTTCTCGCAATGTATGCAGATTCTTCTTAATTTTTGTCATTGATATAAACAAAACGCAGTTGAGTATAGACATTTTACCAACTGCTTATTATTATATACAATACCGGGAAGAGAGGGCATTGTATATCTTAATACTTTTGTAACTTATATTTGGTACATGAGTTTTCTAGTAACCCTGATTCGTTTTCATATACAGTTTGATCTGCTATATATAGAGGTCAAACTTCCAAATGCGTGTATAATGTGTGTTGTGTTTCACACTATTAACGGATTAGGTTTTTGGCCATTTTTAATTAATTAATTAAGCCATGTCGTATTGGACTAACCGGCTAACTAATCTGCAGGTCATAATCTATTTGGTTAGGCTTTGTTTTCACTCAACAAACCTAAGAAATAATAGTAAGTTTGTCTATCATCCCATATATGTGTTTGGTTTGAATTTCGTCAACACCTAGCGCCATGAATAATTTAGTTTATAGACTCTTGTAATGTTAAATATATTTTAGTTTTACAAAAATCATTTAACATTATTTATATATTAAACTTCATATTTATTGGTCCGACTCTACAAAAACCCAAACAATTCGATGAATGATCGTAGATATAAGAAGAATTTGCGGATAATGATGACATATGGTGTTAAAAGACATAAGACTTTCTCTATTCATTTGCATGATCTTTGATCATGATCCGAAGCATGCAAGTCATTATCGATCATAAGAGTTCCAGAGTATTCATACGAAGACGAGACTCATGCGTAAATCTTTGACATCTTTCGCACATGCCAGAAAATGATATGACCAAATTAAGCCACTGATTTTTCCTTAATATTTCATGACAAGTTAAACTACTATGTCTGAATCACCAATTACATTTAATTGAATCCAGATAAAATTGATATTTAATGTATACCTTTGCAGTGTATGTTGCAGTTCCATATTAAAAACATGATTTCAGTATGTTTTGAAAATAGTAAACTAAAATGAAAAATTAAATGTTTTTCAATTGGTAATTTGCTAGGTTTGCTGGCTAGGAAAAAAAAATCTTATAAATAATAATTATCTAGCTGAAAAATGCACATGCAGTTTTAAAATCATATATTAACAGTAAACGCAATGTATGCCAATCCATGTTACATGAATGACCACTATATCAACGTGAGGAAATGGAGATGAAAGAGATGCTATTATGGACAAAAGAGAAGCAAACGCAGAAACGACTGGTACAAAACACTTATAAGAACATCCTAAGTCCTAAACACAGCCATATCTAATAATGAAAGGTGCAAGATACAGCAAGAGCCGTTGATCTTGATTCCAAAAAGCATGATCTTTGTTTCTTAGCTACACAAGCTACTTAAATACATATACAAGACTGTGCAACGTACTTATCACACTCGACAGTCTCATGTGACAAATCATCGAATCTTCCAAAACATTCTTACACAATCGACCTGTTTTAATTTGGCTTATACAAACATGTATCAAGATGTTCATGAAAACATTTAGTTATGTCTGCTAGAGTCCCACAAGAACTATGATACAGATGACACCATACACTATACTCATAACATTAATCATTATGGCCAACGGTTCAAAGACATTGTTAATGGTCCGGGGGTAGCATGATGTGTCTTGTCTGAGTCTCTGTCTAACATTGATATTAAACCTAGGTTTTTGGGTGTGTTTCGGTTTGGATAGTATAGGTTATAAATCGAGTTTTGGAAAAATAGTTCCCAAACAAGACCGGATTTTATTTAGGCTTTGGTATAATTTTTTGTTAGGTTTAGTTCAGTTTTGGTTAGAAAATAAATTATAACAAGAAATTAAATATTAATTGGTTATGTAGACTTTAGTATAATTAATTTGAATTTATTATGTAGGTATTTATTAAAACTTTTTTATTTTAATTGAATTTCGGTTAATTAGAAACTAGTTAAGATAATTCAGTATAAAATTAATATCCGCTCATTTTATTATAAATTTAATTTGGAGTCAAAATAGTGAAGTTAGTTTAGTTATTTTGTCTGTCTAAAAAGCTGTTTTGTTCTTGGTCGATTGAACCGATACAACCATTAATTAAATTGGAATACTCAAACGCAGAACGATACAAAACTAACGAAAACCGCCTTTGAAAATAATAACACACCCAATTGGGTTTATTCTTACAAGGCTCGAGTAATTATTAGAGTATGAATTAAAAGCCCACGTAAATGGAGTAGTATGCTAACGTAATGGGCCGTAAAATTAGGGGTCCACCGTGAGAATAGTATAAATACTCGTGTCTCATAACCTTTCTTCCCTAACTGCCGCCGTCAGAACAACTTTTCCTCTTGATTCCAGATCTGTATCGCTATCGCTCGTGAATCAGGTATTTTCCTCTGCATGTTTATTTATTTTCGAAAGTACGGTAGCTTTAGTGTGTTCTTATCTCTTCAAACTTTTCTTTCCTGTATCTGATCCGATTTTTCTGAGTTAAGTAGATTCAAAGAAGATTTTGATAGTTTTTAACAGTTTTCTGAGATTTTCTTGTTTTGTTTCCAAACTTTGTAAAAACCCATATTGTAAGATAGATTGTTAGTATAAAACTTTGATTTTATACACACTGATTATTCATGTCATCTGACAACTATCTTCTTAAAAGAATCAGCTTGTATTAAAACAAAGTTTTATACTGATAAACTGATTTTATGAATTGGGTGAAATTTTATATTTGATAAAATCATCTTTTGTTTTTACTATGATTACAATTTGAATTATTGTTATATCACATGTGATTAAAGTGATGATTAATCCACTTTTGGACTGAATCACTTTCACTTGTAAGATTTACTTGCAATAGGACTACAAATGTTATATAGATGGAGTGACTAGTTTGCAAGGTTATTCATGACAACAACAATATGAATTCTTCAAAATTTGATGCTAACTCTTGCTATCTAGTTTATGTTTTTAACTTTTCATCTTAGTTTCTTGATTTTGTTTTATTTTTTTAATTTTTTATAAAATTATCTAAAATGTTAATGGTTATACAATTTCCTTTCTCTGTAAAACTCTTCAAAATGATAAGCCAAAGAGATACTCTCTTAAACATATCCCTCCTCCATTACATATGTTTTCATTCGAACTCAATGTATGGTACAAATTTAATTGTGCAGTTCCTCCTAAAAACAAATGGCTCAAACAATCTTACCTTTCAAAGTTGGAGACACTCTTGAAGTAAGATCTTTTGAAGGGGGATATCGTGGAGCTTGGTTTCGATGCCAGGTAATGCATCTACACCCCACTTCTTCAAGAAAGTAACTTAGTAATCTTTAAAAAGATCTACTTAGTATATTTAAAGTCTTTGTATTTTGCAATACATCACTTACATCATCTACACCCTAATTCTTTACTCACTCTATCATCAAGGTGAATGGTTGGATGGATGAGCCTATCAAAATGAATATATGTTTAAGCATGTAGCATCTCTAAGTTTTCTTTTGAACAAATACTAATCTTTCAAAAAAAATTCACTTTACTAACTTGAGGCAAAATTGATGAGTGAAATCCAATTAATACAAAACCGGTGATTGTTTTCTTAGTCTCTTTCAAAAGCACATATTGTTGGAACCTTGTTCCCCTTACTAAATGCACATCTAGGTATAACTTTTCAAAGAAAGTTATCAAATAAACATGTGTTGAGTTTGACATCTCCCTGTTGTCAACTATATTTATGGATTCAGTTTGGTTTCAAAGACCTAGAGAAACTGCTTTCTTGCTCTTGTGAGAGAGATTGTTGTTATAGGAAGAGTAGAGGAGTTTGCTCTGAGTGTTTGTTTCCTTGAATCTATTTTCCCAAAGAGCTCTTTCTCAAAGAGATAAACTGCCATTCTAGAGAGATAATTGCTTTTCTGGTGATCTGGAGAGAGAATTTCCTCTCCTGCCAACTCGGGTATTCTTAAGAGAGAACCTCTAATTAGTGATCTATGGTTTGATGTCACCAGAAATTTTCTCTCCTGCCAACTGTATTTATGGACTCAGTTTGGTTTCAAAAACCTAGAGAAACTGCTTTCTTGCTCTTGTGAGAGAGATTGTTGTTATAGGAAGAGTAGAGGAGTTTGTTTTGAGTGTTTGCTTCCTTTAATCTATTTTCCCAAAGAGCTCTTTCTCAAAGAGATAAACTGCCATCCTAGAGAGCTAATTGCTTTTCTGGTGATCTGGAGAGAGAATTCTCTCCTGCCAACTCGGGTAATCTTAAGAGAGAGACCTCTAATTAGTGATCTATGGTTGATGTCACCGGAAATTTATCCCCGACTTTCTTTGCCTATGCCCTATAGAGCAGTCTACTACAAGATCTAGTTGGAGAGGTTCTGGTACGAGAGGACTGGGTTAGGCCAAAGTCGATGATAGCCAAGCCTTGTAATGAAATCCAAACATGGGACTCCTTGTGGAAACCAAACCAGCCTGTGCCAAGTTACTATGTGTCTGTGTAACCTGATGAAATCCCATGCACATTTGAGACGTACCAATCACCACCATCTGTGTCTTCTATTTTCCTCCAGAAACTTCCATCCATAACGTTTTCCTCCAAATTGAGCGGGAAGGTTTTTATGGAGTGAACTAAAGCCTGAATATGGTGGTCATGACATCTGCGAAATCTCTCATCTCCATCAACAAAAACACCACATATCTTGGCATCCCTCCCATAGTTTATGTGTGCCAAACTCACCCACAATATCAATCAGTCGACCTTGTGGATGCCACAAAACAATCCAGAATATCATTGTGAATCAAGCTTGAACATTCACGCGAATGAGTTGCATTGTAAGCGCTCCATGCCTCAAAGGCTTCCTCCAAACCCAAAAACCTACTATAGTCTTTGGCGTCCGAAAATGTTTCATGCTTTAGCATGTACTGCTGCACCCATGCAACCCAGGGTGAAGCCTGATAAAATGGTCTCCTCCACACCTTTGACTCCCAAATCAACTTCCTCATAAAGTCACATGTCTCAAGCAATTTGGCTCTAGATATTTGGAGAACCTCTCCACTTGAAAGCTGAACACATGCTCTCTATTTCATAAATGCATGCTTAGGTAGTTAAAAAGCTGAGCATCAGAAATTTGTGGCAATGATCGACTTGATAAGTTTCAGTCTCGTAGCATATGATAAAGCCTTACTCATCCAGCCTAGAACCTGGGTAGAGATTTTCAATATCAAAGATTCGTCATCACTCTTTGTCATAATCTTAGTGACGAGAAAAAAGCCAAGGTACTTGATAGGCAAAGCAGAGACGGAGAGTCCTTCATGATCTGCCTCACGCCCAAGTTTGTTTTATTTACAAATTTGGGGGTTAGAGATGAATGTTTCATCCGGCTTTGCCCATGACCGGGCCTGAATCTATATTAAGAATCTCACAACATCCCTTTTTATTTAAAACTAATGTTCTCTTTCTAATATTTGAGATGCTAGCTTGTTATCAGATATAAACATATGTTAACAGCTTTGTTTTTAATGGTTCATCAGATATTAAACATTTTCACGAAGGAGGAGAATTTGTTCTACAGCTTGAAGTATCTTGATTACGATGGGGAAGGTGAGTTTTATCATCCTCTTTTGCACACTGTTTTTATATGTTTAACTAATATTATAATATTCTCACAATATTTTGTAATGTCTAAGCGTGTGTTTAACTTTTGAAAATCTAATATGGTACAGAGATACATCACACACAAGTCTATCAAAGGTTTGAAGATGAGGAAAAAGAGTGGCTGATGGTTCGACCACCATATCCACCAGTTTATTATGAGCGCCAAGTCCGTAAAATCGAGGCTGATCAAGCACCTCTTGTTGTCGTTTATGGCTCTTGGAAAGTAGGAGACTTGGTTGATTGGGAGACAGATGGCTGTTTCTGGTGTGCAACGGTTGTGGAATTGCAGAGAAATGCGTTACAGGTACATAGGAAACCAGATTGATGTTGTGAAGTTGTTTGTTATCCAGTTCATGTTCTTCTTGCCCTTTGGCCACTTGAGTTAAATCTGATTAATGATTATATTCTTTCTTTGTTTTCTAAGTGGAACTGACAGTTGTGTATGTGGCAGATCGAGTTGTTGCCACCACCACTTGGTGAAGGAGATACTTATCCAGCTTTGCGTAAGGACGTGCGTCCAACTTTGGATTGGTCACCTGAAGATGGCTGGACACTGCCTTCGATGGTTAGCTTCTCTTATACGTGATTTTCATTTGTCATAGTTTGCTCATTTTGTTTGGTCACGTGGTGTTGTTGTAGGGTGGACACAAAAGTCAAAGTGTTAAGCTCGTGAAACGTGAGAAAGGAGGTTAGATTTGTTATTTATTCTCTTATGTTTGCTTGGTTTTCAAAATTCATTTGGTTTTTCTTTCACACTTGTTTTACAGTAGACCATGTAACTCAAGATGTTTGCCAATCTGGAAAAGAGCATGCACAGATAGCCAAGAAGCAGAAGACAGAGAGAGCCAAGAAGCAGAAGATAGAGAGAGACACACAGCTGAAGACAGAGAAATCCAAGAAGCAGAAGACGGAGAGCGACACACAGCTGAAGACAGAGAGAGATACACAGCAGAAGACAGAGAGAGAGACACAGCTGAAGACAGAGAGAGACACACAGCAGAAGACAGAGAGAGACATGCAGCAAGTGAAAGGCAATGGAGAGATTCAACTAAATATCGACGAGTCGGATTCAGTTGAAGCTGCAGTTTATGACTTGGAAGAGCTTATCGTTCGAATTGAGTGGATAAAAAAGATGCTAAGCCCAGATGTTGGAGAAGGTTCAACGTGGAAATATCAAGATTACCGCCCATCTTCCAAGGGAATGTGATATCATAATGGTGTGATAGGTTTGTGATCTTTTTAATGTTTTCTTGTGTTTACATGACCAAGATCTTTAAGGTTGTACTAATGTGAGCTAGTGACTATAGAGAAATTGGAACTTTAGTGTATTGTTTTTGTATTCTTTACTTCTCTAATTGTATTTTGTTTAAATTTTTCAGGTTTAGCCGTTAGGAGTTGAGACTGCTAGTGAAGTTCGATGAAGAAAGCGTGAGCAAAATGGGAAAAGTAGAGTTTTGTGCAACACCAGAAAAGACTTAATGATATGACGTAGGCTGTGTATATGTTTTTCCAAACGCCCTAGGAATGCTAATGACAATTTTCATCTTTGGATTTTAGTTGGAAACGATTGTAATTAACCTTTTTATTTGTTTAACGGAAGAATGCACTCTTATAATTTTTTTTGATTAACTATAGAAAAGTTTAAATTAATCTCTAAAGAGAAGGTTGACAAAAAAAAAAAAAATCTCTAAAGAGAAGTGTAGTTTACTGTTACACATTTTTTTGGATATGTAAAAAGGTTGTACGCAAAGGTTTATTTTGTTAAGAAATAATGTGACTTACTTTTCATGTAGTAGGTAAATTGAATCTGGAATATGTTGAGATATCAAACTTGTCTCATTACAATTCTACTAGGTCCAGACTACATTCCTATAATTAAAACATTCATGAATCTAAAACGTTATGAACAAAACTCGAATGAATAACCTTAAACACTTGGATGGATAATCTGAGAATAGCTCTAAATCTTAGATGATTTTTTTGTTAATTCTTTTTTTAATGAAATTTTAAATTTATTGATCATCAAAACAGAATTATATGTACAAAGCCTAAACGTGTATAGTATAAAGAGTAAAATCAAACCCAAAACATCAAGTGGTATAGGCTTCAAACTATCATGCCATCAAACCGTGCAGCTTCGGCTTTAGGGAGTAACCAGTACAAGTAATACGATTCTGGATCGCTTTGTCCACCATCCTAGCAATGTGATCAATCAACTTTGAGATGTGTTGTGCTCCCAATCATTTCGCTCACGCCAAATGTAATAGATCGTAACTTGCAATGCAAGTCGCAGAAGGATGAGGGTAAGTTTATCATAGGTTCCCGTTAAAAGGCACATCGTGGTGGTATCCTAGCAGGATCCCCTTCCAAAGTGTAAGGACATGCGAAAAATAATTGGTCCTTTGTCTCATCCCGGCTCACCACACAACCCTTGACCCCATTGACTTGTGTTATGTCCTTTTGACAGCCTATATATGATAGCCAGCCATGTAATGAAAATCAAAACGTGGGACTCCTTGTCAAAACCTGATACATCTTGGAAATCACGGTTGGCAAGATGGGTGATGGATCGACCAAAAAGATGATCGGATAGGCGATAAGATGGAAATGCAAGTTTTAAACCTGAAACAAATGCAAACAAATGAGATGCGGTTTACACTAAGAAAAAAAATAGATAAATAATCAAAGGATAGGATGGAATCAGGCCGCTGGACGTGTGTCTCTCTCTACCTGATCAAGAGATGATCGAAGTGGAATGAGATGGTGTTTTGCTTGTTGGATGTGTATCACTCTCAAGCTTGGCAGTTGAATGGAATGGACGAGATGGATTGATAGACACCACAAAAATCTATGAAAATGATCTTTGATAAGACTGGATGCTCAAGAGCTTCTTCTCACACCCCCAAAAGATTTAGAACAATAACTTTGAGAAAACTAGAAAAACTGCATATTCATTCATGAAATTCAAAGTAGGGTAAGGGTTTACAATGATGGGCGACTGGAGCTTACAAACTCTCCTAAAGGACTCTAGACAAGACCAAACAGTCATAAATAATACAAAGAAAGAAAAAAACTTGAAAATAAAGTTTAGTCTTCAATGGAAATGATCTTGGAGGAATATCACCGTTGGAATGGGATTTGCTTGGCCATAAATGGGGAACTTGATTCCTTTTGAGTCTGGACGATTTGAGAGGATATGAAAGCTTCCTTGGAATCTTCTTGGCTGGATAGGTGCTGATTTCGTGTCTAGGTTGACAAGGAAGTAGTTGTTGGAGTTTTATAGGTAAAGACTCCAAATGTGGCAAGTTGGAGCAGGAGTAGATCCGCCTGATCCACTGGATGATGGTGCATTGTAGACTGTCTTGTATGTCTTCTGGTTGGTCTAGAGTATCTCCAGGCTTCCACAAACATTTTTGGGTCGGACCAAATTGAATTGGCTGAAAGCTCTCCATGAATAATATCAGTTTGGCCAATTGATGCAAATCGGATCGACCTTCTGGTTCTATTGGGATCCACCTGATCCAGTATACCCTGGTGCTTTTAAAGATGTTTTGGAGTGCCTTTGAATGACTTATAAGGTCGTCTGATCGCCATTCTGAAGTTTGGTTTGATGTGAATCCTGAATCTTCCAAATAAGGTAAGTGCAGAACTGGTTTGGTTGGTTTTGAGAAATTGATTATATCTTCCAATTTCCTTGACTATTTTTCGTGATCTTGGGCATTATGGATAGCTTATAAACTCCTCTTGAATTCTAAAATTGGATTGGTCTCAGGCCGCTTCTTCATTGCGCTTGAATATTCTTCTAAAGTCTGGTACTCGCAGATGAATGAGCCTTGGAACCTTCGTTTCGTAAAATTAGTATCTTCCTGGTCCAAGTAGATTTTACGACGATTACAGTTGGTATTGAAACCTCCTTGAGTGTAAAATCCATGAAAATTTGTTTCATGGTGAAAATCCTTCTGGTTTAAAATATATGGCCTTTTAAGTGCACATACATCCTGGTTGGTGCCTTAGTTGGTTAAGTGGAGTGTTGGGTGAACCTCCGATTCAGCTACTGGTATGATGGCCACATCAAAATCAAAACAGCTTGTGCCAAGTTACTTGTTTTTGCGAGACCTGATGAATCCCATGTCACATTTGAAGACAAACCTATCACCATATGTGTTTTATATTCCTCCATCCATAACGTTTTCCTCCAAATTGAGTGGGAAGGTTCTTATGTTGTGAACTAAAGCCTGAATATGGTGGTCACGGCATCTGCGAAATCTCCAATCTCTATCAACAAGAACATCACATATCTTAGCGTTCCTCCCAATACTCAGTTTATGTGTGCCTAACTCACCCACTATATCCATCAGTCGACTTAGTGGATGCCACAGATCAATCCAGAATATCACTATCAATCCATCCTAAATATTCATGCGAATAAATTGCACTGCAAGCGCTTGATGCCTCAAAAGCTTCCTCTAAACCCAAAAACCTACTATAGAGTCTTTGGCGTCCCAAAACGTCTCATGCTTTAGAAAATACTGCTGCACCCATACAACCCAAAGGCGTCGAAGGCTGAGAAAATAGTTTCCAAATAAGCTTCAACAAAAATACAGTTTTAACCTCCTTCACACATCTGACTCCCAAACCACCTTTCTCATAAGGACAACAGACGATATCCCAAGCAATTTTGGCTCAAGAAGTGATATTTGGAGAACCACTCCACATGAAAACAGAACACATGCTCTCTATTTCATATACGCAGGGGTAGACAAAAAGCAGAGCATCAGAAACTTATGGCAATGATTGACTTAATAAGTTGCAGCCTCCTAGCATAAGAAAAAGCCTTACTCGTCCAGCATAGAAACTAGGTACAGATCTTCACTATCAATGGTTTGTAGTCACTCTTCGTCATAATCTTATTGGTGAGAGGAAAGCCGAGGTACTTGATAGGCAAAGCAGAGACAGACAGTCGTGCATGATTTGTGCATGATTTGCTTCACGCTCAAGTGCTTGTTTGCCCATACCTGTTGCAAAAACTGTTGATTTCACTACGTTGATCCGGAGCCCTAACATAGTAGCAAACTCCTCAAACACACTAAGTGTACCTTGAAGTGAAACCGGTGTTCCATCAGTAAAATCATAATGTCATCATCAAAAGTCAAGTAGGATAAATTGACTTTTATACACTAAGGGTGATATCCAATTTTCCCGTCAACAACTGCCTTGTTCATTAGCTTGGAGAAAACGTTACTTTGACATAGATGTATGGAGAAAGAAAGCAGCCCTGCCGAACACTCGAATATCGCAAGAGCTTGAGAAAAAAAACTTCCAGTTCACCATTAACTGTCACTGAAAAAGCTGATGTATATATACACCTCAGAGTAGCAAACTATAAAATGTAGGATCATGAAAAGAGATTTGACCAATAACTTTTCGAATGTAAAATAGTGATCACACACTATTCTAAACTAACAAAGAAAGTCCTCATAGCATGAGACGAAGAAGTCCAACCCCCTAATTATCAACGGCATAATTATAATGCAAACGATATTTCAAAACATTGAACGCTCACAACCTAAGATCATACCAAATACCAATTGACTGCAACATATGTAAACTATATAGATCAGTAGAGATAAAAGATTATCTCAAATACCTGGTAGTATAGTGTCATGAAGCCAAAAGATACGGTTTGATGGTTGGTGAGGCTCCAAACAGGGAGCACGAGCCGCCAAAAAGGCCAACAAAAGCACGGAATTCACCGATGTATTCTGATACATCATTATAGCGTTGATCTTTCCAACAACTTGCTTTGTATGGAAGCTAGAGGTAGGAGGTTATAACAATATCATTATATTGAGGATCTATTCGATGTGTATTAAAACAAGAAAGAGTTTCACGTTAGAATCAATCATGTAGTTACCATAAACGATGAAGAACTCGCAGGAACGTGAGGTAATCAAGTTGACAAAGACATCAAAACATGGTAACTTCGAGATCTGGATAAAACTCCATAGTGAGACGCAGAGTTGAATTGTATCCTTTTACAAAACATGGTTTGGGATCTTCGTCGACTTCCTCCGACCGGTGAGGATTGATAACACTATTTGGCCGCAAAATCACTACTTTGTTGAAACCCTATTTTTCCCGAGAGAGAAAACATCCTAACAACCCTAGTTTTGTGTCGTATCTCTTTTTCTCTTGGAAAACAAGTTTTTTTTATTAGCTCCATCCATCGAATCGTATTTTCCATAAATTAATTTTCTATTTCTTTGGTTTATAATTTAAATAAATTTTTACCATGCAACATATCCCGAGAATAAAAAAACATAATGGCTAATAAACTGGCACGTGGTGTTCGAAATCAGCCGTCTACTATGGTTTATGTTGAGTCAGTCCTTCTGAGGTGGCTCTCGGATCAGGATGTAACTTAGTGTCTCTTTGTATTTTGTTGTAAAGAAAAAAAATTTTAGATAAATAAATAAAAAGTAAGATTAATTTGATTTGTTATTTTTTAGACGGATTTGTTGGAAATTATACTTGAAAATATTAATTATTATTCAGCTCCATGTAATAAAATACGTTTTTTGTTGGAATGTAAAAAAATACATTTTCTAAAGAAATTACTTTTATTATCACAACGAAAAAAGAAATTAATAAATTAAGAGACAGTGAATTGCAATCAGAAGAGCCAAAACCTTATCCATATCCAGAAGCCACAAAACTACATCGTTTTCCAAAATAGCTGACAACAAATGTAAAAACTCTTATCAACATCAAAGGCTGAGGAAACCACAAGCAAAAAAAAAAAATTATCAGAGAGGTTAGAGCAATGGCAGCTATGAACTGCCTCTTCTTCAAGCTATCACATTCACCACATCTCAAACCCTCAAGGCCTTCTTTTTCCTGCTCCGCCTCTCAACCTTCCCAAAACAACATAAAGGTAACTACACATCATCATCATCAACACCATCATCATCTTGAGATGAAATGCTATAAATGTCCTTATCAGGTAATCATAAACGGAGCTGCAAAGGAGATAGGAAGAGCGGCTGTGGTTGCTGTGACTAAAGCCAGGGGAATGGAGTTAGCTGGTGCTGTCGACAACCATTTTCTTGGCGAAGATATTGGCTTGGTGACTTCATTTACAAATTATTGCCACCTGCTTGGTTTATCTGTTGACTTGACTCCCTAACTTTAAATGTTCTTTTAGCTCTGTGACATGGAGGAGCCTCTAGAGATACCAGTAGTGAGTGATCTAACAATGGTCTTAGGCTCTATATCTCAGGTGTTCCATTATTCCCAAACCTTTCTTCTCTCTTGTTTCCCACCAGAGTAACTTATACGGAACAACCTAAACGAAAAGTATTGTTGGTAGGGAAAAGAAGTCGGAGTTGTGATCGATTTTACAGACCCATCAACAGTGTATGAGAATGTAAAACAGGTAACTGATTAACAACTTTTTTATCAAGCTCCTTGTTATATCTCCACTAAGATGGAAAAGTGGTCTTTGATTTTATCAAGGCAACGGCATTTGGAATGAAGAGTGTGGTGTATGTACCTCGGATTAAGCCAGAGACGGTATCAGCGTTATCTGCATTATGTGACAAGGCCACCATGGTGAGCACAGGGTGAGATACTCTCAGCAAATTCGTTTTGTTGCTTTCTTTCTTGGTGAGGTCGAGCTTATCCTGGAGCCAGGATAATCTAATTTCTCCACTGTTTACGTTATAGGGCTGCCTTGTAGCGCCAACTCTATCCATAGGATCTATACTTCTCCAACAGGCTGTGATCATGGCTGCCTTCCACTACAATAACGTAGAAATCGTGGAGTCAAGGCCTAATGCAATGGTATGATCAGAAGAATATCTAACTTTCGATTTCATAGATTTTTGGTCTTAACCCAATCTGGCATGGTACTACTCAAAACTAATTAACATATAGAGCACTTGCCAAGGTATATAGAGCTTTTGAATGAATCAATGTTATATATAATGAGATAGTCAGCTATGACAGAAACTCATATGAAGCTTTTGGTATTAAATAACAAGAAGTGACTCTAACGATGCCTCTGAGATGCAGGATCTTCCTTCTCCAGAAGCTACCCAAATTGCAAACAACATATCAAATCTTGGTCAGATCTACAACAGAGAAGATAGTTCAACTGATGTTCAGGTAAAGCATGAATAAGCTTGCAGACAAAAAATACCAGAAAGACTAACAACGATGGACTAGTTAGGATCATGGACATATTATACACAAACAGAGCTGTGTGTTTCCTGATTTTTTCAGGCAAGAGGTCAAGTAATCGGAGAAGACGGGGTTCGTGTGCACAGTATGGTTCTACCTGGACTACCATCTAGTACACAAGTCTACTTCTCAAGTCCAGGAGATGTAATTATCATTACAGCCCTCATTTCAAAATCAAAATGAAAATGAAATTGTGTTCTATACTTTAAGAATTCTTACGATATAACATGCCGGACACAGGTTTACACTGTTAAACACGACATAGTTGACGTAAGGTCCCTAATGCCTGGACTACTTCTCGCTATCAGAAAGGTGGTACGCCTCAAGGTAACAAGGAAACATGCTAGAATTGGTGTTTTACTTACTGTTATCTGATCACTTGTCCTTGTTCTCTTTTTGGTTTTACAGAATTTGGTTTATGGCCTCGAGAAATTCCTGTAGGAACTGAAGTGTTATGGCTAATCATCAATCAAGATATGAGTCAAATATTACATTATCATGAACAGCTCATGTCATCCTGCAAAGTCACACATTAAACAAAATTTAGAAACAGGTTGTTATGATCTTTCATGATAACACGGATATTCAATTTTAAGGTGAGGAGGACTCTACCAAATTCAACTGAGAAAACATTATCTTAGGGCCTGGCAATGTTCAATGCTTTTGGTCTACCAATATATTTTCATGTTTCGGTACCAACGTATGTTACATTGCTAGTGCCAGATCATGGCACCCTAAAGTCTCACTAATAAATTAGCAAAAGGAACTACCAATCAGCTCTGGTCTAATTTAAGTGCAATAAATATCTGCAAAGTCATCTCACAATTATATGGAACAGCAAGAAAGCATAAATAACATGAGGAAACTTTTTCAGAGTTTACTCAATTTAACAAAAACGCACAAAAAAGAAAAAGGAGAAGCAACAAATCCTTAATATCATTTACATCCATAAGAACTATCTAACCTCTGAATTTATCAGCCATGGCTCCAATCCAGGCTCTATCTTTATCGCTATATGCATATCCAGCAGTAGAAGCCACCAGCAAAAACCCATCCATTTTCTCCGATTCCACATTTTGTACGAGAGGTTGCACAAAAACAGAACGCGTCCCATCAGGAAGAATATCCCAAGACAGTGCAGAACCTAAAATCAAAACTTAAAAGTTAGAACATATGCAAAAAGAGGGTCGACACACTGCTGAACAAAAAGGAACACACAATATACCAGCATACTGAGGGAAATAAAGGGTCTCCTTAACATCAGCAAGGCCTATTTCATCAACCTTTCTCTTGAACCAGTCATGTAGTTGAGCCTTTGACATTTGACCAGGGAAATTCCAGTACCCACGAACACAAAGCTCACCTTGAAGAGATATCATCTAAAGAAAAAAGAAAAGTTTCTTAGTAAAACAGAGAGCTAAGATCAAGAATGAAAGGCTTGAACACCATACCACTGCAACGGTACTTGTATTCCTTAACAACACATAAGTTCCCCAAGCCAAGTCCTCTTTCAAAAAGTCTCCAATACTTGGTGATATAACAAACACTTGTTCTCCCACTTCAGGTAAGCTTCTCTTCTCTACTTCAGAACCCTAAAACAGTAAAAAGCCTCTTTCACTGGAAATGGCTAAAACAAAAGCAGTAGGCAATGTAAAGACAGTTACCTTAAGGAACTTGCCAAAGTAAGGTAAAGCTATGGAGAAAGCAGCAAGTGATAACCCTAAAGCCTCTGATCTCTGTCACCACAGAGAATGATTAAATCAAATACACTAGTAAGCCATTGCTACTATATATATATATATATATATATATAGTAGCCTTAAACCAAAGTAAACCAAGAAACAAATAAATTGTAGAACCGGGTTAAACCAGGTTTATATACATATATAAAATGATACCAGCTGAGATTGGTTGATTGGAGAAGAAGCTGAGAAGTGATTGAGAAGAATAAGCGATCCGAACCCGTACCCGATCCACCTCGGTAGATAAGATTCGTCCAGCCCAGGAATCCCTACAAAACGGATTACCGAATCTCTCTAAGAAAAGGAATTTAACTAACTTTCAACTGGAAAAGAAGAGAAGGAAGTGAAGGTTACCGAAAGTGAAGCGAAGGACGGAGAGATTGAGTTGTTGCTGCTGATCAGACCCTGAAGCGAAGACACGTCTAGACCTCGCGGCGGTTCGGGGGCCCCTTGGTTGAAGCGCGAAGCGCGGATGGAACGGGAAATTACAGATTTGAATACTCATTTCTCTCTCTCACTCACTCGCTGATGATGATGCTCTGTTAGAGAGCAGAGAGCGTTATGTTATGTATCGCGCCATTGATTATTCCGTGAAAGAACCTCTGCCATGTAGGATAGGCCCATTAAGGCCAGACAAGCCCTGCCCATTTAGATTGGATCAGAATTAACATTTACATATGATTGTTTTTATATTGCTTTTATATGTATTTAGAATTTTGAAGTTTTTATATAATTATTTATACGTAGGATCAGAAACAATTATAATTAGAAGTGCAGATCAAAACTTAGAATTTAATAGGTCCGGTTCATATTTTTTTTTTTCATTTTTCAGTATTCGAGTGATGAAAAATGAACGGAGTGTTACAGTGCTTAATTGATAGAGCACTATAAATTTCCCTAATGTTTTCTTAAGAAGTAGTTGGTAGAATATTTCCATTTAGAATATATAAAATTTCATAACTAATTTAATATAATTTATTTATTTATCTAATAATATCAGAAAATTATATTTTAAAAACTTTTTTCAAAAAGAATTATTTTATAAAAAAATTAAGTTAAATTTTAAATTATAATTATGCTTTAAATAATATTACTTATTCATACAATATATACATATATACATATATATTAACATAAACACCTATTAAAATAAAATTATTTATTTATATAATTTTATAATCATTGCAACTTATTATAAAAAAATAGACTTTGATTACAAAAGTTTATGTGAGATTTTAACAGTTTTAGTAATTTATACTCGTTTTGAAAATTTCAAAATACAACTTATATAAAAAAATCTAAATTTTTATCATATGATTAGTGTAGTTGTGTAATTTATTTTAATAATTAAAAATAAACAAAAATGATATAAAGTATACATATTGCTAACAAATATTTATTATTTAAAATCATCAATAGTCATATATATCTTAATTACATTAGGTAATCACATATGTTTTATTTAAGGAAATAATATATAGGAGATTTAGTTTGATATATCTTATATGAGACCAACAGACTATGTTTTTAAATTATGTTTTATATGTATTGCTTTAGAATCCTTCTAAATTGAAATAGAAAGCATACAGAGGTGCTACGTATGATGTGGTTATTTTTTAATTAATATAAATTTAAAGTTACAACTTTTTAAATGTTTCTCAATTAATATATAGGGGATAAGTTAATCAAACTTTGCACAGCGCTAATTATATTCAGGGTTAACTCTGAGAATTAAAGGGTTTGTAAATATATTTAGGTTAATTTTAATAAAAATGATCTGATTATATTAATCATCTTACGTATAAACCGACTGTGTATATTTACAAAGACATAACATCCTACAAACTAACATATCAAAACAACACCTTTCAAACAGAAATTAATCGAAATATGTGGATTTCTCTCTACACTCAAATGGACATATGATCACACAATCTAAACATAAACCACCTTTGGTATGCGTACAATCTATCTGGAGCATAGAGAACTTGACCCAAACGGGTAAGTTCTCATCCTCCACGACGAAATCACCCACGTGATGATAAACCCACCTTCCTGGTTCATTAAAATATCGTTCAGACATATCGCATTGGCCGTCCGATGTAGACAGTTGAAACCTGACCGGTTTGATATCCCAACCATGAACTTGTTCTAAACAACATATTTTTCTCCCACACTTTCTCAAAGGTTTGCCTAAATGTAACTTGAAGAGTATACTATATTTTCCAGGTGCAAATTCAAATCTGATATTTCCGACTGCCTCTAACCACCAAACTTGCCGGAGATAAGCTATTGATCCAAATCTGAATGGAAGTTCAATAAAATGTTAACCGTCGTAAGAATGAAAAGAATCATAACATAAGCGTGTGTTGGTAGTTAAGGGGACAAGGTTGATTAACTACTCTTACCACTTGGTTAATCTGTAGACTATTTATGTCACTCAATAATGATATAACAAGTGGAGGAAATATTCGATGATGATATCTATTAGACTTATAGATAAGTACTACGTTTTTGTAGCATTGTTACTCTTTTTTTGGTAACAGCTTTGTGACCTAAATGCAGCACTAATGGAAGAGAAAAAGAACAAGGAAATTTTGATATTCCTAAAATTTAAAATAATTTAACAAAATTTTATTTTAAAAATTAGACATGTCATTCTTTCAAATTAATTCTCTAAAGTAGTTATAGAATAACGTTATTTTCACTGATGAAGTTATAGGGGAACAGTCAGTAACAAAAACTAATTTTCTTCTCAATAAATTTAAAACTACTGTTATTTCTATTTAATTTTATTATTTTAAAATTTTATTTTATTTTAAAGTATCACTTCAAAACTTGTTTAGAGATGATTTTTTCTTGTTCACTCTTTAAAATTCTTTATTTTGATGTGCTCGTTATACTATTTCTTTTTATGGTTACAAATAATGCTTGATTAACAAGAAGGCTTGCTAATGATATAGACTTACCAAAATCCATCTTACCAGTCAGTTACGTTTTCCTTGAATTCAAAGTCAGATCTAGACTTTGTCTGCATTGTTTATATAATTGGCGTTTTGATATTTTCGTTTAAATATTCGAATTATGTGGATAGAATCTGGATAAAGTTTCCGAATACTATTCACTAAATATTATACGAGAAAAATATGTGGGGAAATAGAATAAAAATGATAGTTGAAGGAAAGCCAGCCAATAATTGATATGATCGAGCAAATTTGGGATAAGAGAAAACGACATTACCGTCGAGGACCCAAAACTTTTCATATATACTAAACAAAACAGCTCGAGCTTATCTAAAGATTCTATAAGTATAACTACTTCAGCTATATATATTACACGTCATTATACATTTCGTATACGCGTTTATTCTGTTATTCTACGTATAATTCATTGCATGCTTATACAATTTGTAGCCAACAATCACACTGTCAATTTTTCATACTACCCAATCATTTGTTTGAAAAAGAAACAAAGAAATGTTGACAAAGTCTAAATCTGTGGATGATCTTGCTGGTATTTTTTGTCCATAAAATTCAGAGGCATTTTACCAACAAAAAAAAAAGAATTCAGAGGCAAATAGATTTTGGATTTTTAGGTTTATATTTCTGAATTTTCTGATCTATTGGATTTGGATTTATGTCTTTTATCAGCAACAATAAATTGAGAATTAAAGAAAAAGTGAAAGAGATATTCATTTAGAAAGAGATGACCTGGACTCATCGGAAGAAATATGTTCCCAATATCGGCGATCATCAAAGCCGGTTATCTTCATCGCCTTTGGTGATATCGCCAAACACACTTTCCCACTTCTCTTGTCCAACCATGCTTCCTAAAATCCAAACATTTACTTTTATTAATATTAATTAACACAGTATATGAATAAATCGTAACTAATTCTAAAAGATTTTCATATTATAATCTTTTTGTTTCTTCTTTCGTACACACATTACACACCCTCATTCGGTGGAAGGATTTCCTTTTAATATTAGTCTTTTTTTGTTTGAATTGCACGTCAAATCCAAACATATCGGAACCATTGATCCATAAAACGATCCAGATTTTATTCATATATATTCTAATTATATTTATCTAGAATAAAAAAAATGTAACGACACGGAACTAGACCTTAAAAACAGAAAACTGATTTAAAGTTATAAAAATATATTTCAAAATATATAGTGGTGCATTAACTTTTATAAATAAACATTTTTATTTCAACTTGGCCAATTGTATTTATTGGCCTTTCTATACATACTGTGTTTTTATTAATAATGAAAAACGACCAAGAGATATGAAAAAATTATATAAATCTTTTTGTACAACTTTAATTATATCCTTATACACTCAAAAGTGAAAGTGTGAAAATAGTAGTATTATATTCAATTTCCAAGAAACCGTTTAAGTAGTAATTAAAAATGAACATGGAAGATTAGTATTTAGGTGGCTTTTAGATGTCGCTTAGATCAAATTTTTTAACAAAGATAATTTTATAAAATATATCTTCTATGATCGATTTATTGAATAAGTGGACACCTAGACGCTAGTTATATCTGTTTTTAAACCAATAGTTATATCTATGTCTAGTTGATTTTCGACATGATGGGAACAACTATCATGCTTTAGACATATGAATAAAGTGATTTCGTAGAACTTATTCCACACTGTTCCTATAAGCTTTTCTAACCCTTTACTTTGGCCATAAATAAAAGACTAGTATAAACTAATTTACAGACATTTACAATTCCGCACAATATTTTTCTTCGTATATTAATCTCCCGAAAAAAATCTAATTTTCCTTTTCTACACCCCAAGAAATATCTAGGGAACGTATTTGACCATCACATATATCAAAAGATTCTATAACACCAAATATAAATAAATTAATAAGACAAGAAAAACCTTTGTGCCGGCGTCAAAGAGGTTTGGTCGGCAAAGCCTTGCATAGATCTCTTTCGTGCGGCTGATAACTTTGTCTTTTTCACCTTCTTGTTGTTGATCTTCAAGGATTCTTCGGACCAGAAACTTGTAGTTACGGGGAAGCTTGTGTTCCCACACGGTGTCGGATCTCGACGCCCTATGAAATGATTTGTTCACCCTTGCAAGTATGCATATCTCCGGTGGCTCCATGTACATAAACATTGCCATTATACAGTTCTCAGGCACGTCTTCGAGACCGCATAACTTTCCAGCATAAGTCTCGGATCCGGTGAGGCTTGATGAAGTTGCCCCCATAGATATAAAGATCAGATGATATATGAGCCCTCTTTGATCTTTTTCTTTTGTCTATATATGTATTCAAGATTCGGGTTTGATGTGGTGGAGTAGTAGAAAATATAGGGATGAAAGAAATGGGTTTGACATATTTGCGATTCTTTTGTTCTTTGTCTAATGGAAGAAGTTAATGGCTCATGGTTTTAAAGGAGAGAAAGGGTGGTACGTGGGACAAATATATTTATGTGAACAAGAATTTCTTATGATTTTTAATTATTTTACTAGGAAAGTTTTTCGATGTAGTGCAGTTAAAAATGTTTCAATCAGTTACGGATGGGAATTCGACGATTTATTATGACTTTTGGACTAATATTTATTTGGACCGGTCGTTTTTCTGACAGCGATGTTATGCACATTTTTTTCCTGGGGAAAACTAATTAGACGCTAGGGTGGTTCAAATATTATCGATCAAAGTTTTGAAAGAACTAAAAAAAAAATGAATTAAAAATTAGAAACTTAATAAAACTATGGGACATTAATCCTTTTTCAAGAGTTAAATTTTCCCATAGTTGTTTTTTGTACTAAATTAATACCCGTAGTGTATATTCGTTGGTTTTATTCTACTACTGAGAAAATAATTAAAAGGACCCGTTACTAAACTAGTGATAGGCAAAAAGTGGAACTTACAAGTTACAAACCATTATTAAAAGAAAAAGAGAAAGACTTGTTGGGGATTTTGTATGGAATATATTTAAAGTGCATGGTTTCATCGAAGATGCTAATCATATCATAATCGTAGTTACCGGTAGAAGAAATTAAATATATGAATGTATGAATATTTACTATCTATTAACATTACAAAAAAATATTATTTAAACATATAATTTACTAGTGTTTCAAAAAAAAAAAACATATAATTTACTATGACTTTATTGTTCTGAAAACATATGGACTTCGTTTTTTTTGGTCAATCATATGGACCTCGTTATGATACCTATATAAATAAGTTTTAATTTAAATATAAAGCACTTGAGAGAATCATGGGTGCCAAAAAAAACTAGACACAGCGTTGGGCTCTTGTGGCCAACGCATTCTGCCAATAGGATGGCGAGATTTCGATTTAATCATTCGTCAAATGTTTAATATGACATAATAAAATACTTGAAAACTCACGTACGTAGCGTGAAAGTTCCCTCGTCCAGTGGGTTGTATGTGCCACTTTTTTTATGTGCCACTTCTTTGTGTTGTATGTTAAATCTCTTATTCACGGATGTTAAATGTAACCACTCACAAAAGTGAAAGATGGTGGTCCATTAATTTCATTTCAGCTATATGATTCTTGGTATAAATGATAGACGCGTCCTTCATAATTCTTTAGGCAAATAGACTGTTTAGTGGTATAGTTAATTTTAATCTTACTACGATGATTGAAGTGACACCTGGCTTATCAAAGTAACTAAACCACTGAGATATTCTTTATTCACGTGAATCACGTCTAAGCTAGTGCCTAGTAATAATGAAGAAAAAAAACTGTCATATCTTTGCTAGCTTTCAAAACACTGATTTTCATATTAATTGTGTTTAAAAAAAATGTCACCAGCGAAACGAGGATTTAAAATAATGGAGACTATGAGTCGTTGAAAATTATTGTTTGAGGATTTTAGAATTCAAGCGATTCTAGAATGTTTCACACCAACCCTGTGTTGGTTTCCGAAGAATTTTTGTAATGTATCGGCCTACATCAATTCGGCCGCATTAATAGTTAAGAGATTAAGAATTTTTGTAATGTTTTCGATTATTACATAAAAATTAAAAAATTTACATTCTTTTACAAAGTTATTTTTAAAGATATAATTTTAAGATCATTCAACCAATTATTAAAAAAATTGTAAAACTTTATTGGATGAACAGTTTCCAATAAAGTTAAAAGTAATCTTAAAATCTCAAAATATACATTAAAATTTCAGAACATCTTATAATTTGAAACAAAATAAATCTTTTAAAATATCATCTAATTTGAAATGGAAAGAATATTATATAATTTTAAATATTTACATATTAAAACCCGCACGGTTGTGCGAGTCGAAATCTAGTTAATAGTTAAGAGATAAGCATATAGTTTAGCCAAAACCAACCTACTTTGCAATCAGTTTACGTGTTCCCTTTTAACTTAGTTTACGGAGGGAAAATACTTCCTTTTTGTGGTGTAATAGATATATATATATATATTAAAACACATGCGTTAAGATCATACATTAATGTGGAGTTTGCGATTTTACACTGCACCAAGTTCAACTTTCTTACAATTTTTGAGTCAATGTAGTTATATATAACTTTTACGTTTTCTGTTGATTATGTTATTTAGATATTTTTGGTGTCAATGTAGTTTAGGTCTTCTTATACTGAGCGGATTTGGAGATATTAAGGATTCACTTTAATGTTTATTTTCCTTGCAATTTTGTCGCAGATATGGACTTACATGTGTGACAGTGACAAAAAAAAAAAAGGACTTACATGTGTGTTACTTAGGGATTTGATTAATCTATTAGAGAAAAAAATGTTGTCGAGTAATTTCTAGCCAGCCTGTGTTGCTCTAAATGGTTGTTATTCTTATTAATCACTAAGGAAATTAAATCGAGACTATTTAGATGTCATATGAAACTTAGTGTGACATTTTGGACCATAGTCAAATAGAAAAAAAAGTACGTCTATTTCTCGGATTAACCCTAAGATTTATTTTCTATTTTTCGGATTAAGAGCATCCATATTGGTGAACCCCATGGGGTTCACCAAAAAAAAATTGATTTTTTAACTTTTTTTTTTAAAAGAAAAATAAAAAAAATTCGGACAAATGGGGTGTCGCTACGTGGCGAACCCCATATGAACCAGGTTCACTGCCATAAACTTTTCTGAGAGAGATTCACCAAAATAATATTATTTTAATTTTTTTTTTCTTGGGAAAGGGGTGAACTCCCCTATGAACCTCTAATAGAGATGTTCTTACCACCGCCGAAGATCTTCTCCTCTTTGATTTTCTCATGTCTGTTCCAACATATCCCATTTCTCTCTGTTGGGATTGTGAAAGGCCATGTCCAACTCTATCTTTTCATATTAGTACGATATTGTCCACTTTGGGCCTGATAGACAAGCCCGCATGGATTTATTTTTGGTTTCTTTCCAAAAGGCCTCGTACTATTAGAGTTGGACATCTCTTTATATATTAGACACTCCTTGTCTAATTCTCCAATGTGGGACTTTGTTTATTATCTCACATTCTCCCCCTTAAACTAAGGACCACATTCATCTTGTGTACTTTGTCCTTCAACGGGCTTTCTTTTTGGCTCCACTTTATACCAGTAATCGCATGGCTTTCTTTGAGAATGTTTCTCCCACAACATCACAGGTTCCATGATCTTCTGACAGTTTATGCCACGACCTCCTCTTCCTACTTGAAGGATCCCTATTCATATCTTAAGGGTATTTTGATCTTCTTGCATATCTTCGTCAACCTGGCTCTGATACCAATTGTTGGGATTGTGAAAGCCCATATCCAACTCTATCTTTTCATATTAGTACGATATTGTCCACTTTGGGCCTGATAGACAAGCCCGCATGGATTTATTTTTGGTTTCTTTCCAAAAGGCCTCGTACTATTAGAGTTGGACATCTCTTTATATATTAGACACTCCTTGTCTAATTCTCCAATGTGGGACTTTGTTTATTATCTCACACTCTCCTGGTTTCTCGAGTGGAGATATGTTGGTGTGAGTCCTTCTCCTTTTTCTTGTAGAACAGACTTGTTTTGTCAGAGTAAGCAAAGACGAGAGGACTGACCTTGAGATCTCATTCTTCTAAATTATGGATATGTAACATATATGTTTCGTCAGAATAAGCAAAGGAATCGATGAGCCAATATGGAGTGACAGTTCTCCTCAAAAACGAATGTTCTGAAAACACCAGGAGAGCTGGTTAGAATGTGTTAAAAACATACTATCATTTACTTTCACTAATAATCTGATATTGTTTTCTGTTTTAAAATTTTTACTAGTTGCAAAATATTAAATTATAAGCTCTGGTCAAATTCTTATCTTTGTTAATAAATCACACTACTAAAAAGTTCCTCCATGTCTCTTATTTTGATTATTATTGTATGTATATGAATATATGTATATATTCTCTTAAAGAATGTATTAAGTTATAATTTTGCAATTTCTCCCTATGTATATATATCTATTAATATAGCATAAAAAAAAAATTCAGGAATCACAAACATGCATATTCTCCACACTTCCCTCTCCCACATACAAAACTGCAGCTTAACGTGATCTCTCTCGTTAGGTAGCTCACGGATTATGAACATAAACCCCTTTCACCATATGTCGTTCTTCGAACCCTCCTCGATTCTATATAAACATAAGTAAACCCCTAAATATACAACAATCTAACTCTTACAATAATATATTTCATAATACATAAAAAGGTAAAAGAAGAAAGATGGCAGCATCGTCCAGCTCTTCAAAGTCTTCATTGGCTATGATCATGAAGGTGATCGTGCTTGTGGCGCTGGTCTTGGTGGCGACTGAAGTGGACGGACAGAGCTGCAATAGGCACTTGAGTGGACTGAACGTGTGTGGTGAGTTCGTCGTTCCTGGGGCCGACAAGACGAACCCGAGTGCCGAGTGTTGCAGCGCTCTTGAGGCAGTGCCGAGTGAATGCCTATGTAACACCATTCGCATTGCCTCTAGGCTTCCCACTCGCTGCAGCATCCCTACTCTCTCATGCAGCTGATGATATGGACGTTGTGTTATCTATGTAAGAGCATACTATAAAACATTAATTTCTCTATAATAATTTTTTTTTTTACTATGCGCTGTCTAGTAAAGTATCTAACCACCAGCTAAAGATTTTTCTTTTTTCTTTCTAGTGACAAGAGAAGCATGGGGAGAGATCATGGAGAAAGATATTTAAGAATAAAGACTCTGAGTTTGAGCTGTAGTTTTTTTTCTCTTTACTGTTAGTCTCTGTAAAACCAATGGGTTTGGAATAAAAGATGAATAATATGGAAGTTAACTTATAAATTCGAATGGTTGATAAAGAATTCTTCGGTCTTTTAGTCTACAAAACCAAAAAAAAAGATAACAAAAAGTTTAGTAACAGCAATAAAGTAAATTTACAAAAGAAAATGAAAATGAGATAGTTGGTCTGGTAGGATTGGCTCACAGGAACTGTCTGTAGCGGTAGGACATGATTTTACCAGAGGTATTATGATGTGTGAGAGCTCGATGTTTATGGATCTTGTCAAGGTGTCTATGGATAAGTTGATTAAATAAGCAGAATTGGACAATTCTTTATGAATAAAAGGCTCAAAGAGTGAGAAAGATTTGATGAACCATGACTCGTATAAGCTACTGTGGCTGAAAATTCACGAGAAACTAGTTTAATTCTCATCAAACGGATTTAGAACAAGATTAATATATTAGTGTTATAGAATGATTGAGATCAGTTTGTACTCTTCAAACTTTTAAAAGAGAACTAACAGATTTTGTAATATGAATTGCAACTAGAAATATCTATAACAAAAGAATGTTATATATTATATTCCGTTTAAAAATTAAATTTCCATAAAACATGTATAATTCACTTATGTATTGTAAGTATCTTCCACAAAAAAAATTACAATTGCATATTTACACGGCACGATTTTTAACCAAACTTTAAAAACAGCAAGCATTTCTCAACCGGAATGGCAAAACAACTCGTGGCTTATAATACAAACAAAACAACAAGCATTTACACACTGAAATACGAAAACAACGCAACGTTTGCTACTCGAGATTAGTGTGACGACGCCGTATAGACTCAGGTGACTCACCCAAAACCTCACCCAGTTTGTAAACAACCATCTCAAACAACACGAACAACGCTCCTTCATACACACTCCCCATCGGCAGCAACGGCCTCTCCTCTCCCCTCTCCATCACACCTCCTCCGTCACTCGCCATCGTCTGCGCCGGTACATAACAAACATCCGTCGCGTACTTCACGCAAGAACCTCTCTCCGGCTCCGCAGTTATGAGCACAACCTTCGCGCCGGCGGATTTCGCGACGGAGCAAATCGCATCGACGGTGCAGAATCCTCCGGGACCGGCGGAGGCGATGAGGAGATCGGGGGATGAGATCGGAGGCGTGGTCACGTCGGAGACCAGGTGAGAGGAGAGGCCGAGGTGGAAGAGACGCATCGCGAAGGCTTTGAGCATGAGGCCTTCGCGTCCGACGCCGTGGAGGAAGACGCGGGCGTTGCGGCGGGAGACTAAGGTGAGTTCTGTGACGAGGAGATTTAACGGTGGGGGGTGTGGATCGGTGGGAGTGGAGAAGACGGAGGAGATTTGGTTGCAGATTTGAGAGGATAGTTTCGTCATTTCGTGGTGTTTCTCGTTCGCCATTGATGTCATGATGTGTGACGGATCAAGTTCGAGTGGTTTATATGATCTTTATTCGTGCAATTTGAACCACATTTATATAGATTCGCCAAAACGACGTCGCATTAACTCTACTGAATAGAAAGTTTAATTGAAAACTAGATCATAACCCGTCCGACTAGGCGGGTCTTTGTTTTTATGGTATATATAACATTTCAAAATTACAATTTAATGGTGCCAATTTTACTAAGTAATAGTATATTATTTAAATATTGTATTTCATTTTGTATTGTGTAACAGGGGCGTCTTAAAATATTGTGACCCGTAAACATTTTAGTAATATTTTAAAAAGTTTTTTGAATAAATTTGGTGTAAAGTTATATACACTAAATAATTTAGTCAAATTTTTAATTTAATTTTTTTATGAAGAATTGGAACGCTAGTATATCACTGTTAAAAACTTATAAGAATAGTCAATATAAATTATATAAATAAAATATATATTATTCTTGATTTATTCTAACTACATTTAAAACATGAATACATATATGTATAAATAATTTTTAGAAGTAAAGTAATATCAATGATAGAAAATAAAAAAAAAATAATAATGGTACCTTGGGCCGCAGTAATCTTTAGTATAATAAATAAGCCCATTAAATTTGTATGATATCCATGTTTCCAATCAAAATTTTAAAATTTTTTTATTCATGTTTTCAAATACTTTATTTTTGTACTTCAGCTTTAATAGTATAGATAAACGGGAAAATGCGCAATTAATTACCCAAGTATTTGAAATCGGCGGTTTTAATACTCAAGTATTGCTCGCGCAGAATTATTCCCCAACTAATAGTTGACTGCGCGAAATTAGAAATGAAATAGTCAAACCGTTAACTGGTTAACGGAAAGATAAAGTTGACTATTTCGTTCCTTATTTCACACAATCAACTATTAGTTGGGGAATAATTCTGCGCGAGCAATACTTGAGTATTAAAACCGCCGATTTCAAATACTTGAGGAATTTAAAACATCAATACTTTTAAAAAATATATATAATTTAAAAGATGAAATAGATTTTTAAGCTTTTATAATAACATATACAATAATAAAAATAGTTATAGTTGCAGTTTATTGTTGATGTACTTCATGTTTATAAAATCACATATGGATGATTTCATATCATTTACAGAATCATATGTTGTAAATTAGATCTCAATTTTAGACTAGAGATGGCAAAAAATATCGAACCGAATGAAACCGAACCAAATGAATCGAAACAACTCCAGACCAAATTGAACCGAGTTAAACCGAATCGAGAAAACAATGTGCTTTTGTTATTATTTGAAAACTAAAATCTCTATTAACTTTATTCAATATACTTAAATCCTAACACTAACGATTAACTTTATTAACGCTTCTTAAAAAAATAAAAAAAATCTGTTTACTTTAGTTAACTTTGGTTTAGTTGTGTTCTTATAAAAAATGTCGATTTTTCAGATTTTTTTTTCAGTTTTATATTATAATTATAATATAAAACTGTCTGATCATGTTTTATGTAAATTAATTATAATATAAAACTGGAAAAAAAATCTAAAAAATCACCAGTTTTATAAGAACACAACTAAACCAAAGTTAACTAAAGTAAACAGACTTTTTATTTTTTTAAAAAGCGTTAATAAAGTTAATCGTTAGTGTTAGGATTTAAGTATATTGTATAAAGTTAATAGAGATTTTAGTTTTCAAATAATAACAAAAGCACATTGTTTTCTCGGTTCGGTTTAACTCGGTTCAATTTGGTTTGGAGTTGTTTCGATTCAGTTGGTTCGGTTTCATTCGGTTCGATATTTTTTGTCATCCCTAGTCTAAAATTAAGATCTAATTTACAACATATGATTACATAAATGATATGAAATCATCCATATGTGATTATATAAACATGAAGTACATCAACAATAAACTGCAACTATAACTATACTTATTATTGTATATGTAATTGTAAAAGCTTAAAAATCTATTTCAAAAAGTAAAAATCTCGTATATTGATTGTATCTGACTTGAAAATCTTTTAAATTATATATATTTTTAAAAAGTATTGATGTTTTAAATTCCTCAAGTATTTTCAATCGGCAAATTAAATATTCAAGTATTTATTGCGCAGAATTATTCCCCAACTAATAGTTGACTGTGTGAAATTAGAAACGAAATAGTCAACTGTTATCTTTCTGTTAACCAGTTAACGGTTTGACTATTTCATTTCTAATTTCGCGCAGTCAACTATTAGTTGGGGAATAATTCTGCACGAGCAACACTTGAGTATTAAAACTGCCGATTTCAAATACTTGGGGAATTAATTGCCCCTTTTCCCATATATAAACACATTTATTAAGGAAACTAGAGATTTCACCGCGCTACGCGCGGTTTATTTGTCGATATAATTAATATTCAAAGAGATATATGTTTTAAAATTTTCCTACATACTAAAATTAATTAAATTTCAATGATAAATACATTATTTTGTAATTAACTTATTTCCTTAAATTTTTACGCGATCAAAATTCAATGATTACAATTAATTTACTCAAATGTTACAATTTGCAATTATAACCTAATAAAATGCCTTCAATGTAAATTTTATTTTAAAACAATTTTTTGAAACACAATGATCATTTTGAAATAGCGGGAGTATAACTTAAATATGAAAATTTAAAATAAATTATATTATTTATGTTATATCATTAGTTTGTTTTGATATGATATTTGATAGGTTATAATAAAATGTTTTGAATGATTATAAGGTTTTGTTTGAAATATCATTAATTTATATTTTAATATATATTTAGATGTAAACAGTGTTAAAGTTTGTATTGAACGGAATCTATGTTTATATTATTTTTTAAGAAGGGTTTGGTTATTTTTTTGAGTATTTGCACTCCATACACACACTAAACCTCATAATTCACTCTATACCCTATTTCTTCCTTTATCTCTCCTCCCCACACATTACTATTTTCCCCACAAAAAATGACAAATCTTTAATTTCCCATTTTCACATTACCCAATTCACTCTTTTTTTGAGTGTCTTTGTTCTATATTGTATTTAATGTACTTTTATTTTATCAATGTTTCAATACTTTTCGCAATATTAATTTAGTAAATTATCATTATTCCTTTTGTATGTAGTAGAACATCAATTTTATTTTGAAAGTACGACACTGTAAAATAGAAGTCTTCAACTCTTAAAATATATATCATAATTGTGTATCAAATCACACTATCATTATTATGAATGTGATTTTGTGAACTCAAGAAATATTTTTTTAGCTTTTTAATATAACAATAAATAAATGATAAAGCTGATTTTAGCTTGTGTTTTTTTAAAAATTATAAATTATTTGGTTTTAAAGTTGTAATACTACGTAATTTAGTCTTTTGTCATATTTTATATTTAGTTCTTTTAGAAACAAATGTGTGAACAAATAATTTGAAATAAATTAAATATAATTTTGTAAAAAAAAATTGGGTTTACCATAATTTGATACCATTTTCAAATTTTTTTTTGTATATACTTTTCAAATTATCTTTACAAAATAGAGTAAATTTCACTTTTATTTTCTATATATTACTATTATTCATGTTTATCTTCTTTAAATCAACACTTTTTAAATTATAATTGGTTATATCTGGTTGACTAATTTATTTGTACTAAATTACATATGAAAAATATTTAATAGAACAGTATAGAATCATTTTTTTTTAATTCATTTAAAAGTAAAAGAAACCCGATGAAACAAATCATAATTTGGACACATTTGCCATAATACCAAAAAGAGTCTTTTCCAATCAAGACCATTGGGTTCTCCGCTGATACATAACACTATAGAATCCAGTTTTTTTAAAAAAGAGCCAATGCCTTTTTTTAGTTCATTCTCAATTGACAGCAATTTTCTTAACTCTTGCACAACCAGAAGAACTACATGAAATGAACGAATGATACTGGTCAGTGGTCGTAGTTACACACCGTTATTAATTGTTCGTCTTTTCTTTAATCGCCAAACAAAACAAAAGAGAAGTAAATTTTGTTTGGAATAGTGTCTAGAAGTAACTAAATTATAATTTTAATGATATAAAGTGAGACTGGTCCATGATCATACTTAAAAATATCACATCAACTGTGAACAGAAACGAAAGAGCAAAGCTATAGCTTACCTGCAATAGTTCCTTGATGTCATACCCTTGAACCTTAAAGAAAACAAACACAAACAAATTTTAATAGTTTATATGTACTCTTAACATTGTAGTAGTGATCATAGGAATGAGTTTTATGCCTGAAGAAAAGTGAGAAGCAAAATAACTCCAGAGTTCCAGAAACCGTGTATGACCATAGGGTTAATGAGGTTGCGGGTTTGCGCCTAAGTTGATCCCAAAACTGATCCTAGACCAGATGAAATAGAGACATTAAGTGTTTATAAACATGAGAAGATATGGTTTTCAGCTATTTTTTATACTTAGGAAAACAAAACTGCTTGGGAGCAAAATATCAATCTCACTCCTTACATTTGTAACAGTTAGTGAAATTGAGATGATAATCCGCTCATCAAACAGAGTAACTAAATATTTTAACCAAAACAGAGAGACTATCTTTCTGATCAATATACTCAACCATCACATTTTATATATTTTTACCGTAATACAGTTATATGTTTCAGAAAGGAAAGAGTACCTTAATACACAAGCAAGCAAAGTTAACGAAACTGTCTGCCATTCCCATGGCACTTCCCATCTCTCAAGTATCCGCCACTCAGAGCTATCTCCCTGTGAAAAAGTAACCAACTGTTATAACATTTTTTCTTAAAAAAATCTATAGAACTTTTGCAGGAAACCAGACAGGAAGTGTCAGAGAAAATGCTACCTTTACCACTCCTCCAGATTCGTTCCCAGAATTTAAAATGCAGGTGGATCTCCGTTTCCTCTGTATAACCGTAGAGAGGCTTGTTATTCGTTTTGAGCTTGGGAGCTAATGGAAGTGAATTCACAATCTGTTTACTGGTAGCTGAGCAGAGTCTTCAGAGATTAGTTTGTTGAAGGCTGCTTGAAGCAATCTACACATGAACATCGCTCTATGCAGCTACTCAGCAGCAAACATTCAAAGTAAGTACAGAGATTAAGAGACTCAAACAACAGTCGACTTCAAGCGAGTTTTGAATTTATTAAACATACAAATATTAAGGTGTTACGCAACTTACAACTTCAAACACATTGACTTTTTCCAGTTTCCTTGCTTACTTGAATTGCCTTCTTTCACCTGCATATTTATGGCAACATATAAGGAAGAAAACTACTCACGAAGCTATTGTATAATTTTTCTCTGGAAAAGCTTGCTTCTTTCTCTTGAGTGCTGTTTAGATTCAACTCTTCAAACAGAATACACATTAAAATGACTATTTTAAAAACACATAAAAATGTATAAAGTTTTCATTCAAATCATATCAAGACTCTAGTTTAGTTTATAGGGTAATCAATCAAACACAGAAATTATATCAACGGAGAGGTATAGAATCACTAATAAGGTGGAGAAGTTCACTGAGTCATAAATGACAGAAGCGGTGGTCATAGAAACTTTCTTCAGATTTTTGACGCTGGTGTAGCTCTAACCTCATCTCCATCATCCACTGAATCTTCTTATCTTAGCTACAACCAATAAGTTACAAAAACAACAAATTAGTCATCTTGTAGTCTTAACAATCACAAGTTAACAAACAAACAAAAAATGAGAACTTGATCCATAAAGCTGTTAGTTTCATATAGAGAACCAAAAAGAATAGAGAGTTGAGCAAAATTACCAACATCATCGAGAGTAGAAGGTAACATCAACCTCTCTCAAATTCTTTCTTCAAAACAAATTAAAAAAATGAGTAATTTCAAACGTGAGTTAAAAAAGCCCAGTGTTAAGATTTATATGTGGATGGTAGAGACAGAAAAGATGGTTAAAAAGAAGCCAGTGAGTAACCTGGATTCTGGGATTGCCTATGATTTACATGTGAGCTTGTTTGTGAATAGAGAGGAAGCGTCATAGGAACTGATGATTTCACTTATCGGCTCCATAATTTCTTGGATCGAGTCAGATACAATCTTGTGTCAATCTAAGAAGACGAAGTGGCTATTTCTGGGATAGATAACGTAGTCGAAGTGGAAAGACCACACTGTTTTATCTCAGTTAGGTTAATGATATTGGATCTTACCTTTGCAAATCTTCAACCCATCCCAAGTAATGTTTATGCGAAACATGAGATGAGAGAAGAGATTTATATATACAACCATGTCGAGGGAGGTGAAAAGAGGAGCCCATTGAATGAGAACTGAGAAGAAACAAATGATGGATGGTAATGAAGCAAAGATTTGAATAAATCAGAGAATGGCTAATTCAATCGGCAAAACGGAGGAGAGGATATCGAAACAGAGGAAGTCGAAAGGAAAGAGAAGACAATCTGTTTCCTAGATATCTCCGGAAATAAACCAACTCCCAGATTAGAAAATCAGACCACAAACCAAAACGGGTTTTAATGTCATAACCAGCTGACGTGGATAAATCAAGGCCTCTTATTGGTTAAATATTTCTGTCGACGTGGACATTGTTAGGTGCCTTTGTTTAGACCTTTTAATAGTGTTTGATGATCAAACGAAACACTAAACAGTCAGAACTGATAGAAAATTTCACAAGAACAATAGTGACTGTAAGCAATTGCAATAAAATGTTGTTAGTGACTGTAAGCAATTGCAATAAAATGTTGTAACAACATAAAAAGGTTTATTAAGAAAATGGTCAAACGGAAACACTAAACAATCAGAACTGATAAAATTTCCGCAAGAACAATATAGTGAATGTAAGCAATTGCATTAAAATGTTGTAAGCAATTCCATAGTTTCAGAATCTTGAATTTTTTTCCTTTTAAAAAGGTTTAAATTTGTGCAATACAAAGACAGAGATAGCTCTATAAATGATAAAAACCTGGACAAGAGTACACATCTTGATTGAACTCAGAGGTATCATCATATCATCAAGTTGAAGATGAAGATGACTTCCCGGCTGCTTCTACCTCTTTGTTAACGCCTTCGCTGTGTGGTGATGTTGTTACAGCCTCTGCTTTACTCGCGCCATCATCCTCGTCCTCATCTTCTTCTTCTTCGTAGAAGGACCCTAGGGACCTCAGTTCCTTCACCTTCCGGAACTCATCGTAATGTACTCTTCTGAGTTCACTGAACCTCCCATTTTTCTCACCTTCCAAACCTGTGTGCAAAAAAAAGGGAACATGAGCTCAAACAAAAAGAATATGAAAGTTAATGTTTTGATTGGTTTTGAGAGGAAGGACCATCATCATCTTGATCCACTGGATCTGCTTCTTCATCATCAGACGAGCTCCAGCCACCACCAGAACTAGACCCCTGGATAGCATTTCTACTGGAAGAAGCTGCTTCACCATTGAGAACATTCTTCAGTTCTTCCGCACGTTGCATATCATCAACGCATTCGTTGAACGACCTGCCTCCTCTAGGAGACAAAGAACCTGGTACAATCATGAAATGAAGGTATTACATGTTTGGATGATGACAATTATGTATCAACAATACTATACATAAATTACCATAAGCATATATACTAAGCTCTGCGCAAACACAAAGGAAAACCAAATAATAGAGAAATAGACAAACCATCATTGTCTTCATCATCATCATCATCAATCATGGGGTGGTAAGGAGTCTTAGGTTCAGTGATCTTCTGCCTAACAGGTTTATTAGATTCAATCTCCACGATGTTAGCTTCATCCCATTGCACACGCCCCCTGCCACACACACAAAAAAAGAAAAAAAAAACTAAACATATTTAATGTTGCATCCAAAATAGACTAATCTTCAGCAGCCTGACAGAAACAACACTATGAGAAATCAAACTACATTTTTCAAAGCTCAACAAATCTGAGCGGCCCTTTAACTAAAGACAATAAAAGTCCCACAACCTTACAGTTAACCAATCCTAATGAGATATGAAAAACGCATTAAACATTTTTTTCAAATCAACAAACCTAACACAAGCTCATTGCCTCGGACAAATCAATTCAGATCAGATAAACCTCTAAAGACAAAGAAGCTACTCACACCACTAAATACAGGAACCTCGATACGAATTACAAGACCTACTATACATCATTTTAAAACATGGACATGGCAAAGAATGAGAACAAAGAAGCAATCACAAGTACTATGATGTTAGGAGATCATTTTTACGAGCAAAATCAACAAGTATCAAGTAAACCCTAGCCGATATTTGAAATCGAAATAACAAAGAAACAGCGAATCAATCGATGAGAGTATAAAAAATTCACAGAAAGTAAAGGCTACGAACGCTTACTTCTTTGGATCAGTCATCTTCAATAATCTCCAGCTAACTTTTTTTTTTTTGCTTTCTCGATTGCTAGCTCGTAGACGAGACTGGGGGTTTTGGAATTATCGAATTTACCCCTCCAGCGTTATGAAAGCCGCACGATTTAGATACATTAAAGCGAAGCCGTCCGTTTGTTTGACTTTGACTGTGTTGACATTCAGATCTCGCCACGTAAGATCCTTACGCATCCGTTAGATTGCGCGTTGTTACCACGTGTCTAGGATTAATCGCGTAAGGGTAGTAGTGGAATTTAACTTTTTTGAGGAAGGAGGGAAGGAGACGATTGGATCGGATCGAATCGAATCGAAGAAGAAGACGAACAACAGAGTTGAGTGCAAAGACGATATCTATCTTTGTCCTTGTCTACATCTTCTTCAGAAACTGTAAGAATCTTCTTCCTGATTTTTTTAAAATCAATTTCTGGAGATTTGTATTTTGATATATCTCTTCATTCGCTCACTATGATCTTAAATGTTGTGTGGATGCGAATGTGGTGATTCACTGTGTTTTGATCTCTATAGACATTCTGTGATCTACTTTATCTTCCTTTTTGATGAGATATTGGAAAGTGGTTTAGGTAAATTTGAGTGTAATGTGGTGAAGATATGAGATGATATTTGCATTTGTGGAAATGTCTTTTTCATCTTGTTGATTGATTCTTCTGTTAATGCTAAAGTAACTAAGCTACACTCTTTATTTTTATTTTAGGGGTGAAAGGGGAAGTGATGTTTTCTCTGATGCATGGACTGTGGAGTTACATGTTCAGCAAGACTGAGTTCCATGTCCTCATTCTTGGTATCGACAAAGCTGGGAAGACGGTACTGTTTTTTCTCTAATTCTTCTGAATAATGTTGAAGATTCTTCATCTCTAATGTAACATAGCTTGGATGGTTTTTAGACTTTCTTGGAGAAGCTGAAGACGATCTACTCAATCTCTGAAGGACTTCCACATGATCGTATTGTTCCAACCGTTGGCCTTAACATTGGTCGTATTGAACTCTCTAATGCCAAGATTGTTTTTTGGGACCTCGGCGGTCAGGTAATAACTAATAAGTCAGAAAGCTTATCTCTTCCCCTCCTTTAAATGTTGATTATTTACAAACCCTGATGATTGTTAGAGCTGTAAAATGGGCTCGCCCATGTCCATTAGCCCTTGTCAAAAAAAGGATTAGTCAATCATCAGGGTTTGTAAATTGATTGTCAAAAAAGGATTAGTGTTTCTAATCAAATAAGTATGCCTCTTTGGCTATATCTTATGGCAGCCTGGTTTGCGTTCGATTTGGGAGAAGTATTATGAAGAAGCACATGCATTGATTTATTTGATCGATGCAGCTTGCCCTTCCCGCTTTGAAGAGTCTAAATCTGCTCTAGGTAAAGTTTAAGTGAGACTCCTCCAAACAAGCATTTTATGAAGCTAATATTATAATTTTGCATTCAACCAGAAAAAGCTCTGCGGCATGAGGATTTGCAAGGAGCGCCTCTTTTGATTTTGGCAAACAAGCAAGTAGGGATATTGCATTGCCTTCATATGTTATGTTAAATTCTCCAAAGATATGATGTTGTTCTGACAAGTCTTGAATCTGGTAACCAGGATCTCACAAATGCTGTTTCGGCTGAGGAACTGGATCGATACTTGGATCTAAAGAAACTGGATGAAAGAGTGTACATGTTTGAAGCAGTTTCTGGATATGATGGGTAAGTAATAATCACAGGAATGTTGTGTCTCAATAGAGAAACTTAAAGGAACTTTTGTATGTTTTTTTTTGTGGAGCAGAAGAGGAATCAAGGAGAGTGTAGAATGGCTGGTGGGAGTGATGGAGAGAAGCAAAAGAACCGAAGCACTTAGAGCTCGTACCGGATATGTTCCTGTCCCATCTTCCTAGACATTGAAAAGGTCTCACAAACTCGATTCTCAAACCAACAACTAGTTTTTCCCTGAGATTGCATTTTGTAGATAAAGAAAAACAGACTAGACTCTAATGACTGTTGCCTTTAAACTTTTTATTAATGTTATAGTTGAATTGAGATTTGAGGTCGTGATTGAATCTGTTGAAATGTCAATTTGTAATCAAACCAAATCAGAAGAAGAAAGGTAACTAATGTGTTGTGTAGTTTGGTTTAGAGAAGCTGTGTCTAAGTGTCTGAAATAGTATTGTAGTGGTGTGTAAGAAAGAACTTAAGTCAGAAATAGAGTTATGGGTTAGTGGGAGTTGTTAGCCATAGAAGGGCATAGCTTCTGATATAAGGTATGTAAGTCTGTGAAACAAAAACTTTATGCAATGAATTAAGAAGAATATGTTTCTGATATGCTCTAAAACAAACACTTTAAATTGTGAGTTATGGCTGAAATTATAACAGAGAGAAGGGTGAACAAGAGTTCACAAAAGTTCTCAAAACCACAACAGAATCCAAGGATATGTGTGCTTTCCATGGAGCATAGCAACCTGACTAAAAGAGTTAAACCACAGACCCACTTGTTCCAGAAACTAAACTTACTACCAGAGACTCACATCAAAGTAGAATTGGGTCATGACAGTTCCACAATGTAATCAAGTTCAATGTTGCTTTTTTTTTTTTTTTTTTTTTTTTTTGAATAGAATGTAAAATTAATTCAAACCCAAAAAATCTTTTTCTGTACCACCAGTAGCTAATGATTTGGAGAAAAGATAAAATCAGATGATGAACATTATCTTCTTCGTTTTAGGTTGCGTGATGCGTGATATTAAATTGTGTGAAGAACTCAATTAACCTGCCCAACTTGCTAATCTTGCAAACCCTTTTTCATAAAAAAATAAAACTAGCTAATCTTGGACGAAAAAAATAGTTTTCCTTGAAAATGTTCTAAAAATCTGTATAGGCTGCATCTAGATTTATGGGCTGAAGATACATTCTCCTATCTGTCATATAATAAATAAAAAATTTTGTTAAGATAAGTGTCGAATCTCAAAAGATATGTTGGAATCGTGAAAATAAGCCAAACATGCACGAAGATATCAAAGCACATGTACTTATTATACATCAATAGCATTCTCTAAACGTAATGGACCGTCAATCGACGTGTACTTCTTGCATTCACTTTATTTGTCTTCACCAATAATTCAAAACAAGACATAAATAAAGATAATTGGCAAACAAGCAAGTAGGGATATTGCACTGCCTTCATTCTTTATATTAAATTCTACAAAGATAATGTTGTCACTGTTAAGTCTTGAATCTGGTAACCAGGATCTCCAAATGCTATTTCGGCTGAGGAACTGGACCGTTATTTGGATCTAAAGAAACTGGATGAAAGGGTGTACATGTTTGAAGCAGTTTCTGGATATGATGGGTAAATAATAAAGTAATAATCATAGGAATCTTGTAGCTTCAATAGAAAAACTTGAAGTAGTTGAGAGAACTTTTAAATGTTTTTGTGGAGTGAGGAGGAATCAAGGATGTTGGATTGTTAAAGTCCATGTCTAATCTTTTATTGTACGATATTGTCCATTTTATGTATAAAAGGTAAGTTCGTATGAATTTTTTTTTTCAAAAGATTTCGTATTAATTAAAGTTGGATATCTCTTCATATATTAGATTCTCATTTATCTAATTTTCAATGTGAGACTTTGTTTGATATTTCACAAAAGAAAGTATAAAATGGCTGATGGGAATGATGTAGAGAAGCAAAAGGACCGAAATAGTAAGAGCTCGTACCGGATATGTTCCTATCCCAACTTCCTAAACGTCGAAGAGATTATCAAACCAGTTAGGCCATCTCCAATGGGGGTTCTATCCCATTGGAATTCTAAAACTATATATACGTGTATGTATATATTATATATATGTATGTAATGGTAGGGTCTACCAAATAGTGTAGAACCCTCTCCAAAAATTCTAAAAAATTCTACATTTAGAACTTTTGGGGAGGGTTCTACACTATTTGGTAGACCCTACAATTACATACATATATATAATATATACATGCACATATATATACAGGTTCCCCGAGGATGCATTTTGTAGATAAAAGAAACAGACCACAATCTTGCATTACATTGGGTTGGCATGATGAGTATAGGAATAGTAATCTTCGTCACTACTGCCTTTATTAAGTTGGTTTATTTTTGTCACAAACTACATCAAATAACCAATTAGAAACAGAAGTTTTAATAATTTTAAAAAACACTAGATTTCATTACGTCATTCAGGTCTGCTTTACCATGCGGCTAAACTTCCCTTTTCCTAGATTTCTGTATCTGTCATATAATAAAAGATATATATTAAGATAAAGTCTCGAATCTCAGAAGATATATTGGAATCGTGAAAATATAAGCCAAACATGCACATGTACTTATTATACAGCAATAGCATTCTTTAAACGTAATTGACCGTTGATCGACGTGTACTTTTTGCGTTCACTTTATTTGTCTTCGCCAATAAATTGAAAACAAGACCTAAATAAAGAGGCTAAAAAATGAACCACGTAGAAGTTGAGATCTGCGACGACCAAACTAATCGTGTAAAGACAGGTTTCAAAACTTGAGGTTCATATTCTACCAACGCTAACGTAAAACCTAATCTCGTGTTTTCATTTCTTCCTTCTTTAATGCTATTTCTATCGACACCCAAAAAATATATAGAATTAGCTCACTTATTCATTTTTGCTTCAATGAGGGAAAAATATTGCAATTTGATAGTACTTCCCATACTACCTTATCCCATTGCTCTGACATAAGGTATGATAGAGATCAAGGTGTTTTACTCTAAAGATTATTAATGTTAAAACATACATTAACCACCATTACAGTTATCATGGTTCGAGTGGTTAGACAGCCTTGTGCATGGTCATATTTTGATATAAGTTAGGGTTTTAGGATTATTATTCTGACAAAAATATAAAAATAAATAAAAATAAATGCAGATAATTTGCATACATCACCACGTAATTTTCCTAATTAATATTCTAGTTGTAACCAATTGGGAGAACAACAAGTACCAATGACATGAACATGAATACGTCTTTATTTCAAAACCACACAAAACAAAAGCTCGATCTATATATGTATGATGTATTTAGATTAGTGTTATATATATATATATATATATATATATATATATATATATATATATATATCACCTTTTTTGTCTTTTCGGAGAATAATTAAACCCCACTTCATAGCTTATATATATACACACACACACAAGCCACACCACATGCACATAATGTATATTTATATGATAAATAGTTACGTGGGAACCTAACATAAACGAGGCGTATAACTCATTCATGGAGGCGTTGCTTTGCTCCGACATACCAAACAACATCAGAAGATCCTCCAATATTAACAATCACTCTTCATCTACATGGCCAATGATCATGCATGATCTGATCTCCTCCTCTTCATCTCCATCAATCATGGACGACAGAGACAACAACATTCCTAGATTCGACTGGGATCTCTCCCTCTCCGCCGTCGTGTCCTCTCCTCCCACCGGAACCGACGCTATCGGAGCCATCGAGTTCGATCCAAATGGAGAAATATTAGCCACAGGAGGGATCGCAAGAAAGATCAGACTGTATCGTTTAAACTCTTTATTGTTAGGGACGTCACGTGATGGTCACGTGGAGAGCTGTTGCATCTGCACGCCGGCTAAGCTTAGTAGTCTAAAATGGAGACCCGACTTATCCGGTCGGGTTATCGGGTCGGGAGATTACGATGGAGTTGTCACAGAGTACGACGTGGAGAGAGGAGTGCCTGTTTTCGAGAGAGACGAGCATGGAGGGAGGAAGATTTGGAGCGTTGACTACACGCTCCACAACGGTTCCGTTTTAGGCGCGTCTGGCTCTGATGATGGAACGGTTCAAATGTGGGACCCGCGAGATGGAGGTTTGGTGGAAACGGTTAGGCCTGGAGGTGGAGGAGCAGCGATCTGTTCGGTTGAGTTTGATCGACATTTCTTAGCCGTTGGATGTGCTGACCGGAATGCTTACGTGTACGACATCAGAAGACTCGTTGACCCGATATTCGTGTTAGACGGTCATACTAAAACGGTGACGTACGCTCGTTTCATGGATCAACACACGATCGTCACGGGTTCCACTGATGGGAGTTTGAAGCTGTGGGATATAGCTAACGGACCGCGCGTGGTTCGCACGTGTCGAGGACATGTTAACAGCAGGAATTTTGTCGGGTTGTCTGTTTGGAGGCATGGTGGTTTGGTTGTGTCTGGTTCGGAGAATAATGAAGTGTTTGTGTATGATAAGAGGTGGGGAGAACCGGTTTGGGTGCGTGAGTTGGGTGGTCAAAGGGACCGGTTTGGGTCTGACCGTCGGTTTGTGAGTAGTGTGTGTTGGAGACAGGTTGATGAAGATTGGTGCACGCTTGTGGCTGGAGGATCCGATGGGGTTTTAGAGGTTTTCTCAGGCAAAAGAAACTAATCAATACTTTTGGTTTTATTACTTCATAAGTGTCTATAGTTAACGTTTTACTATTTTTAAAGGTTATATATATTGAGAATTCAATGATTGCAATTCGAATACTTGAGAAATAACACATTTTCTATAAGAACTTGAGTAGCAACTATTTTTCTTTCTTCCACGGATATAATTTGCAAATATATATACCACCGAATATTTACATAAAATGAAAAATTCCACAATTTTAAAAGGATTTTCCATGCCGGCCCCTAACTCAGTTACGAGATTTAGAACAATTCTGGTAGCAAAAATGACGTGCGAGGTAGCTCTTGTATGAAGAACATCTCCAGAAGGGACCTTGTATTATAACTGTATCGACTACAAGAGACATGGATATAATTTGCAAATATAGAGTATTTTTGTCATCCAAATTAATATCACTTTTCAAACAAACAAAAATCATACAGTGTGCATATGATATATGCAACTTGAAACTGCTACAACATAGTTCAAAATTTTGAACAAGAAAGAGAAACCTAACATCAAATTGTGAACCATGAATAAAATTAAAACAACCCATAAATCGATTAAAGAACGCCTTTGTCCACCGGGGTGACATGCAATTTTGAAAACCTTAGACCAAAGACAAATAGTCGACTCTCACTTCAAACACGATAGCCAACTACAAATCTTTTTTTTTTTAACAACAAACAGTTAAGTATCACCAAATCAACATAGAAAAAACTTACTAGATAAGTGAAACAACTTCTTAAACTTTCTCATTTCTCAGTTTACGCTTCGTTTCTTTTCTCTTCTGAAATAGTGAAAACACATGAATATTGATGATATCAGATATAAAACAACGGGATAAGATCACAAATTTTACGTCGGCAATTTAGCAGTTCTAAAAAATTACATAAGCATATTCAGATATTTATTGGTATCTTATGTAGTTCATACATTTTTGTTACAGATTATGTAGGTATGAGCAAAAGTACAAAGTTTGGAACGAATATTAGAAATTGTGGAAACCTAATAGTGTTGAATCGGCCCAAATAATCCATTGGGTAAAGTGGCCGGACAGAACTTTGCAACAGGCCGTGACCACAGAAGATGTCACGAAGATGGCGTCAGCCATAAGACCAAGAAAGGGGAGTGTTGTATCGTGGCTAGTAAGCATCATATAATCAATGGCTTAATATTTGTAGCCGTCATTAGATCATCGTCTTTTCTCTGATGTACAACTTACGAAGTCTTACTTAAGGCAAAGATAGATAAACTAACGTGGCTTGGAGACTAATTATGATTAAAAAAATAAAACGAAAGAGTCAGAACAAATATGGAAGCATTTCAAATAATAATTTTCCAAAATGAAACCATACGTAAATTTGCAGTGTATTGTACTATATTTTTTGGACAACAATATGTATAATACTATTTCAATTTGTATACTTTTATTCAAATTTTGTAATGTATATTGTAAACTCGTATACTTCTATATTACAAGTCGCAGCACTTAACATTTTGTCGCAGCAAATAGGAGGAAAGTTTTGACTCACCTACCAAGATTAAATTCATAAATATTATAACAAAAAAATTAGTTAAAAATATTTACTAGTGGCATTTTCAAATATACATTGCCAAGTTTCTTGGCATCGCAAACGGCAAGTCCAGTCTGTCTGCTCGCTTTTGATAAGCTTTGCGAAGGTGTACCTTTTAACAGATTGAATGATTCTTTTCATTCTTTAAATCAGTTGTTTTGTGGCCTTTCATAATCATTGATTCGAATCAGACAAAGTTTGTTTTGTCAGCGTTAAGTTTCTCCCTCTGGACCACTTTACACCTATACATAATTGGTCAATTTACAATTATTTTCAGTTTGCACAACAAAAGTCTTGATCATTTTTACTTATTGTCAATTTTGGACATTAATCCATTCGGCATTGTTGATAGTGTCTTGAGTTTGCTTTTGTATAAAGAGACCATGACAAGTAATATCATCGTACTCTTTTTGTTTTCACTATATGTGCTTTAGTTTTAAGTAATTCAGATTAATTAAGGCCTTTTAAAGATGACATTAGGTCTCTTTTTGTGAAAAATCTGTGATAGTTACGTTACTAAACTTCAATGAAACTTTATGTGAAAACATACCAAGAAATGATTGGTTCCAAAATGGTCAAAGTATTAGCAGACAAGAACCACTTGGTTAAATCATATATAGTAGTCTAATACTAACATCTTATCACCGTAACAAAAATGTCCAAGTGATTGCAATTTTGTCAATAACTATATTTAATTAGGCCTTATAGACTTTCTTAGAGAAAACAAGAAGAAGAGAACAAAAGACATTTGAAAGCAAGAACAAGCAAAGATTCCTTCTTCTCTCTTTGTCTTAAATCTTAATTAAATAGTTTAGTTTAAACCAAGTGACTTGATTTTACAACTAATCCTTGCTTACATATTCCTCCAGACTTTTGTCATGTCACCTTCCTATAGCTAGCTGCCTTCTATACTTCCACTGTTCCACATAACATACATATGTACACGTGTGTACATATAATTTCGTTTGATTCTGCATGGCATAAATATATGTATGTCCTGTGTCTTTATTATACGACGCAGCCCCATTTAACCATTTGCTAAAAGTCTTTGGACTATGATTTTTTCTGGTTTAATTAAAACGTTATTTGTGCGTTGGCGTTTACATCAGAAAACAAATAATGGTCTCTTTATCTATGCTTATCAAATAATTGTTTCTATAATAAAAAATAATATAATGCGTAACAATGTTCATATATACTCGCTCTGTATGTCTCTGTCTCTCACTCTCATTCATCATATTTACACAAGTTTTCTCTTAATTAGGACAGCTTGAGAGAGAAATTAAGATATGGGGAAGATGACCAAATCTGGAGAGAGACCAAAACAGAGACAGAGGAAAGGGTTATGGTCACCTGAAGAGGACCAGAAGCTCAAGAGCTTCATCCTCTCTCGTGGCCACGCTTGCTGGACCACTGTTCCTATCCTCGCTGGTTTTTTCTTAAACCCTAAAATCTTAATCCTAATCATTTGTGTACTCTCATCCCTAACTAAGTCTAATAATTGTGGCAGGATTGCAAAGAAATGGGAAAAGCTGTCGACTAAGGTGGATTAACTACTTAAGACCAGGATTAAAAAGAGGCACGTTTAGTGCAGAAGAAGAAGAGATCATCTTGACCTTACATTCTTCCTTGGGTAACAAGTAAGAAAAAACTTAATGGAAAACATTTGTTATTGTATTATGAATCTGAATCCGGATTATATAATTTGGGTCTGATTAGGTGGTCACAAATTGCAAAATACCTACCGGGAAGAACAGACAACGAGATTAAGAACTATTGGCACTCATATCTAAAGAAGAGATGGCTCAAATCTCAACCACAACTCAAAACAGAAAGGTCAAACCTAACAGAATCATCTTCTTCACCTCTTTCTTGTGGAAAAATGAATCCAGAAACCCTAGACCACGTGATCTCCTTCCAGAAACTTTTAGAGAAACCATCTTCACCATCACCACCACCACCAAAAGAAAGCAACCAAAACGTGGAGAACGACAACAACATGCCTAAACTCTTCTTCTCCGAGTGGAGCAGTTCTTCAGATCCACACATTAATTACTCTTCAGACTTTACAAATTCCATGCACACTAATCAAGCTCAAAATCGAATTGAAGAGGCGATGATCAGCAACAGCTACCCTTCACTTGAGGATGATGCCATGTTCCGTACAGAGTTTCAACAGCCTCCTCATCATGAGTATGAAAATTATTATACTTCTGAGGATTTCTTCATCAACAGCGACGTAAATTACATCTAAAGGTAACGTAAATCAAGAAGAAGGATACGAATTTATATGATTGTTAGAAGAAAACAATCAAGTTACTTGCGTTATAAGGCACAATCAAGAAACCATTTCTGAATTCTTAGAAAAATATGAACAAAGAAAAGTTCTTCTGGGAAAAGCTTGTATTTTTGTTCATATCTCGTTTTAGTTGTTTTATTTTCACGACAATCTGTATATACAAATAGAATAATTATTCGTATATGGCAGTGTTATTAATTTGGTTCATGTCTTTTTCTTTGTCTGTCTTCTTCTTCTTTCTCCAAAGACTTATTGTCGTAGAACATTTCAAAGTCAAATTATTTTAACGAGAAGTTATAACGATATTACTTGATCATATCATGTTTGAAATTAAATAATCATCTGTCGTAATCAAGCTTGATTTGAAAATAACAAGAATAACGAGAATAATGATCGTCACCGGTGTCCATTTTAATGCAATATCCTGCGACATCTTTAACAATAAGGTTGGATTTTTTTTCTCTCCTTTAAGGAAATAATGCCACGTGGCATCTAAAATTGGTTTCTGTATTTTGAGTTACGTTTGGGCTTTTAGGAACATTTCAGGTCCACTGAGAACGTAAATGTAAAATCAGACCAAAGTTCCAGAAATCTGAAACGTCTATCATCTATAACAGTCTCCACCTTGCATTCATTCGTTCTTTACTCCGAGCTTCTACTTGATTATCCTATTCCTCTAATTCTGAAGCATTCAATCGACTCCTGGTAAGATATTATATGTACTCTTCTCCTTCTCAGATAGGATTATAGATAAACATTTCGTGTTAGCAGGGTTTTGGTTTCTACTAACTTTTGTTAGATTCATGTTCCCAATGTAAGTTCTCGGTTATGGGGATTCATTCAAATTTAAAGTTATGGGGAAAATCAATCTCTCTCAACCTGAATGGATCGAGGTTATATAAGTCTTCAAGTCCAACCACCAAATACTCAAGGTGAGTGTGGGAAGTTAATATGTATATCTATGTTCTGCTATGGTTTCAGTCATTGTTTGCTTTGATCAAAAGATACAAAACTGTATTGTAACCCTGAATTGTTAATACTCTGTTATAGTTTTCCGGTGAATTCAGGCAGCATCTGGAAAGCATTTAGAAGAGGATGGAACCAGTTCCATTGATCGGATTCCTCGCAGGTTTCCTTTGATATTTCGTTACATCCAAAAGATATTGTTGATCACTGACAACAATGCATTTCCTGGGGAATGGTTAATTCATTTGTATACTTTGGTTCCCTGACCTTGCGTTGGAGGGGGCCATCATATATTATTCTTTGATGCAAAGCTCATATTTTACTTGTGGGTTCTTATATACCTTTTAAGGAAGTCTTTAACATTTGTTTCAAAGCTTGAATCTCATGAATTTGAAACAGAATTTTCAATATCCAGTGAGAAAGATAAGAATATGGGAAGTCAAAAAGACATAGGCATGGATCATCGATCTATAGTGAAAGGGAGAAGAGCAGGGACAGGGACAGAGACATGATGAAAAGGATAGTGAATGTGACATCCACGATGGTAGAAATTGTCAGAGAGACCGGAGCAGAGAACATAGTGAGAAAGAGAACGTGAGAGATACGCTATGGATAATGATGATGATTATTACAAAAGTAGAGACGGTGACAGGTGCTGATAATGTGTTGCAGTTGTTTTCTGGTGTAAGATTGTTCCAAAGGGGGATCGTGTGGGATTAAACGGATAATTTCAAGTTTTTATAAATTTAAAAAACTTCCATTTAAGAGATAGTGAATCATGGGTTGTGAATATTTATATATGGAATCGTGGGTGGTGCACCAAAAAAGAAAATTATTACCCCTTGATAAATTCTCATCTCTCTAAACTCTCTCTCTCTCTCTCAAGAAGAATGAGGAAAAGTGGAAGAACCGCCACATCAACCAAGGAACGAGACGTCACACCATCGTCACCATCACCGTTGGGTCTGGTTGACTACTTTGATGACGAAGAGGAATTGACAACACCACAAGGGAGACAAATCTTCCAACGTATCTCAGACGCGTTTGCAATCGCAACTGAGAAGTTGAACACAGAGTCAGAAAATGAGTCAGATCTAATGGAACTTGATGAGGGAGAAAAACAAGAGGCAGAAGGAAATTCTGATCAAGAAGATCAATCTCCAAAGTGACTTCAGAAGAAGTCGGTGAGACTACAGATCCTAGCGAGTTAATCAAAAAGACTCGAGATAATCAGAAAGAGTTACACCCTGGTGCTGTCTCTGAATAAAGAGATGACTCAGAGAAAACAGAGTTAGGTGAAGTCCAAGAAATTGAAGTTGAAGATGTGGAGCTTCTTATAGATATAAAGAAAAAGGTCAAAGAAAATAAGAGAAAGGCTAGGCCGTCGATCCAGAGGAATAACCCCAAGAGGAAGATATCACGTAAATCCACTCAACAGAGGTGATGACTCCAACTCCTGTATCATCGACTCCAGCAGAAGGTCAATCTCAAAAGACCACTCATATATCTGCAAACGCTAAGCTTCTGACAAGATAAAGGTATGAAAGATTCTCGTCTCGAGAAATCAATCCAGAGCAATCCGTGGATTTAGAAGCTAATGATACGTGGGGTTATCTGGAGATAATAAAAAAGGTATAAGTAGTTCTGTGCAGCACTCCCCAGTGAGATTAGAAGTCTTCGTGAGAGGCCAGAAGTTCGAGTTCTCCCCAGATGTGATCAACAAGTTCTTCAAGCTTGAATCATTGACGGAGGATGAAATAGAAGCTGATGAAACAATTGATGCACTCGTGAGTGAGGATATGGCATACTTTCTGACAAAAGAAACACGTGGGCTAAAGAATCTAACTTGGTAATCAAGTTAGAGTTAATACAAAGACTTCTTGGAGAGCAAGCATGAAGAGATCCACCTTGGAGAAGGGAGATTTCACGATGGGAAGTTCATAAGATTTAGTAGGAGTTTTAGAGAACTTACCATATTGGGATTTAGCGAATATTGGGTAGATAGCTAGGTTAGCCGACGTGGATATAATGTATATATAGTTCCACACGACCTGTGTATCAGGGTTGTCACCAGAATTGTATACTTAGCATAAGAGTGAGTTTCATAAGCTTATAAGCGATTGAAAGCACTAAGAGCTAAGGAGAGAAATTTTAGAGGTCTTGTATTTGACCTTAGGACGTGTGAGGCTAAGACAACAAGTCAAGAGGGTCTTGATCTTTGTTGGAATTATGTTTAAAGAGAGACTTGTAAGTTTACTTTAAAAGAATAGTAGTATATACACATATCGTTGTAGAGATATGGTGATAATTGGTTTGACTGTGGCTCTAATAATTTGGTTGTAAGAGTTTAGCTACATGTAAATTGGTTATATCTGTAAAGTTGTTACTGTAAATTTTTTGCAGAGATTTTTGTTGTAATTAAATTTGTTGTAGCTGTAAGTTATACACTGTAGATATATTAAAATAAAATATGTAAAATATGTGATATATATATATATAATTTATTTTATCAATTAAATAGTTTCTATTAATATATTTTATAAATTATCAAAGTCTTTTGTTATTTAAAATGTAATATATAAATAAAATTTATGTTATTTAAAATATTTCAATAATTTTAAATCACCCAAAATTAAATTAAATATTTATAGATGTTTTTAATTATGATTATCTAATTTTTTTATAGTATAGATAATTTTTTATTTATTTTACAGATTATACATGCTATTAAAAAACTTTAGGTTTTTTACTTAAAATACATAAGAAAAAGTTTTACTTTAGTTTTTTTGGCTATAGCTTTAAAAATAAATCTAAACAATAATTTGTAAAAAAGTATAGAAATTTGATGTAAACTTTAATTTTCAATAATAAAGTTACGACATAATTGGTAAAATTTATTGATTTAAAGATAAATAAAATTGAAATATGAGATAAAATCCAACCAATCACCCACATTCTCTGATGTATTTTGTAGTTTTGTATATGTTTCATAGTTCTTGCATTACAGAGAGCACTGACACGAGTTTACAATAAATTGTTACACAATCACCATCATAATCAAAGACAAGGAGCCACCTGTTCCATCAGTTAGCAGCTTCGTCTTTAGCAGTGTTAGAAACGTACCAAGCGACAGAAAAAAGGGCACGAAAAAAACACAAGATCCCTCCAATGGTGAGTAAATGATGTTTGAACCCACAAGAGGATTGTGACTTGCCGTTCCAATACGTTCCATACCCAAACGCCACATTTGCACCGGTGGATACGATCCTGTGATCACCATACAATCAACACACACCACGTGTTATTCACTCGGGACAACAATTATTAATGCCATGAAGATTGTACTGAAGTAACTTAACGAACGTACCCACTGAGGAGGAGAATACCACAGGAGAACTTCTTACTGAAAGAAGATCTTTTAAACTCGCGTGGAGATAATAGACAGGGACGGTCTTTGAAAAATTCGAGGAGCATGGAGATTAACAATATTACTTGTGCGCTTAGACCTAGCCAGAACGCTTTCTGGCTCGGCTCACTGCACACCTACATCCACATATGTAACCAGACCATCCTTTAGAATTAATGTACATTAGAGTAGGAACTCGATTGAACACTTATAAACAGTTTGAGTCAGTCCTATATCCAAACTATCATCATCAATGGGCCATGGGAGATAACATTTAACTCTGAGAGAGGAAATAAATGTAATACCCGATTTTGAGAGACTCCTGCTAGGATTCCGAGGACTGCAGCAGCTATATCTAAGCCCACGATGACAACGATATCCCATATCCTCGTCATTTTTAGTCTCTTTTTTTCTTCTAATTATTAGGATTTAGTTTTGTTGGAGATACTTTAAGAAGGATAAAGTTTCAAGAAGAGGAGAGGCTTCCCTGTGAGGGAGAGAATGTTGCTTGGAGTCTAAGGAGTAGTGCAAAGTCTAAGGAGTAATATCTTCTATGACAAAATGGGTTTTATCTATATACGAGTAGTCAGTAAAGTATGAGTGTGTAAGATATTTATTCTCGCTGACCATAACATACAATTTTGTTGGTGAATTCATATAATGATTATCCATCATATTTCTTTTGATGAAACACTTGTCCTAGTTAAACAAATGGTCAAATCATCATTTATTATTACATATTGTTTTGACTAAAATAATCAATTTAATGAAACACTTCTCCTAATTTTACAAATAATCATATCATTATCATTACTACACATTTTTTTAACTGATCATATCATTTATTATTACATATTGTTTTGACTAAAATAATCAATTTAATGAAACACTTCTCCTAATTTTACAAATAATCATATCATTATCATTACTACACATTTTTTTAACTGATCATATCATTTATTATTACATATTGTTTTGACTAAAATAATCAATTTAATGAAACACTTCTCCTAATTTTACAAATAATCATATCATTATCATTACTACACATTTTTTTAACTGATCATATCATTACTACACACATATTTTTTTTACTATAAAACAAAGTATGTGTAATGATGAAGATGATATGTACAAATATCATTATTACACGTATCTTTATATCTTTCAGTAGAAAGATATGACTAATGTTTGTATAGAATAGAAACACAAGAAAGTGAAACCAAAAGCATTGTACTTATCATCTTTCTCTTGTACAACACAACACACACCTCACAATAATTTTTTTTTGTCATCCGCCATCACAATAAATAACATAAGGAAATTAAATACCTCAAATAAATTTAATTCAATTGTTAAATACCCAATTTTTTCTATCCATTTTAATATCCAAACTAATTATTTTCTCATTTTAATACATTTACATTTAAGTTGTGCTCATATTAATACATTTAAATTGTGTTCATTTTAATATTCAAAATATGATAAAGATATTAGTAAGTGTCAGAATTTTTTTTCAAAAAATCTCCGAAATTCAAAAACAAATCTGAAAATTCCAAATTGAGTAAAAAGAACTAATTTGTTGATATACCAAAAAATAAAATATTATTTTATTTTATTTATAATTCATATTTATTTTTTTCCAAATTTTAAAATTACTTTTTAACTTTATTACTAATTTTTTTTATAGATTTTATAATATTTTAAAAACTTTTCTTTTTAAAACGTAAAATAAAATTTGAAATTTTTAAGATTTGTTTTTGAATTTTAGAATATGTCTACAAAAATTGTTTTAACCTTATTAATATTAGCACATTTTGAGTATAAATGAGCAAAACTTTAAAAAGTGTATAAAAATGGGTAAAATAATTAGTTTAAGTATTAAATTTGATAGAATAAACTTAAATTTAGCGTAATTTAGTTGAAATATTTTTATGGAATTTTCCTAATAATATAATATAATAAATATATACACAATTATATTATATATATACATACATATATAAATATATATATCCACATAGAAAAATATAACATGTTATTAGCACAAACACTCTTATGCCACCAATGTGAGGTTTAATCTATATTTTAATATTTAAATTTTATTATTTTGGATGATAGGCTCTCCTTGTTGTTTATTGATTTGGGATGATAGGCATTGTATTTCCCGACCGATTATTATGATAGGCTATGCTTTCACGAACAAAAATTCACATGATACACTTTACCTTTGTTAAATAATTGATATGTTAAACTATGTCTCCTCAAATCACATGGAAAGATTTCTTTCATGAATTATTAAATCATCAATATAGCAAAGTAGATCTTCTTTAGATCTTATAGAAGCCTTCGTTAATGATTAGATGAAAAATATAGTAAACTACTGGTCGATTTGCGCTATGCGTAGGATATATTTCTTTATGTTTTATATTAAAAAGTTATTATCAAATGTAATTGTTAATATACTAATCTAACTGTTGATAAAAAAACTAATCTAACTGTAAAAATTGGTTTCTTGAGGGACTTAAATTTGCTGCAAGTTTAAGTTACTGGATAAAGCGGTTAAGAATAAATATCATCTTCTTTATTTTTAATTTTATATTAGGTTTTGTAGTTGTGATATATTGTTAAATTAAGTGTGATTAATTAGTGGCAAAGAATTTAAACGGTATTAATCTTTGTTTTGAAGTCGGAACTTTTAACTGACACTAGATCCTTTTCCGCGCTACGCGCGGATAACATTTTAAAAATTTTACAATTAGTTTTGTTATTTGAATATAATCTATTGCCAAATTTTCATATGTATATAAACTATGTAGATTTTAAGAGATTTGAGACTAAATATTAAAGGAACATTAGATATTTAAAACACATTTAACAATTTTAAATTGTTAAGAGATCCGAGACTCAGAAGTAAACAAACATAATTGATATTGAAATTTCAAAATTCTCAATTTAAAATATATAAGAATTGATTATTATATTTTTTTTTTAAAAGGATGAAGGAATTTGATAAAGAAAAATGAGTAATGAAAAGATATTCTCATAAGCAACTAATTTTATAAAACTTGACGGGTTAAAAAGAAGAATCTATATTTTAGCACAATTTGAATTGAGCGGTTCATGCATCTCTATCAAAAAAAAAAAACATCAGACAAAGAACTTTCAAAGTTTTCTACGTGTTACATTATTTCATTCTCTAATTTGTGAAAGGCGGTTTGGAATTTAGAGAATGTTAGATATTGCAAGCATATAATACTGTCAATTTTCATAATTTTCTGAGAAAGAGAAAAGTTAGAAAATAAATAAATTTGAATATATGTATGTTATATTTAGATTTGAACAAAATTATCTTTTTCTTATCCCTAATTAACTCATTTTTCCGGGGTTTTCAAATAAAAGTGTATTAAACAAATATTTTCTTATATTTATATTTAACTATATATATATATATATATATATATATATATATCCATACCAATTACAAAAACAGAAATTGGTAGGTTAATTTTAATTTTATTAATTTTTTGTCTGAAAACTTTAGAAAGATAAGAACTCGCAATTGGTTGTAATTTTACTATTTTATAAGCTTTTGTTGTAATTGTATGTTTTATATAATAAATTTTATGTATAAAGAAGAATTCTTTATTTGTTATAGTTTAATTATTAGTATCATATAAGATGGGAAAGTAGAATAGGAATGGCAAAAAAATCTGAACCCAATCTAAAACGAAAATAGTACTAAACCCAACCGAATCAGGTTAAATATCTGAGTTGATTTAAAAATATCTAAATACTAGATATCGAACCCGATCCGAGATATTTATGTTATCCAAATACATCCAAATCAGATCTATATTTTAGAGCTAATATCCAAAAATATCCAAAATTTATAAGATATTTTGAAGTTATCCAAAATATTTGAAAATATATAAAATAGTCAAAAGTAAGTATCTAAAATTGTTAAACAATATGAGATTTTATAATATTATATCTAAAACCACATATAAAATGCAACATATATATATATATATATATTTTTACACACCAAATAATATTAAAAATTAATATAAACGTCAATTTCAAAAAAAATAATATTTAATTTCTACGCACGAAAAATTAAATATTTTTTTATCTTATAATAAATATATTTGAATTAAAAATCTAAATAAAGAAATTTTTTTAAAATTAATAAAATTGCAAAGTCCTAACATTATTAATTTATAGCGGTTTTAATATATAATGCCATAGTCTATATGAAATAGAGAAAACAATCACAAAAATAATGCCATAGTCATATAATCTTACAAAAATAAAATAAAACCAGAGAAAACAATCACAAAGGATACGAAACAAGTATAATAAAGAAATTGTCTCTATTATTTTATAACCCATAATATTATTTTCCATTTAAAATACATTTAAATTTTCCAGACAAAATTTACATATACTAATACTAAAATTATGTTTTATTGTTTACTAAGGCGGGCCAAATCCTAGTTTGTAATAAACTAAAATAACAACATAATAACCAAAGCGATAAATCCATTACATTGAAGTGAAAGTGTGACAAACTTATTCTATATATGATAAGCCCATGTACGTGGTTTTGTTTTCATATACCTGGAGATATCGTGAGCACCAAATGGTTGAAACAGACATTCGAGGATCCAAAGACACTATTTCTAATGTTGCTTGCACAAAAAGATAACAAAATGAATTATTTTGAAGAGAAAAAACGTTTTTTTTTTAATTTCCTGATGAAATAAGGCACGAACAAGTACCTGAGTGTTGTCGTCTTTGGATTAAATCATTCAAATGCTCAGTAACTACGTCAAGTTGTTTTCACGAAGCATTCAGCTTCGCTAGATTAGCCTGTGTTCTCGTATCCATATATTGCTTCCCATGATCTTACTAAACCTGACGAAGCTATATGGTTTTGAGATTGTTTGGATAAGTGTTGTTTCGTCGAAATTATCAAGTTCCTTCTGAAGATCCTGCAGGTAATGAAAAAGCAGCTTTCTTGGGTAGGAAGAATCAGATAATGCGATGTAACATACCTTCTTCTCCACCAGGAAGCTTCACAACACAGTTTCAGAACAACAAAAACATTAGAATTACTAGATTGAATATTAAAATGAAAGGGATTAAGCAAAATTATTGATTAATATGGAATGATACTGGAAAGAATGATGATCAAACAAGATAGTCATCTTTGGATGTAACAATGGGTCTTTGGAGGTTTATTTTAGGAGGAGTTCGACTTGCTGCTTGTAGAACAAGAAACTAGCGTTGTCTTGTTGGTTTACATAGGTTTGATCTTGTGCCAGAGGTAATCCGTTTTCAACCCTACCAACTATCGTTAGCTTCACCATTATTATTTCTTGATTTATTGACAAGAGTTAATTATCTTATGTAACTTTCACATATAAAGACATATAGAGAAAGAGAGACGGAGAAGGATTGAAGATGAAGATATCCCATTTGGGTATGCAGAAGAAAAGAAACAGAGGGTGGTGGTGGGAAGTTAATGAATGGAGACTTTGGGGACAAACTGAAGATTAAAGGAGATTTGTGGGGTTTTTCTTGTCCATAAACAACTTTAAGGGAGGGGAAAGAATAATAGTTTTCTTTGAAATTATGAATTCAAATTTGATTTGGATTTTAATTTTCTTTTGGATTTATGGTTTAGTATGCATCGATCTATTAAAAAGTTTCACCGATCCTTTAGGGACTAGGGCGGGAGACATGCTAAGGTGTGTGAGGCAGAAAATTATGACGCTTCAAGTAGATAGGGAAATGGATTCTGGACACAATGAAGATATAGTTACACTAAAGCAACAGATCAAAGATTTGGATTGGGAGTTAGAATCATACAGGAGAAAGAACAAAGAACAGGAGACTCTTACGAGTCCTTCAGCAGCAAGAATGCTTAACAGCAGGTGGTGAATCTCAGGTAGATACATTGGAAGGTGGACTAAAGCAACAATCACTAGAATACTCTGAATATTTAGTTACTGTCAATGAACTAGAGAGTCAGGTTAAGGAGTTAAAAGAAAGAGCGTGAGGATCAAGTACGAGCATAAGAATCTGACAACAAAGAAATTGGAGGAAATGCCAGAGAGAGCAGAGAGCGAGATTACGCAACAGAGAGAGAGATAAAGAAAAACGTGGAAGAGAAGAACGAAGCTTTCTTGATGAAGGTGGGGTTTTGAAGCTCACCAATGAGAGACGAATCAAAAACAGCAGCTACTGAAACAGAGAAGATAGTACAAGAGTGGAGGAAAGAAAAAGATGAGTTTGGGGAAAAAATTGCTTTGGATAAAGACGAGACCAAGACAGCTCAGGCTACATAATCTGAAGAGAGAAGTAGAAGGTCTAAGCCTTCAGTACAGTGAATTACAAAACAGCTTTGTTCAAGAAAAAATGGAGAATGAAGAACTGAGAAAACAAGTATCAAACTTGCAAGTCGATATCCGGAGAAAAGAAAAGGACATGACTAAAATCCTAGATGCAATGTATGTAACTATAACACTAAGTCTTTCATGTTTCACGACTTATTTAAGATTCCAACTCGACAATAACAGGATGAAAGCAAGGTCACAGGAAAACGAGCAGAAAGAGGACAATCTAACAAAGCTATCAGACGAACTGGCCTATTGTAAGAACAAAAAACAGTTCAATGGAGAGAGAATAGAGGAAGAAGAAAGACAACAGCCTGTGATGACTGTCAGAGACCTCAAGAGCGGTAAACAAAGTTTTAGTAATGGTCTGGTTTGCATGCGAGTACTATTTTTGTAACATCACAGAAGAGGAATACTATATGATTATGGTCCATTAATTATGATCTTCAAGAAAGCAATAAAAGTACACTTACATAAAGATTGGGCCACACTGATTTTCTGACTGGTCTTTACTTCCATAACAGTTTTGTTTGCCTTCCAGATCCATTCACAGCGTAAGATAGAGTCTGGAAATAAATAAATAAACTATGGTGTTAATGAATCTAAGTTATATAGGTAGATTCATAAAAAACAGATACCTGTTTTGCCCGCTTATCGATTGGTGTAAACGACCTAAGAAGCGAGTCAGATCTCTCATGTTGTGGCGAGGCTGAAGAATTCTTCGACCGCTTCTGCTTTCTCTCTTCTGGAACCCTGCTACGAGCATTGCCTCCTTTATGCTTGAATAACTCTATTACGGAAGGACTCTTCCTCTTGATATTAGATTTGTTTAGGTTCCTTCCTCGAGTTTCCAAACTAGAGGGAGTGATATAAGAAGGAAGAGATTGTTGAAGAGATTGTTGCTGCTTCCTTTCTATAGTCTTTTCTCTGACTCTGTTGAGAAAATCAATCGTCCAAGGAGAACCTTGTACTGGATCTGGAGAAGGTGTTGCGTTTGATAGTGGAGACCTACCAAAATGTGATATCTCTTCTTGAAACGGATGATCCGTTGTGGAAACTGCAGATCTCCGTGTTAAGACTTCCTCCAGAAGGGTCCGTTGCCTTTTTGCTGGGTAGTTATCAACATAGCCACGCGAAGGCGAAGAAGAAGTTGACACGTTTCTGTAATCGTTCTCGGTGGGTAACCTTTCAGAACTGAAGTTAATCTCAGCTGATGTTGGGAAGATAGGCTGGATAGATTCAGAGAAAGATAGCTTCCTTGCAGACTTTGATTTCCTCTGATCGTCAACATCAGAAACTACTGGAGAGTACCTGTTATAACCAGGAGAAGGAGGGAAATCTTCCTTGAGAAACTTACTATCCTCTATGTTGATAACTTCACCTTTGTAGTCTCCCATGAAGTTCTCTGAGTTTCTAGTGTCGTGCAAGTTTACTTTTCCCATCACAGGAAACTTGCGTCCTCTGTTCTGACTCATGAACTCATCTGTAACGGGGAAACTCCAACTTTCAAATCCAGGAAGATTATCCTGCACTCCAAAATCATTCTCCCAGAACGCGTCCTTTGATGAAGAACCAGGTCCTGACTTCTTGTCAAACCTCTCAGGATCTTTAGATGGCCAAGAGTCGTTAGGATGAATGATGCCAGAAGGTTTGAGAGGTGCATCGGGGAATTCAGTGACAGGGTCAAAATGAAACATCTCATGATCTTTAGATGACCAAGAATCATCAAGTTGGAAATCCCCTGAATGCTTGCGCTTCGTACCAGAAAACTCTGTCGAGGGAACACGATGCACCAAGTCGTCCATATCTATCTCATCTTTCCCAGTACTGTACTGTTTTCTTTTCGAACCAGAATGGACACTGAAATGGTGTGTGTCTGAGTCAGGTCCAGAGGATATAGAAGAAGAGCTGTCTGTCATTACAGATTTGGAGTCCTCCCTTGCACCGTATCTGCATAATGAGCTGAAGAGTTCAACACTCTCTTCAGGTACATGGTACTTTTGCAACATTTGAACCTTGCTAGTATGTGGGAGCTTCATGAACTCGAGAAGTGACCCAGCAGATGACAAAATTACATGAGCTGTAAGCGGATTCACGGAAGGAAACTTGGTGAGAAATGATTCTGCAAGAGTTTCAGACTCAGGCATTTTGGTATGGACTTGTGAAGATTTAACAGAAGATTTGATACACCTCAGTATAATTTCATCAGTTAAATCAGCTGATGATGAGCAAAAGATCTGTAAACTGATTCCCAGGCTGCCAGCTGCTGCATATAGTTCATCAGAAGAGTCCATTACTGTAGCCAGGGAAGTGGGTTCCCCCTCAAAAACCTACAGAAAGAAAAATAACAATCATTCTTCAAGAAGTGTTGTAGACTCATTCTCCAGTTGATAAAACCATGGCAGAGACATTAATGGCAGGAAGCAAAGTTCAGAGATATTTACCATAACACAGGTGCTGAAACCAAAACTCAGTGACGTCAAAACATTGGTTGCGATATCCCCAATCCATGAAAGTGAGCTTGATGAAGCACCAATAGTTGCATCTGACTTCTTACTAACATTTCCACAATCATACCAGACTAGGCAAATTGCAGGACTTAGCATCAGGTCTACAGGTAGATCTGAATCACGCTCCACAACTTGCACACCTTCTCTTTCCATTGCCAAGACCTTTTGATATGTTCTTCTTCTGGATATTATCATCTCCTTGTCAACAGTTTTTGTGTTCACTACAATCACAGCTCTTTGGTCAGAGAGAACTCCCTGCTCATTTACACCAGTTTTTCTTCCACACTCTTGAGGCACGGAATTAAATTCAGATTCCTTCGTAGTTTCTGAAGATCCTGCGGAACATACACTTTCAAGTGGAACAAAGTTCAATACTTCTTCCAACCACCCAGTTTTTGTCTCAAATTCATCTCCCTACAACAGACATTAAAGTTCAGTAATAAGTTCATATTCGGGACATGTACATTTAAACAAACAGTTGTAATATATGCAGTTATGGAAGAAATGTGAAATGTGAAAACAATTTTAGATTCCATCGTACATACTAGTGTTGAACTTGTATAATTTCCAGACTCGCTATGAAAACATTATTAGTGATCATCTGCTCTGGATTAGATCCCTTCACTCACAGACTTCCACCATACTAATACAGTCTACATATGTGATCTTTATTGTTTGAAAAGTCTGCACGTTGAATGCTGCTTACCTTTACCATTTTGAGACTATAAGGTACTGTAACACCTGCAGAGAGTTGCCCGCACGCACTGGACATATCAAGCTCCACTTTTATAAAATGGAAGCAAGGAAAGGAGTTCAACTTTAAAAGAGATGAGACTTTGGGCGATGCATTTGGACATCCATATTCTACAATGACACTGAAATTCTCCACAGGAAAAGATGGAGAAATGCGCCTAGAATAAAATAGCAAGAATTAGTTAGCTAGCTTGCCTACTCTCCAAAAGAAAAGTTTGGCAAAAATGTTGAAAAAGAAAGGTATGTTTCTTAGCATGAAAAGATCCAAAGAACAAAAAAGCAATTCACACAAACAAATGCCATCATAATATGTCAGGTTCAGAAGCAACAGTATTTAGTGGTATCTAGCTCTTGCAATCATCATGATAAAACCCCTATCGTTATCCATCAACAACTTTCTTCCCTCTCCACTTCCCATAAAACTCAGTTTTCAAAGGCTATGATCATTGAGAGAATAATAATGTAGCAAGAAATGATACTCACTCGTAAGCGACAAGCAGACAGTCTGTAGTTGGCAGGAAAAAAAGTTCTGTTGCTTCATTAAGATTAGGTTGATTTCCACTTGGGGACGGACTGTTGAGCTCACTGTAAGATAACCCCATGGACACCAATAGCCTCTTTAGAGAGGACCAAAAAACTTTCTCAGCCAAAAGTAACGCTTTGGAATTCCCACGGACAAATTTTGACTGTAAAATCCCCTGGATAACAGCTAGGGATGGATGTGATCTAGTGATGTCTGTTTCAGTTGACATGTGTTCTGATTCAAATGATGAGTAGAGCGTGTGCAATCCTAGCTTCATGGGATTTGAGCTCCGAGATAACTTGTTAAGATAGAGATATGCGACACGGATACCAAAGAAACATAAATACCATGTCATCTGTTTAATTGCTAGTAGCAATGCAAACGTGAAAGTCTTATCATCAGCTGACCGTGTTTTGTGGACATTTTCCTTTCGTATGCAGTCGATAAGCTTTCCTTTCGAAATGCTGAGTAGCTTAAGCTTGTCTTCTGATAAAGTAGAAATCAACTCTGGTTCATCCTTCACAAGCGTTAAATAGCTCTTCTCAAAATCCCGAACAAGGGCCAGAATATTTTCTGAAGGGCGCACACTGTGAAGTATCATATCCTCTGTCCTCGGGATTGGGTGGATGCCACCAGATGCACATGAAGCCTTTGCGTTAGTGGACGTAATTTTATGGTTGTCAGTCTTATTAGCTTCGACTCTAGACTCAAGACTCTCTTCAATCACAGCTTTCTGAGGATCCATGAAAAAACTTAAGTCATCAAAAGCAGACATTGATTTGAACAACATGGCAGCCTTTTTAGCAGAATCACCCCTTCCACATTCCCCGGCTCCTGTTTCCGGACAAGGGTTTTCCGATAACCGATAAGAAGTATTAACAGGAGGTTGCTCATCAAGAATAGATATACCATAGAAAGGTTCAGTGCATCTCTCTACAATTGGCTCGCAGAAAACATCTTTAGAGAAAACGAAATCATAAACCCATTTGTCTCCTTCTAAAGATTCCAAATCACAATCAATGTTGCATGTAACTATTTCTTCAGAGGGATAACCAAAAAAATGGGCTTCATGGTTGTGCTTTGTCTCCTCAAGAAGGTTCAAAGGCAAGTATATGTCATTTGATGCAGGAAAGGCCTGAGGCTTGATCTTTGACAAATAATTCTCATAAACGAGTTCCAGAGATCTTGTAATCTCATTATCATGTAAGATAGGAGTTGGCAGAGACTTGAAGGCATCATCTGCGAAGGCAAGTTCAGAACTGACAACTAACTCATCAAAATTCTTGAAGTTCATCTCTTCACTGAACATCCCGGGACATACTTCTGGTTCAGCTGCTTGTTGAAGACAAAGGAAGCCACCAAAAACATCAGATATCTCCACATCCAAGATCTGAACTTCCTCAAAATTCACCGAGACCACATCATCACCCAACTTTCCCTGTTCAAACTGAAATCTTCCCTCAGGATTTGGTATTTCCAAGATAGTCACCATATCAACTTCCTGTGGTACCAAATCAGACTGGACACTCTTGTTTGAATAGCAATCCGTAGAGAGGATATCCAATAGATCATATTCCTTGGAGCCTATAAGCTCCTTAGAGTTGATAACGAGAGAACTCTCTGTATCCAAATCTCTGGGCTCAATCGTTTCAAGAACAGAAAATACTTTATCAAGCATAGACAAGCTTGATAGTTCCTTCAAGTTTACCTCATCCACTTCTAGAAGAGGAAATACAGCATCTCTGAACCATGGTCGATTCTTCCGGAAGCACTCATCTTCTTTCACCGATGTACTGTCCTCTGTTGTGTAATCAGAAGCAATGCAATCAACAGAATAAATCTTCTGTTTGATCTCACTTGAGTTCTGTATAATAACATCTGACTCCTCGAACTTAACCTGCAACAAGAAAACTATCCAAATTCAGATACAGGAAAAATAGCTTAACAAGCCTAGAAAGCTCCAATGAAAATGTTTAGTTACCGGCTCATTTTCGATCTCTAGAACTTTAGAGAGACACTGAAGATCCTCAATCTTGGACGAGAGCTTATTCTCCTGCATATACAAAGATAACTTCATACCACAACGAAGGAGAAACTGGTACATGTTTACAATAATACCATTTCGAAATCCATCTCTGGAGTCTCCATCTGTACAATGTTAAAATCCAATATAGCTTTCTCCTCAACGGCACTTCCTTCACTCTTCTGCAACAGATCAGCACTTAGATATTATTCTAAACCAAGTCGGATTACAACTATCACAGATTCAAACGCAAGATGCACCGTTCATATTCATGATTCCAGATAAAATCGCAGAAACGAACAATTCTAGGGATTCGAAACCTCACCTCGAGGAACTTACGATCTCCACGGCCGAGGATAAACCTCAGCTCGTCTCCGAGGGAAGAGTAATCCATCTCGAAAGCGTCATCGTCGACGGGGACGCGATCGGGAACCACGTCGGCGAGGAACTTCGATAACGCATCTCCGATTGGAAGATTATCGATCGGGAGAGAGAAGCCTTCGACAGGTTCGAATCGAAGAAACTCTTCTCTCGTGTCGTGGAAGAGAGGAGCCGGGAAGTTATTGGGAGCTGGGAGATTGAGGAAGCCTAGGGCTTCGTATACGTGAGATGGTGGAGTAGAGAAGTAATCGATGTTGAGAAATCGACCTCGCATTGTGCTCTTTTGGGGGATTCGTAGTGGATGTGACTTGTGAGACTGCAACGGAGACGACGACGACGAAGGAGGAGTGATTTTGAAATTGGCGCTTTAATTTCTTTGAAGAATTTAATAAGAAATAAAAATTTTGTTTGGGACTGCAACGGAGATGACGACGAAGGAGGAGTGATTTTGAAATTGGCGCTTTAATTTCTTTGCTGATCGATTTGAAGAATTTAATAAGAAATAAAAATAAAACTGAAATCTCCGACGATTTCGAAATGTGGAAGAGAATGGGTAGAACGGTTCGGGCGTTCGGATTAGATATCCGGATTCGATCGGTTTTGGTTGTTCGTTGGTATAAATTTTGATTTCATTCGGTTATGTTAAGTAGGTTCGGATATTTTTTTGGTTTGGTTCAGGTATAGTAACACATTGAAATACTCAATTCTAATCCATTTTAACTCCAGATTCAGTTCTTTATCATGTTTCAGTTACTTAAATACTGATTTGTGCTCCAAATGTACATATTTCAGTTTAAAAAATTGGCAAGTTTAAACATTTTACACTAATAAAACTTGGTGACATGATTCATAATTGGTAGTTAAAAAAGGAAAAAATATAAACAAGTTAAATTATGTTTCAAAAAACAAGTTAAAATGAATAACTAACAATTTATAAATGTAAAAAATAGTATTATAATTTCATAAAATGACATTTTAAAAACTTTTAAACCAAACCTATTCATAACTGAAGTTTAATGCAATTGTTAAAATATTAAATTTAAATATTGACCAAATACCAAAAATATTTATTTTATATTAAGTATTTGTGTTGATTCTTCATATAATAAATATTTCTTTTAGGTATTCAATAAAATTTCAAAGTGTGTTAGATACTTATTTTAGGTATTCAATAGTATTTCAAAATGCGTTTTGGGATTAAATTCGAATACACCAAAGTTAAAAACAAAATATAAGAAAAACATAAGCAAAATATGTCAACTAAAACAAATAATTTAACATCCATCAAATTCTACAAAATAACAAACGCTTCAAATTCATACACAAAAATAGTAGACAGGATAGTTTTTAAAATAGATATTTACTGATTTGTTAACACTACTATGTGACAAAAAAATTAATTACTTAGCTTATTTGTGTGAGAAAAGATACAACAAAACAAAGTATAAATCAAACACTAAACCAAACAACATTTGTAGGATTATTATTTAAATGAGTAAATTATAAACAAAGAGTAAAACAAGAAATCATTATAAAAAACTTAAAATCTAGATTTTTGGTTCATTTAGTCAGGTTCGGTTAATAACAATTAGAATTCAAATATGTTTATAATATTCTAAAAAATCTATTTAAATATTTTTATATTTCTTGGATTTGGATTTTCAATTTATGTTTAGTTTACATCTCAAATACTGAATTTTAAGTTTTCAAGTTAGTATGAAATCTTAAAATTTTGCTGACTAACTCTAAAAATTTATGATTTAGTTTCTCAATTTTGATATCAAACCAGAATTAATTTTGGGATTTTATTAAACTCTAGATAAATTTAAAATATGTTTAGTTATTTCAAATAATGTTGATTATATTCTAATAATTTATATAAGTACATTTAGTTTAACTTTCCATTTATATTTTAAGATGTAGTTTATAAAATTGATTTATTGAGATTTTCTGGTTAAAATATACCAAAAAATTATATTAACTGATTGAAAATTTTAATCGGTAACTTAGTTAATTTTGAAAAGACAAAAAAATTATGGAATCTATAACGAAACCTGAATCAAAATTAAAAATGATAGTTCGGTTTGACGTGTTTGACTTGGAAAATCATATTAAACTATTGGAAAATTGAACAGACAACTTAGTTAATTTTGAAAAGAAAAAAAATTATGGAATCTATAACCAAACCTGAATCGAAATTAAAAATGTTGGTTTGGTTTGACATGTTTGACTCGGTTATTTGCACCAAAAAAATGTTTCACTCGGTTTCCACACCGTTTTCAGCCTTTCAAGTTTCAATATTAAAACTAAGAACGACGTGCCGTTTATTTTATTTAAAACAGCACACAACGCATAGGTACATGATTAACGTAGACCGACTTTTAATGAAAGTAACGTCGACATGCTTCTATAGGATAAAGATTTATTTGGATTTGATCAAAAAAAAAAAAGATTTATGTGGCAACATAGCCACGTAGAGAGCAAAGCTCTGAGACGTGGCGTGACGGGACGGACGCATCGCACGTGTCAGTATCCTACAGAAGTGAAGAGCCACTAGCCAAAGAGAGATGGTTCGGCCATATATCATTTTCCTCTCTCAAGTCCCTCTATATAAAAACCTTTTCATGGTTTCTCAGAGACATGCCTAGAAGAAAAACAAATACACAGAAACAACAGAGAAGAAAGAGTTTGGTTGATTACAAAAAAAAAGAAACAGCTTTGAAAAATGGATATGCAGTCGCAGATGACACGTCCTTATGGTCATGATCAAGCAGAGGATCCAATCAGAATTCACCATCCAGGTAATACATAATGATAACCACATTAAACCAGCAAGTAATGTTATTAAATCAGACTAATCATGTATCATGGTTTTCCTTTTGGATGCAGAGGAAGAAGAGCATCATGAGAAGGGAGCAACTAAAGTGTTGAAGAAAGTGAAAGAAAAGGCTAAGAAGATCAAGAACAGTCTTACTAAACATGGTCATGAGCACGATCATGATGCGGACGAAGAAGAATATGACGAACCAGATCCAGAAGTGCACGGCGCACCAGGTTTTTATCCTTTTTCATTAATAAACATATAGCGGTTAATGTTTTTGTGACATTAACGGTTTCTCTGTATGGCACAGTATATGAGTCATTTGCTGTAAGAGGCGGCGTAACAGGTCACCCTGAGTCTCTAACTCATCCCGGAGAAACTAATCTTCCGGCACCGGAAGAGATAATACCCCCAGGGACAAAGGTTTTTCCTGTCGTCACTACGGATTACACCAAACCCATTGAACCTGAGCCATTACAAGATATCTCTTACGGACACGAGGCACAGTTTCATCCTGTAACGGATATGTCCAAGAAGGACGAGAGAAGAGAGGCAGCATCTCATTCTCATCCTCTTGGAGTGTTCAACATGTCGGAGAGAGAAGAGAGCAGAGAGGATCATCAGATGCCGATGCACACTCCTGCCTCTCTGCTTTCTTCAACAGAGGATGTGACAAGGACGTTTGCTCCTGGTGACGATGAAGATCATCTCGGTGGTCAACGGAGAGTCAACATCGGAAGGCCTAGAGGGTTGGAGGAGGATCCAGCTGCTCCAGGAGGAGGGTCGAGTTATCGAAGTGGCGTGTCTAATTATCAGACCAAGGTTACTGATCCAACTCGCCAAGGTGAGAACATTTTATTACACGAACTCAAGATAGTGTTGTTAAATGAAAATCTAACTCTTGTGTTTTCTAGGAGGTGGAGAAGCTGGAGTACCTGGGATTGTTGAGTCTCTGGGTAAGATGAAAGTGAGAGATGAGTCGCCTGTTCATAAATCAGGACGAGATTTTGAAAGAGAGATTCCGACAAGAAGTCATGAGTTTGGTCTGAAGAACGAACATGGAATCGGAAAAGATTCTCCGGCTGGATTTGGAGGGGACTCTGGAGTTGGGATCGGGAAAGATTTTCAGACAAGAAGCCATGAGTTTGATATTCCGACAAGAAGTCATGAGTTTGGTCTGAAGAACGAACACGGATTTGGAGGGGACTCTGGAGTTGGGATCGGGAAAGATTTTCAGACAAGGAGCCATGAGTTTGATTTTCCGACAAGAAGCCATGAGTTTGGTATGAAGAACGAACATGGAATCGGAAAGGATTCTCCGGCGGGATTTGGAGAGGAATCTGGAGTTCAGATAGGGAAAGATTTTCAGACAAGAAGCCGTGAGTTTGATTTTCCGACAAGAAGCCATGAGTTCGATTCTGGAACAGACAAGAGTTCGTCGACTGTTTTGACCAGCGGATCAATCGCTGGTTTGGGGGAAGATTTTCCGGCAAGAAGTCATGAGTTCGGTGGAGTCGGAAGCAAGGACTCACCGACGGTATTACACGGAGAGTCAAGAGTCGGAGTCGGGGAAGAATCTCCGACGAGGAGCCATGAGTTTGGTCTGAAGGACACGGCGAAGGGAAGCCATGGATTTAATGAGGAAACCGGACCTGAACTGGAGAAACGTTTGCCGGCGATAAGTGATGATGTGAAAGTAGAGAATGTGCTCAGAAGAGACTTACCAACGGGAACTCATGATCAGTTCTCACCGGAACTCTCTCCTCCGATAGAGAAGGAGACGCACGAGTCAAAACCCACTTCCTACACAGAAAAGCTAGGTTCAGCGACGTCGTATGTAACCGACAAAGCTGTAGCTGCTAAAAACGCTGTCGCTTCGAAGCTTGGGTACTCCGGAGAAAGCGGTGGGCATGATGAGACAACTCCAGGATCTGCCACGGGGTACGGGCAGAAAGTGGCGGGAACTGTTGCGGAGAAGTTGACTCCGGTCTACGAAAAGGTCAAAGAGACAGGATCCAACGTAATGACGAAATTACCCCTTTCGGGAGGTGGAAGTGGAGGGGAGGATAAGGGACACGTGGAGGAAAAAGGTGTGTCGACTAAAGACTACTTGGCGGAGAAGCTGAGACCTGGAGAAGAAGACAAAGCGTTATCGGAGGTGATTGCTGAGAAACTTCATCTCGGAGGAGGAGATAAGAAGAGGACAACGGTGAAGGAAATGGAAGTGACGGTGGAGAAGATCCCTATCGACAAGATATTAGAGGAGAAAGAACATGTTGTGTCGGAAGAAGGAAAAGTAGGAGGAGGAGGAATGGTGGGGAAGGTTAGAGGAGCGGTCACTTCTTGGCTCGGTGGTACAACAGAGGACGTGAAGACGAGATCTTCAGATTCTGTTGACGACAAGTCTTCACAGTCTCTTGGCTCCACCGTTGGTAAAACTTCTTCATCCTTGTTTTGCTTGTTTGATCAAGTACTTTGGTGTATTTATTATTAAATGGTTGTTTGTTTATGTTTTGAAGGGACTACGGGGTTTACGGATTCTGGTGGAGCTTTACCGGGGCAGAGGGGACTTCAAGATTCTGGATACTAAAATGTTTTTGATGTTTTGCTTTTGAGTGTTTATGTATGCTTCTTGTTGTTTGATGCCTTTTGTCTGTGCCTTTCATGTATTTTGGTGTAACACTTTTGTTTGTGTCAAATATTAAACTTTCGGTTAAAAAGTTATGATTCCTTTTACCAGTTACTGTCTCTAGAGCATTGTAGTTCAACATGCCAAAAAAAAAGAAAAAACAGTATGGAGACTGGAGAGGGCGTTAGAGCACCTCCAATGGTGTTATCCACCATTGGAGTCCTTAGCATTATAATATATATATATATTTTTTTTTTTTTTTTTAAATAGTTAAGGACTTCTAACACAAATCTCCCTCCAATGGTGTTACCAATTAAGGAATCCTTAGCATTATAATATATATATATATATATATTTTTTTTTTTAAATATAAACAATTATTAAACAAATAAAACAATTAAAACAAGGAAATTTTTATTTATTGAATTATTAAATGTAAACATACAATAACTAAACATCTCCATCATTACCAAATTTAATCCAAATATTTTCGATTAAATCATGTTTCAAACGTTCATGTATCTGCCTATCACGTAGATGAGTCCGTCTACTAAGCATAGTAGCAAGATTCGGAGGCAACTCGGTAGGATCGGGTATATCCACATTTGAACTTCTCGTGGAGGTTCCTTCTTCAAACTCAGTTGTATCAAACTGAGTGTATCCATCACGTTCATTCTCTACTATCATATTGTGCAGTATGATACATGCCCGCATAACCATCCCTACTTGTTTCTTGTCCCATAAAATAGCCGGGTTTTTCACTATCGCAAATCGAGCTTGCAATACTCCAAAAGCACGCTCCACATCTTTTCGGGTTGATTCTTGAACTTTAGCAAATAACTCTGCTTTAGGACCTTGAGGGAGTGAGATGGATTGGATTAATGTAGACCATTTTGGGTATATACCGTCAGTGAGGTAGTACGCCATATCATACTGGTGTCCGTTGACCACGTACTGTACCCTTGGAGCTCGACCTTGTATAATGTCATCAAAAACAGGGGACCGATCGAGGACATTAATATCGTTTAAAGTACCTGGAGGACCAAAAAAGGCATGCCAAATCCAAAGATCTTGTGAGGCTACGGCCTCCAAGACAATTGTCGGCTTTCCTGATCCACGGGTGTACTGTCCTTTCCAAGCAGTTGGGCAATTTTTCCACTCCCAATGCATACAATCGATGCTTCCTATCATTCCAGGAAAACCACGTATCTCTCCAATATCGAGTAGTCGTTGAAGGTCCTCTTGATTGGGTCTTCGTAGATACTCATCTCCAAATAACTCTATTACACTCGCTGTGAAATTAGATAAACAGGAAAGTGTTGTGCTCTCACCGAGTCGGAGATATTCGTCAGTGGCGTCAGCCGGGCAGCCATAAGCAAGCATACGAATAGCGGTGGTACACTTTTGTATTGGAGATAGACCAAACCTTCCGACTGCATCTACTCTTTGTTGAAAGAATCGAACATTGGCTGAGAGACGATCAACAATACGCATGAAAACTTCCTTATTCATGCGGAAACGGCGTCTGAACATATGAGGTGGAAATGTCGGGTCTTCACTGAAATAGTCATTCCATAGACGGTAGTGGCCCGCTTCACGGTGTCGTTCGATATATGCACGTTTGTTGTCTTTCTTTGAGCGATTCTCCACGATGTTGGTGTAAGAATCTTCAAAGTATTCATCGATAGCCCCATCCACAGCTGCATTTAATCTTCGATCTATTTCATCTGCCATTTTGACAATATCTCCTTCAAAAAAACAATGGTTAAAAATTAGTATAAGAGTTTGTTTAAAAATAAATGTTCCATAAAAAGAGTATATATTTAAAAAATGAAGGTTCCATAGAAATGAACATGTATAGAAATGAACCAGAATCGTTGAGTTTGTGTTCGTAAAAATTGAGTTTGTGTTCGTTAAAGCAATAACTACATGAGTGTATTTTTAAAAAGCTATTGCTACAATCAGAAATTAAAAGAAATTCGAAACTTGAGTTTGTGTTGGTTTGCTAATTCATCTTGAAGTTAATTGAGTTTGTGTACAACAAGATAATGAAATTACAACAACATAAAGTGTACCTTATTAACCGCAATAGACAAGAACACAAGAAGAGGAAATGATCGCAAATCAAGCAAGAAGAAATAACTAAGGAAACAGCTTTAATATCATTACTTGTTTTGAGTACAAGAAGAGCAAATGAAAATGCTCTCTGCCGAAATTACAACAACACTTATAAAGGCAGGAGAGCAAAGGAAAATCTCACTGCCCGTGACAACCTTCACGTGGAAATAAAAGAAAAAGAGAGTACCCGTGACACCAGCAACAACAAAAACAAACAACCCGTGAAACAGAAACAGCAACAACAAAAAGACACACCCCGTGAAACAAGAACAACAGAAAGACACAACCCGTGACACCAGCTTCTGTCTTCTACATCACCTGAAAAAGAGAACAAGCAAGATTAATTAAAAGATGCAGTAAAGGCAAAGTAAAAAAAACGCAGTAATAATGTAACATCGCTAAAGGTAGACCTATCAAACAATATCATCACAAACGTCAGAGAGTAGTTTTGTTTTGAGAGCTAGTTCCAACTCAGACAACGGCTCCGGCTTTAAGAGTAAACTCTCAAGCAAACTCTGCTTGGAGATTTTTTTTTTCATCTCCAACAGTCCTTCTAACTTCGCCAATTCTTCATCTTTTGCAGTTTTCTTCCTCTTGCTAGCTTTCTTAGCAGCCTTCACACCAACTGGCCTCTCTTCTGGCTCTGGCACTGGATCGTCCTCCACTGCTCTCTGGTCGTCCTCCACTACTCTCCGCTTCTCCTTCTCCATGTACAGAGAGCACCACTTCACATCGTGTCGTAGCTCCCTCCATGCGTGTTCCATGCTAAACTTCACTTTGTTGTCACTGTCGAAGATCGTCAAGGCATCACTCATCAAGTCGTTTTCATTTCGACCGCTCCCAAGCTTCCTTGCTGCCGTGTCGTAGCAGCCAGCGAATTTACAGACCTGATCATTGATCCTAGCCCAACGTTGCTTGCACGGCCCTAGCTCTCTTGGCACTGTCCCATGAAGGAGAGGACTGGAGTTGTAATACTCTACAATCCTCCTCCAGAAGGCTAAACCTTTTTGCTCATTACTCACTATTGTATCCTTGCTGGTGTTTAGCCAAGCACCTATGAGGATTAAATCCTCCTTAATAGACCATTTTCTTCTCTCTTTCGCACTAGACTGCTCAGGACATTCACTACTAAACAGAGGAGTCTCTAATGAGTCAAGGTCAATTGGCCCTTGACTCGCTAAGAGATTAACAAAACTAGAGGAGCTTGACATTTTACGAAATTTTTGCTGTGATCTTCTATTACCAACATAGAGGATTAAATAAGGGATTCTACATTAAAGTCCATTGAATCCTAGTAGAAAAATGTCATTTCAGAACAGCTAGAGTGCATTTAGTTTGCAAAAAGCACTTAGGGTCTATTTAATTGGGTTTAGTGTGCATTTATAACTACCTAGTAGGAAAGTACAATTTCAAAGTTATTGTTCTCAACTACAAAGTTACCAACTACAAACCAGCTCAAAGAAGTAAATAAATTATTCAAAATTACCAACTACAAACCAGCTCAAAGAAGTAAATAAATTAAATTGTTCAAATTAAATTTAGTCATTTGAAATTTAAAGAGTTCGAACAACCAAATAAAAAGGTGAAAGTTTAGCACTGCCTTACCTCACATGACTCTCTCAAGCTCAGACACACGCCTAAGTAGCATACTCACCTGTGCCTGGACATTCAAAGAAACCAAACAATATTTTAGACTGTAATTATATAAATCTTGTGTTACTGATAAATTTAAAACTCACCTTCAGTGTAGTGCACTCTCTTAGAAGCTTCTCATGATCGTGAACCCGTAATTTGAGTCTCTCAACCTCTTGTTCAACACCCATAACCCATGGTTGCCTGAAATGCAACCCGTCATTCTGCCAAAAAAAAATAATATTTGTCAAGCAGCAAACAAGTTAATGGAAGAACAAGCAAAAATAAGAATATGAAATAAGAAGAACAAGCCACACCTCGAAATCTTTGCAGATAAAGTACTGTTTCCCAGGAAGGTAGTCATAAGTATCATCTTCATCCACGAATTCCTTCGTGATTGATCCACAGGGGCATAGTTTGGGTATCCCCTGTTGCGCATCTGCAACGTACTGAAGCATCTCGTAGTGTGCTTTGTGTGCTTTCATGTCTCGATGTTCTTCATCCATTTGAGAACCTGCAAGAAGAAACAAATATAATCAATCAGTTATCTTATTTCATTCAACTATCAAAAATATCATCAAATCCAAACAATAATATGTTATTCGATTTTGTACTCAATCCCCAACATTCTTTCCCTACCATAACAGCAAAGAAGCGATTCTAAACCCTAAATCGATTTAAACCCTATCTCGATCCAACTCCCAAATTTATTTTCAAACCCTAAATCGATTTAAACCCGACAATCGAACCGTTTAACTTGTTGAAATCAAACAAAGAAACGAATCTAAAACAGGAAAATATCAAACCCAGACGAAACCCTAAATCGAATGAAATCCCCAATTCGATTTGAAACCCTAATAAGATTTAAACCCCCCAATCGAACCCATTAAACTCATGAATCAACATGCATGAGCTCAGAAACGAAACCAGTGAACGAAAATCCCGGATTTTACCTTCAATAAACCCGATCTAAAGATCGCCTCTCCTATCGCCTCTCCTTTCCTCTCTGTTTTTTTTTTCGTTTGCTGTCGAGAGAATGAGACAACTCTCTCTCCTTACAAAACACAAACCTACCCCCGACCCAATCAGAAAGTGCCAGCGCACTAAGGATTGAGTCCGTAAATGGACCTAAATAAGGACTCTTCCTTACCGGGCCGTAAAATTATATTGTTTTTTTATTCCTCTGGCCCGTAAGGATTCGGGTAAGGACTGGGTAAAAACCCCCGTTGTGCCTGCTCTTAGCTAGCCTAGATTTCAAGTCTATCTCCTTTTAACTCCTCTTATTTACATATCGAACATTATTGACCCAAAAAAAAACATATCGACATTATAAAAATTGCAGCATTGGAAAAGTAATATGTTTTATATTTTTTTCAGTATGCCAGCTATTACACGAGAAACTACATGGTCTTAAAGTTTCTCCAGGCCAAAATATTAAACCCATGCCAATTTAAAATGTAAATTACAAAAAAGATTAAAAAAAGTCAAGAGGAAGTAGAAGGAATGAAACCAACAAAGTTACACAACATGGAGCACTTATGGATATATATGATAACAAATCAGGCATATATGAATCTAGAGAGCTCGACTTTTGATGATGTCGAAACTCATCTCGCTCGGGTCCGTGGCTTGTAACTCCACCTGAATACCATCCAATTCTCTCTTGAACCTATCCTTTGAGCTCGCATACACCATCTTCATCCTCACCCTCGAAGAATCAGGTGACCTACAAATACATATATCTTTTTCTTTTTATAAAAGGCTTAACCTACATATATATATGCATCATCCTTGTTCCTTAATGTATACATGTTTCATAACATGTGATCAATGACATGTATTCTAGTGATTTATGCTATTTATCGCTGATGTGTTGAGAATAATAGTAACACGATAATATATGGTTTATAACATGGAAAGTACGTATAATGAGGGTCATTTTTTTTTATTACCATGCTATGAAGAAGATCTTGCTTTTCTGGCAATTCTCAGCAGTGGTGAAGTCGAAGTCATAGACGGCGTAGCGGCATTCGTTGGCCGGTAGGGAATTGGAGAAATCGTCGTAGTTCTCCTCGGGACTTCCAAGCTTTTCCACCACCACTTGTTGTCCGTCAATCCTGAATATTATGAATCTATAGTTTCTTTTTGCTTTTAGCTCTAAAAACTTGAGCTTACATTCGTCTTCCACAGCCATTCCTGACGCTGCATTCGCCTATTTTTTGTTCACATAAATACATGGATAAGTCGTAGTTCAAGATTGTGTTCAAAGAAGAAGAAAAAATCGTTGTTCAAGATTAGAGTTTTTGCAAACGCTAATTCTATGGTTAGGCCATCAATATTAAAGGTTTCTGAAGTTAAGTCATAATTTATAGTCATACTCTCAAAATCTTAGCCAAAATCTTAGCCAAAATCTCTCACTTATTAAATATTAATATAATTTACGTTTACATTCTGAGAGATTCAACTTGAGAAACTATTAAATGTGGATGGATGTCTTTATAAATGAGAAACTTAACCATTGATGACATGTAAACGAAAATAACCAATCGATGCATAACAAGAAACAATGTTAAAAAAGGAACAATGTTAAGACATCCATAACACCACTTTCACTATGATGAGAATGAGAGAGCATACCATTGTTTTTGGTTGATGGAGGTAAACCTAAGACAACAAACAGATTTGAGAGATGGGACTTCTTCTTTTGTTTTGTTTTTTTTTTTTTGTCCTCTTTTGTGAGACAAAGAACAAGAAAAGGAAATGAAAATTTTTGGAGAAGAAGAGATTATTAATTTGGTTTGAATAGGCCAATGGAGAATAACTCGGACAACCATTAATGCCTCTCTTCTTTTAACATCAAATCATACTTGTTTCAAATCCATCCTTCAAAACCGCCTAACAATCCTTTCGTCTTGGACAATTTTTCTATGCTAATTTTAGCATATTTACATTTAAGCATCCATATAGAGGAGTACTACGTCTAGCGTCTGGTTGACAAAAATATTTGAGGTTTGGTCGGTACAATGTTTATGTGAAATATGCATGGTCATTCAGTTTTCGTTTAGATCAGGTTTGGTTCTTTTTGATACAGAAACATAAAAATTGTTTGGGTATTTATAAGATTCAGTTCGATTTTAGTTGGGGGTTTTCTATATCTTTAGTTCAATTCTGGAAAAATATTTAGAAACTAACTAATATCCAAAAAGAACCGACTCTGATTTGGATTCGGTTTGGGTTTTCATGTACTTTTAATAGTATGAACTAAATTATCGAATAATGGTTATTTGGATTAGAATATCAAGTAATTTAGATAACTTCATATTATTAATGTAATTCATTTTTTGGTAACTCATTTTCTCACCATATTAGATATTTAAAACATAAATTTTTGGATTATAAATTATAATTTAGAAGAAAAATAATTCCCTAGGATAGACCTAAAAAAGTTTTTATCACAAATATAGACTTTAAAAATAAAAATGACCAAAATATACTTAAATGTTTTATCAAAAATAAATAAATATAAACTTATACTCTTTGGGTTAACTAACCTAGACATTTTTATTTAGGTTGAAGAGTAGAGTTTTGGGTATAAAATTTCAAAAGTTAAAAAATAAAATAAAACTTAATATTTTCAAAATAAAAATGCCCTTTTGATCATTTTAGTTTTTGAGTTCTATTTTTTTGATAAAAAACTTTAAAAGGTCTATTTTACAGAGCCTTTTAGAAAACCTAAATATGGCTAATACAGTAAAACCTCTATAAATTAATAATGTTGGGACTTAGAAATTTTGTTAATTTATAGAGATATTAATTTACGAAAGTTTCCTTATTTAGATTTTTATTTTTATTTTTATTTTTTTCCCATTTTTATTTATAAAATTAAAAAAATATATTTGATTTTAACATATGTACATTATTAAAATTTTAAAATTTGACTTTTATATATTTTTCTTATCTTATTTGGTGTATATTTTTATGTTTTATAGAATTGTTACACGTTTTCAATATAACTTAACTAAATATTATCAAGATATATTGAAATGTTTTAAAAAATAAAAGTACTTTTATAGTAAATATAAAACCAACAATATAATGTTAGATTTTACTTATGTAAAATTATATATAACTAAATTATTAAATATGATTTTAGTGGGACCATATATTTACATGACATTTTTAAAAATATTCTTATCTTATTATTTTATCGATTTGTGTCATATTTTACACCGGCCCAAGTTGGGACCGGTGAAATTTATTAATTTATTGAGATTATTAATTTATCGAGTATTAATTTATAGAGGTTCTACTGTATTTCAAGGTATATAAATTATATTTTGAATATTCATATACATATTTTGTTTGAATATTCTATTTAACTGTATTGATATACACATTTTTAATCAAATATGTTGAAAACCAGTGTCAGTATCAAACTATTTTTATTTCGTATTTTTAGATACTATATTTTTATTTTTTATATTATAATATTTACAAAATTGGATTCTATTTTAATTGTATTGATATACATATTTTAATCAAATATGTGGAAAATAGTGTCAGTATCAAACTATTATTTATTTCATATTTTAAGATACTAATTTTTTTTATTTTCTATATTATAATAGTTACAAATTTTGAAATATTTAATTATGTTGAGTAAACTGAAAACAAGTAACTTTGAATTAAGACCTAATAAAGTGATAAAAACTACTAAACCGATTATCCAATAGCTTTTTCAAAATTCTGAAAGTCTTTTTAGTTGAGTTCTATATACATAGTAGATATTTAAGTTTTATAAAATTTAGACGTAAATAAGATGGATATTCTAGTTAGATACTTAAAATATATCAATATTCTGTACAAAAAAAAAGTATATCAATATTCAACACAAAATTTGATATGTACAGAATGATGTTTCAAAGTTAATCTCAAGAAAAACTATCAAATTAGGTTTTGTCCTTGTGATCATACTAAAAAGAAATAACAGGAGGATATTACGAAAAATATCTAACTGTTGACAATTTTTTTTATCTAACTATATCTTTTGCATATTAATATTTAAGATATTATACCAAAGTTGAAAACAAAATATAAAAGCAGAAAATAAGAATTGATTAAGAAATTAAAAAACAAAACATAAGCAAAAGACTTGAACTCAGTAAAAATTAATTCAACATCCAACAATTCTACAAAATAACCTGAATGCCATCCAATTTTCTCTCGAACCTGTCCTTTGAATTCACATACACCATCTTCATTCTCACTCTCGAAGAATCTAGTGACCTACAAACATGCTCGGTCCTGAACCCATTCCCAAAAAACAATGGTATGGAACCTATACTTTTTACAGTTTCTAAGCGTCTATTTTTTCTGTTTTTGTTGTTAAATAGCATAAAAATACTAAATAAGTTCTAAAATCTTTTTCAAACATATAACAAAATAAAAATTTGAATACATATTCCTTATTTTTCTGTTAAAAATACAAAAATAACTTTCAGAACTGATAAACTTTTATTAGTCTATATATTATTTTTTAATTTTTAATTTCAATATTGTCAAATTTTTTTTATTTAACATTTAGAGCCCATATTTTTAATTTTATATTGGATCCAAAATATCTCAGGACCGGTACTGCCTACGAATATAAATCCAACATCCATAATCCTTAATCTATATATGTTTCATAACATGCGACTATGACATGTACTCGCATGTTCAAATCCGCTTAATGCATGTTATTGATAATAATATCAATAAAAAAATAGGAGTATATGTTTTCAACTTGAGAAACTCTTAATGTGGATATCTTTATATTTGAGAAACTTAACCATCATGTAAACGAAAATAACGAATGGATGGATAACAAGAAACAATGTTAAAAAAAGGAACAATGTTCATACATCTATAACACATCTTTCAGTACGATGAGAATGAGAGAGCATACCATTGTTTTGGTTGATGGAGGTAAAACCTAAGACAACAAACAGATTTGAGAGATGGGACTTCTTGTTTTGTTTTGTTTTTTTTGTTGTCCTCTTTTGTGAGACAAAGAACAAGAAAAGGGAAGTGACTGTGGTTCCATTACATGACACTTGTGAAACTTTAAATAGCAAATAGTCCTTACACAATCACTAGATGCAGATATAGAGAACAACAAAAAAAACTGATATTTTCGTACAAAACTGATTTGACCCTTTAGATCCTCTTTTGTATCATCCAAAGAAATTGACAACCTTTGGACCTTGTTTCTTTTCCGGGATACTCTTTTGATCTAAATCATCAGGTGTAGTAGCATCAGAGGTCTTCATCTTCTTGCTGCTTTTAGGCTCTTCATAAAAATCATCCTCAAGATCATCCCCACTGAACTTAGTGAGTTTCCCTCTTGGTGTAGCATCAAATCCTGTCATTTCATGGAAGGGATAAAGTTACTATCTCATGCGGTTTAAAACTAGGATGATCATGAATTGAAAGGGTGAGAATTAAGAAGGGGATATTTACTTGAACTCTTCTTGGTAGGAGCTGAGTCTCTGTTGAGTTTATCAGGGCAGTCTTTGACGAGATGCGCCACACTACCACACACTTTACAACACCCACCCTACAAAGGCAAAAACCCATCAAATTATATACTGTTAAATAAAAAAAAATAGAACCAAACAAAGATTTGAGCAATGTACCATTGGGTAGACTCCATTCTTATTTTGAGGGCAGTTCTTGCTTATGTGCCCTTGTCCCTTGCATATGAAACAACTTGCAAACTTCGTCCCTCCTACAAAAGTATCAAAACATCAACCAAATGTAATCTAAGTGACAGATGAATATAGTCAAATCACAACAAAAACATTAAAGGCCAGTAATGTTAAGCAATGTTCTAAAAATCCATGTACTGCCTAGCAGTAAATCAAGCCTAAACAAAATAACTTTTCTTTAAAAAAAATAGGTCTAGCCACCAGACTAATCAATAATATCATTATAAAGCACCTAATTACTGTTAAGTCTCGAATCAACATGAACCACATGTTTTTTGAGCGGTAAAATTAACAAATCTTTAAGAATGGGTCCAAACTAACAGCTCATTCAGACAAGATAAACAGACAGACTTACCATCTTCCAAAGGATTAGGACAATGAGAAAGTGAATGTCCACTATCTCCACAGTTGTAACACATCTTCTTCTCGAAGCTGCTCTCATCGCTCTTCTCCGGACAGTTTTTAAGACTATGCCCTCGCCTCCTACATTGCAAGCATATCTACAACAAACCAAGAAAAGGGTTCTCATCTTAAAAGCAAAATCAAACCAAAGAAAGAAAGAGAGAAGGAAGGCACCAAACCTTGTTTCTCTCCCACTCAGACTTCTCCGGACAAAGCTTAGCAATATGAGTTTTGGACTTGCAGATATAACAGCCTTCTCCAGGTTTCATACCAGGGACACGGAGAGGATGCCTCGTGGAGGAGGAGCCTTTTCTGACAGTGGATGAGCTAGGTTTCTTTTTCTTGAACAAGCTTTTCTTCTTCTTCTTCTTGTTTGGATCCTTTGGTGGTGTTGGTTCTGCTTTTGGGAACTGTTCAGGGTGAGCTTCCTTGTAACGCTTACGTGCAAGTCTTTGTCTTTGACTCACCATCGTCGAGTACAGAAGAGAGGGAGAGAGATAGTTGATTTCAAACGGCGGCGATAGAGTCTGCGAAGAGGAAGAAAGAAAGAAGCAGAGCCGGCTTGGTTCGCTGAGAAGCTCTTACTAGGGGAAATAATAATGTTGTTTCTAATGGGCTGGGCTTTCTAGGCCCAATAATAAATAGGTCCAAATGTTTCTTTTACATAAGAACGGCCTTTTCAATAACCAAACTAATATTGGGGCTAAATATTTGTTTATTCTTTTTTTTTTTCTTAAACTCAAATCTATATACGGTTGAATATCCCGTGCTGTTGTTTATCTGCTAAGTTGACATTAGTGTGTTGTTGGAGTGAAGGATGAAAGATAGTGGCATGATAGCCAATGTGAGACATTTTTTTGATGGTTGTGTTCGTTTTGTTGTAAATAACGTTCACCAAATTTTTTTGAGTCAGGTTGTGTCTGAGGGAATTTAAAGGCTTTTAAGGAAAAAGATTTAAGTCTACTAATTGATAAAACAAAATAATTGAACCCATTATTTGACTAATAACAACTAAAAATTTTAGAGATGGTACGGGATTCATATTTACAATCTACAGTCCATACAACTAATAAACTCATTCACTTGTACAACTAAAGGAAATAGAAGAATACAAATAGTTGAAATGTGTAAATGTTTGGGGTTGCACCCCTTTTAAATTGTCAAAAAAGAAAAGATTCTAGAGGATGTATTCAGTATTTAGACTGGGCTAGACTTTGTAATATTTTTTATTTTGTTTAAATAGACTATCCACTAACAAATAAAAAGAATTGTACCAAACATTTCTCTTGTTTTTTTTTTGTTTTTGTTAGCAAATACCTCTTCTCTGCAGAATAGGTGGATTTTTTTCTTGGTTTTATTTTTATTTTCTTGTAAATGTTAAAATATTAGAAAATGCATATTCTCACTTTATTTTGTATCTCTAGTTGTATAGCTATTTGGATTTTAAAAGACCACAATCACTAGTAGATATGGCTCGAAGCATTTTTGGACCATGTGGCAAAAATGTAAGCTCATCACGATAAGTTTTATACCAAAGAACAATATGATCATTTACTATCAAAGGTACTATCAGTTCCTATGCTTACCTACTTTTAAAGCTGGAAAATTAAATCATTTCACCAATTCCTTAGAAAATAATATATTTTTTTCTGTGGTGTAAATGTTAAATTTTATACCAACTTTCCATTTGCGACAGAAGATACAAAAGACTCCAGGAGCACATATATAGCCATGTTTACTTATTCCACATTTAATATTTGTTGTTGTAGTAGTTTTGTTCTGTTCTATGTTAGAAAATAATATTGATATGAAGAAAAGTACAAAATATTTTAGCATGTTTCTATTGAAATAAGATTTTGCACACTTGTATAAATATCTTGCTTTGTGGATGAAAATAAATCTGTCCTACTTCCTAAAGCTTACATCAATTTTACTATATGGTATAACTGATCCATGTGCATGCACGTATAACCCCAGTTTATAGAAGATAATCCATTTGACCAAAATATATTGTGCATGTTTTAGATAGGGAGAATCACTAGTCATAAATAGCTTTAAAATGTAGATAGAGATTATTAATATGGTACATTTCTAATGTAACATGTGGAAATTATAATAAACTAGCTACATAAAAATAAAAAATAAACTAGCTACATATATCCATTGTATGGAACGAAAACTCCTTCAGGTAACGTGAAGCACGTGGGCAAACGTAGAAGGAGACAAAGATGCAAGCTACAACAAACTATAACTTTGGTTGGAACATATGACATAAGTAAGCATGGCGGCTATAAAGTTTATAGCTTATAAAGTTTGACTTTTATCTGGATTTGAAGAGAATTTAATAACAATACAATTGGGAACTCTGGATTCTTCTAGTAGTACTGGACATGCACCTAAGTAAGAATTTACACAATTTTAAGGTATATATGGGAAATATTTTACAAGTGTAAATAAAAAGATCACGTGCGATTATATATATGTGTGTGCGGTCTGATTGGTTTGTAGTAACTTTAAGTCTTTTTTTAGAAAATAAATTATGAATTTTCTTTTATATATATATATATGTGTGTGAGATCTGATTGGTTGGTGTTATAACTTTAAATTTTTTTCGTTTTAGAAAATAGATTATGAATTTTCTTTGTTTTGGTTTTAATTATTTTGCTCTAGATTTATTTTCAAATCACTAAATAAAAGTTAAGATAACTATAGAATTTTTTGTTTTTAACTATATTTTATCTACGATATTTTCGTTAGGATATCGCTTCAAGTTTTATTTTTTTGTGATATTTTTGTCATTAAATCAGAGATTTTACTTTTCAAAAAGAAAGTCTGAAATTTTATTTAATTCTATATAATTTAATAAAAAAATTACAAACATTTTCGAATAAATATATATATATATATATATATATATATATATATTTATGGTATATTATCGTATAAGTATAGTTCGACCACTTGTGGTGATTCTATTATATTCTTGAACAAAACGAGTTATGCTGCGTCAAAGACCTAAACTGGTTTATAATATAGTCTAATTATCATATGAACAAATATATGTATAGATGATTGAAGTAATGTAACGGATAAAACAATTCCCAAAATTAAGATTGTTGAAATTCTATTTGTGCAGTACAATGTTATAAAAACAGGAGAACGAATATGATTGCATTTGAGAATGGTATTTTGGAAAATGTTAAATGATAATCAAGTTTGAAGTGTTTGTTTAAAAGAAGTTGTGAAAATAGTAATAACTTCAGACCCAAAAAAATAAAGTCAAGGATAAATTTATTACGATGTATTAGAACAAAATTTGTTTTCACAAATTGGTTGATGAATTGATGTGTTGAGCTCTATGGCATAACTGTGATGGGGGCAAAACATAGATAGGCAGGTGGTTAAGCTTACTCGGATCAATCTACGCGGTTCAATCTTAAATGGGGAAACAGTGAATGCATGGGAGCGAAAGCTGGTGGACCACATAAAACATAAAACACGCCTCAATAACCCCAAACAAACAACTACCAGTGGTTCCATTCACATGGGATTTCTATTGTTGGAATCTAAATATAACGACAATTTATGTCACATGATTGTCGCCGGTTGAAATTGATCGCCACTCGCATACTAGCAAAATGAAGTGTTAGTCTGACATTGCTCTAAGACCTAGCATATAGGACGTTTAATCTCTATTTAAATAGTTCTGATTTATTTATATTTCAAGAAAACATATAAACCAAAAATTACACAAATAAAAAATATATTTCACAATAAAAAAACTATAAATTAATATATTCTTATTATTTTATAAAATAGCTAACAGTTGGTTTATCATTCAATTTTTAAAAAAAATATTAACTATATTCAAGAATTTCTATAATACTATATATATATAATTCATCATTTCTGTTCTTCAAACATACTATAGGAACTGAAATTTTTGATTTATTTGGAGAAACTCTTCAAAAGTAAATAATTTATGTTTGAAAATATATATACTGATGGCATGAAAAAGTAAAAACTGATTTAGTTTCCCATGTAAACGCATCTACTTTGTTCAGAACTGACAAGCCTACAAATGGTTGATGAATTTCAGTTGTTCAGTACTGATTGTGTTAACGGTGTGCCATTCATAATATAGTCATGTAATTTGCAACATGAACCAAAAAGATAGTATATTGTTTGTTGGGCAGAAAACAATAAGAGGCTGTTTAAAGAAGACCCTATTTCATATTTGTCAGATCTTGTGTTCATCACACAAGTCATCTCAGCTTTACGCGTGTGATTATAAAAATTGTTGTTCATACGCGAAACGTTTGACTATTGCTCTCTACTAGCTTTACCCCAACTTATAAATCTATTATGTTAATAACTTCCGTAATTAATATTTATTCCACTTACTATATAGCGCACATGTGCCTCTCTTAAAATACTTAAAACTCCAAAAATGGAAAAAGACAAAAGACGAAGTTGTATTCTACAATAAAGAGACCCCACCCTCGTGTCCAATCCAAATATTTCAATGATACGTGGTTTGAATTATGTGTATATTGACGTGATTTGTAAAATAAATATAGAAATTGACAGATTGTCTGATATGTGTTTGGCTAACCGATTGGAGCCCAAGGGTTTCACATTAAACTGTTAGAGCATTTGAAGACTTTTTGTCACTATTACAATTAGTAAATTGGTGGTGAAAGTGATCGATTTCACATATTGGGTCCAAAGGTATACGATTTCTCATGATCAATCTCACTTGATTGTGTTTGAACGCGTAATTCTTTACATCGTGCTAGGGACTAGATTGGACCTAGAAACCAAAATTCTTCTTTTCATTAACCGGCTTTAATACAACATCTTAAACTTTTCTTTTATAATTTAACTAAATAAATTATGGTTCACATTTTGGTTAAACGAAGAAGTTTGGTGTGGCATAGAGTCAAACCTCGTTTGATTAGATGTGCATGGTAAAAGTGATAAACTATAAAATGATATTGTCGAATTTGATTTGGGTTATTACAAAAAGCTAACAAATGTTGATAAAATAATAAGAAAACATATATTTTTTTTAAAATTATTTCCACTTATTTCTTTTGGTTGAAACTATTACCACTTATAACCTAGAATCTATTAACATAAGAAATTATTCCATCCCTTTTCCGTCGGTCAGCTGCGTAATTTATCAACTAAATTAAGGGGAATACAAATATTGTTTTGTTGACAAAAAAATACATATACGTTGTGTTTTATCTTATTACCTTTTAAGGATTATAAAATACAACATCCATACATTCATATCACTTTCAGTTATTCATTAAAAAAAGCAGCCGGAGAAACTCTACAATACTATAGCGAAAAAGGAATGAGACAGGAATGCTAAATGCCGATAATGTTTGACCATAAAATAGTCAAGAAACGTTATGAAACAACATAAAATAAAATTCAACAAATATAAAATTAAAAGACAGATGAGACTTTCGTTGGTCCAAGTCTGACATTCTTCTACCCCCGAACCTAGAAAACATCTATAAATACCTCATTTGGTTGATTCTCATACTTCATCTGCAAACATTCTGAATACAACATCCAGTATTCCACGAAAGAAACACTTACCATATATTTCTACACAATTGGAGAGATATACGAGATGGATCATTTGCTTGTCATGTCTCGATTTGGCTACATGTTCATCAATGTTTTGGTCCTGGTTCTTAGCCTTATGTTCTTGAAGCTCTGTCTGCGTTGCTGGATATTGCCGGTTCGAGCTCTAAAGAAGCTTAAAGAAAATGGATTTTCCGGTCCACCTCCTAGTTTTCCATTGGGAAACCTTGATGACATGAAGAAGCTAAAGACGGCCATGGTAGTGGTGGAAAAGAGCAAAGCGTCCACCATAATCGACCATGACATACATTCCACCGCACTTCCACATTTTGCCCTGTGGCAACAACAATACGGTATATAATATAACTCTCACCTTTCGTATTTCTAAAATTTAATAGACCAGTCTTAGATATTATTTGTGACGATTTAACCCGGTATATGAAATAACATTTCAATATTCGTTTAGCTGATGTCTAACGTTTTCTGGATTACAATATATATGTAAATTTTAACATAATTAACGTTACGTGTTATGTAATGTAGGGAAAGTGTTTGTGTACTGGCTAGGCATAGAGCCGTTCGTGTACGTAGCCGATCCTGAATTCTTGAGCATTATGTCGAAAGGTGTACTGGGGAAGAGTTGGGGAAAGCCAAATGTTTTCAAGAAAGACAGAGAGCCAATGTTTGGTACCGGTTTGGTTATGGTCGAAGGCGATGATTGGACACGACATCGCCACATCATTACTCCTGCATTTGCCCCTATTAATCTTAAGGTATGATTAGAAATTTTCAAATCGTTTACATTGGTCCAAAAGATAGAAAGTTAATATGGTGACTAATCTTAGTTCAACAAGTTAGACTTTATAGTCATGTTCTAAAAGCATGAGCCACAATTTTTCCATGACAGAAATTTCAAGGTCTTATGGTGTTGAATAGACTTTTTGAAATCAAATATTAGTAGTAAAATGTTTCTCCTTTTCTCATTACTTTTTAAATGACCGTCTTAATAGGCCATGACAAGTATGATGGTGGAATCAATCTCCAACATGTTGGACCGATGGACCATACAGATTAACTCAGGCAATCCCGAATTCGACATGGAGAATGAGATCATAGGAACAGCGGGTGAGATCATTGCTAAGACAAGCTTCGGAGTCAAGGGAGAAAATGGAGCTCAAGTCCTCAAAAACCTAAGAGCCGTGCAATTCGCTCTCTTCAACTCAAATCGCTACGTAGGGGTACCTTTTAGCAACATTCTGGCCTACAAGCAAACCCTTAAAGCGAGAGAGTTAGGTAAAGAGATCGATGGTCTTCTTCTCTCGATCATAAACGAGCGGAAGAGATCTTTGGTCGAAGGAGACGACGACCACCATGATCTTCTAGGAATGTTGCTTAAGGCCGATAAAGGGAAGTTTACGGCTACAGAGCTTGTAGACGAGTGCAAAACGTTCTTCTTCGCTGGCCACGAGACAACGGCTTTAGCGCTGACGTGGACGTTCATGCTTCTTGCGATCCATCCCGAGTGGCAAGACACGCTTAGAGACGAGATAAGACAAGTCATCGGAGATTCCGAGATTGAGTATAACAAACTTGCGGGACTAAAGAAGGTACGTTACCAAAAAAATATACTCCACGTGGGTATTTTATATGCATGCTATAACTAGATCACATCTACATTTGAACGCGTTCACATGTGTTCAATTTAGCATGTTCACACTATTTAATGCACGATAAGCTTATTATGTAGCCCCATAGTACATAAGTAAGTTTTAAAATCTACACAAAAATCTAAAGTTTAAGTTTAATTAATAAACAATTCAATGTCTGATTAATGTGGTCATGGTCAATTGGTCATGGTCAAGGGTCTCATAGAAATCAAATACTAGTGCATAGAGGCGCGTCGCCTCTCTAGATCCAAAACTAGTCAACGGATGAACTGACCATTTATATAGACATGCCACCTCAGCTTAGTACTAACTCCCAAAGCCACATGACAGTACTATCGATCCATATTAACGTATTTTTATTGGTTGTCCATGACTAAAATGTTCTGACACGCCTGTCAATGTCATAATCACATTTTAGTTGATTATTTCACTTACATGTTGAATATTATTTCCTAACAAATAAAACTTCCTATTATTTATGTAGATGAGTTGGGTGATGAACGAAGTTCTCCGGCTATATCCGCCGGCGCCAAACGCACAACGGCAAGCCAGGAAAGACATTGAGGTAAACGGCAGAGTGATTCCAAACGGTACAAATATTTGGATTGATGTGGTGGCGATGCATCACGACCCCAAGTTGTGGGGAGACGACGTCAACGAGTTTAAGCCAGAGAGATTTGACGGCAGTTTGCATGGAGGTTGTAAGAATAAGATGGGTTTTATGCCGTTTGGATTTGGAGGGAGAATGTGCATTGGTCGGAACCTGACCACCATGGAGTACAAGATTGTCTTGTCATTGGTTTTGTCACGGTTTGAGATCTCGGTTTCTCCTGCTTATCGCCATTCTCCGAAGTATATGCTCTCTCTTAGACCGGGTTACGGTTTGCCTTTAATTGTACGACCACTTTAAAACTGCAATAACGCATAATTTTGTGGTTTTTTAAGTTCAGAACCAAAATTCTTGACTTTTTAATACTGTAAACATGTGTTTTCTTATCGATACTTAGAGTACCATTGAATCAGAGAAGTAATGACCTTTTTCGATCACACGAACTCAAAATTATTAGCTTGATGAATTGGATAGAATTGAAAGAAAGTGGAGAAGACAATCAAACTCGGTTTATGGTTGAACCAATGAATCGATGGACAAGTGAGCACTCAAAAGCTTTTCGTCGCAAGACCTAAGGCCTTTTCCTCAATTGAAAATTGTTTTGATTCCACAAACTATTCAGGCCAGTATGAACATACTAGAATTAGAATGATTTCAAACAACTCTAATAAACAAACACTAGCAATAATTTTGGAAGAAAATAATAATTTTATCATCAAATTTCGTCAATAAGAGTATGCAAACTTTATGGAGCAGCTAGATCCAATATGGGAATCCATGAACTAAATGATCGGAGAAAATAGACTATAAAAGAATAAGTAAGAGTGAAAAGGTAAGAGAATTAAATTATAAATCTAATTAAAAAACAAAGGAAAAATAAAGCATTTTTATGGAAAGTGATTAAAAATACAAGACACTGCTTTATAATTAATTTTAATAAGAACAAGATAAACTATTCATGGGTTAGAATCAAATTTGGGTATGGCAAATTAGTCTTCAATAACTAATGGTTTACATGTAATTTATATTTACACAAGATATTTATACTATCTCTATTTCTAAATATAAAATGTTTTAAATGTTTTGAAATATACAATGTTTTCACATTATCGTGTGACTATATAACTAATTATATTTTATAGTTTTTGTTGCATTGTTTTAAATTTATATTTGTAATAATATTTTTGATAAAAAGTAACTTTTAATATTTTCTTTTAGCTAAAATATCAAAAAATTATTACTTAGTTGTCACACATGCCACACATGTTGTAAAAATATTAGTTAGTAATGTTTTAAAATACATGTTTTGTTTGGTAGAGTATGTTACAACCAACGGAAGCAGAATTTGAAGCTTTTTTTTTTGCCATCCCCTATACATTATTTGTGAAGTGATTTTGCCACATGTCCTCTCTATTATCAATTTCACAAAAAAATGATGACAGGTCTACTAGAATTGATGACATGGCATATGCTTAAATATGACATGGACAATTGCATTTAATGTTAATATATATTTTTGGAAAACTTTATAGAATATTGTAACAACTCATATATTACATTTAATGTCGATTTATATTTTTGGAAATATTTTTAAAATATGGTAATAACTAATAAATCATCATTAAAATAAATATATACCAATATGGCATTAAAAATTAAAATACCATTTAATTATATATTTTAAAACTATACAATTTTATTACAAAAATTTCAAAAATATATACATTTTTTGAAAATTATTAAAATTTAATCGTAAAATTATCAATTTCTTATATATTTAAAAATTTAATAAAAATTTTCTAATTTTAATTTTTGATAATTATAAATTTTCTACAAATTTATTTAATATATTTAATTAAAATAAATAGATAAAAATATTATCTAAGCTTATAATTTTAAATATATACAGTACATGCATATTCTTAAATATAATTTAAAATAAACAAAAATATTTTTATATTACTTTTTATGTTTGATTAAACAAACATTTGTATTAAAATAGTGATAAGAAAAAGAACTCTTAAATTATCATTAAGATAATATAATATAATAGTAGAAATATAAATATATTAATATTACAAATATTGAAATATTTTTAATTGTATTTTTATAATTATATATTTTTTATTAATATTTTTTTTCAAAATTTCATGCATTTTTTTTTAAATTAAAATTTTCTAATCCCAATACCATTAGCATTATTTATAACATCTATAAATTTTAGAAATATTATTTAGTTTTATATTTTGATAATTATATATCTAACCAAATTTTCTCTTAATAGTATAGAATCTGATTTAATACAATTTAACCAAAAGATAAAAGATACATATATATTATTAAATATAAATTTAAGAATTGTTTTTAAAGATAGACCTAAAAAAAGTTTTAATCACAAATATAGACCTTAAAATAAAAATGACCAAGGTAGATTTAAATGTTTTATCAAAAATAAGTAAATATACACTTATATTCTTTGGGTTAACTAATCGTAAACATTTTTGTTTAAAGTTGAAGAGTGGGGTTTTGGGGATAGGATTACAAATTTTTTTTTTTTTAAAAATGATGTTTTGGTCATTTTTCGTTTTAAGATTTATTTTGTGAAAAACCTTTAAAAAGTTCTATTTGAGAGAAATATCATATATTTAAATAAAATTATTTATTTTCTCTTAATATTTACATATAATTAATGTAAAATTAATAATGTAATAAAATAATAAATTTAAAAATTAATTAAATTTTATTTTTAAATATAAATTTATTTTAAAACTTTTATTTCTGCATATGGTGCAGGAAACCACCTAGTCTTAATTTGATTAATAAAGGGTCAAAGCTAGAGATACACAATCACCAAAGCCCATAACAAGAGGACAATACAATAAAAAAACCGACATGGGCCACAAGCCCAAAATTAAAAAAAAAACCCTAATGCAGATGCACTCTTCCCATTTGCCTCATCTTGACCTCGCCGCCGCCACCGACCGAAACCTTCCTTTTTCCGGAGCCAACAGAAGCTTTGATACACTTCTTCGTCACCTTCTCTTCTCTTCATCATCTAAACATTTTCAATCGGAGAGCATCAATCAAACCAAATCATGGTTGAGATCTCATCCTGATGCCCAGTCCATCACTCGAAGATAGGAGAAACAAACCCCCACACTGAAACTTATCACATATTTTCTTCCACCGGAGAGTCATCGAAACGAATCGAGATCTCATCCAACAAAACGAAATCACAACTCACGAATCTAAAAGTCGGCGACGCAAGGCCGTGAACGCCTCTACCCCCCGGAACCAAAAGCCGGCGACAACGGAGCTGTAGAAGCCTCCGCCTCCCGGAAACCACAACCGGCGTCGACGGAACTGTAGAAGCTTCCGCCTCCCAAAAACCACAACCGGCGTAGACGGAGCTGTAGAAGCCTCCGTCTCTCGGAAACCACAACCAAAGTCGAGGGATCTGTATAAGCCTCCGTCTCCCGGAATCAAAACACCACCTTGTTGAAACAAAAATAAGAGATACACTGAACTTAAAGATCTATAAATGATAAATAAAACCAAAGACAATTTAAAGCCGGACCGACGGTGGCTGTGGAAGCCTACTCCATCGGCCGGAATCCCTAGACGCGGTGAACTTTTTCTCTCTTCTCTCTCTTCTCTCTCTAGTACCGTGAAGGTTGGACGGACGGTTTACTTGGGGTCATAAGCATAATTTGAAGTTAGAGATGGACATATTATGTATCCACAGCTTGAGCCCATATATCATGTCATGCTACTACGGGACGTGGTATGCTCGATGAAACATCACATTTTCTTTTAAAACAATGTTAATGCATCAAATAATGTTTTATCAAATATTTTGATCGATATTTTACATAAACAAAAAAAGAGTTAAACTTCCTTGGTTTCTCCTTATGGCCGTTATTATTAACCAAAACATAATCAAACTCTTCCTTCTGGAAGATTTGTATTTGGTAAGAAGAGAGAGATCTCTCTCTCACCCTCCAAAAAATACTGTGATATAAAATGCTAACATATTCTTATCCATATACTAATATTTCATTTTCTTTTAAAAATGTTAAAAGCAAGGATGCATGAGAGAAAGAAAATTAATGCATCTTCATATGTTAGACTAATACTATACTCCCTATGGTTCGACTTTTAGAAACTCGGATAACGAAAGGTGAAAAGACTAGTGAAAGCAGAGCTGGATCCAAGACGTTCAAACTTTTGCGTCCTGAGCGTGTTGGCCGTATGCATCGTCATCAGATCATGACAATTCAACCAGGACCGATCATCTGGCGCCCCACTGATTGTGATCTTCCGCCGTATACACAAATCACGGAGAACCATGTTTCATCAAACATGATGAATTTGAGTTAGGAGGTAATTGTGAGCAGATAACTTTTGGTCCGAGATAAAGACTTAGGATTTTGGGTTAAGAAGGTGATTCCCGTTGCGAATTGGCCCCAACACTATCATTGTTCCATCTCTTTTGAAGGGACTTTTCCTTCTGGCGAGCTGGTTTTGTCACCAGGCTAATTGTCCGTGGCTGTCTTTTTCTTCTCTATTACAGTACCGAAGCCCAAACAGTCCAAGAAAATCGAATTCACCCAGAGGACGGTTACGCGTACGAAACCAACTACCATGAGAGCATATACAACTAAAACTAAATAAATAAATCAATAAAGAGACTTGTGAGGGCTATTGGAGATTGATTTCTGGTGATATTGATTGGATATGTTTTCTAGGGTTATTGGGGATTGTCTAAAATAATTGACTTCTGGTTATTGATTGGATATGTTTTCTCAGTGCTTGACAACTTGAAATGATTGGCAAATAATTAATTATGTTCTTGTAGTTCATCTATTGACACACACACACACACACACACACACACACACATATATATATATATATATATATATATATATATATATATATGTATGTATGAAGTATTTTTTTTTTTTTGGTCAAAGTATGTATGAAGTATTAAGTACTAGTTTTGTAGCTAAGTTATAAGATGCTTTAAATATTATATTAGTCATTTGATATCTTTTAAAATACATAATGGACATGAATAATTTAGTAATGCTAAAAAGTTAATCGAGTGTTATTTGTTATTAATATCAATTTGGCTATTATTAATATAAAATTATATATTTCACATACCATTTTAATATTCAGTTTAGTTGTTATTTAAATTGAAGTATTGAAAGAAAGAAATTTAGACTATAAAATAATTATTAAGAGTGAAATTATTAAGATTAAAATTAAAATAAATTTTATTATTAATTTCATAGAAATAGTATTAAAGAAAAAAATGATAATAAATGACAAATATAAATTTATTTTAGAAAAAGCAAAGGAAAAATAAATCATTTTTATAGAAAATGATTAAAAAATAAAAAAGACCATTCATAGGTTAGAATCGAATTTGGGTATGGAAAATTAGTCTTTTTAGCTACAATAACTAATAGGTTCCATGTAATACATATTTACACAAGATATTTATACTATCTCTATTTCTAAATATAAAACGTTTTAAATACGTTTCATGTCTTAAACATATGATGTTTTCACATTTTTTTGTGACTATATAACTAATTATATTTTATAGTTCATGGGTTAGAATTGAATTTGGGTATGGAAAACTAGTCTTTTTAGCTACAATAACTAATAGTTTCCATGTAATTTATATTTACACAAGATATTTATACTATTTCTATTTCTAAATATATTTTTTTAAATATGTTTAATGTCGTAAAACAAATGATGTTTTCACATTTTTGTGTGACTATATAACTAATTATATTTTATAGTTTCGGTTGTATTGTTTTAAATTTATATTTGTAATAATATAAATGGTAACTTTTAATCTTTGCTTTTAGCAAAAATATCAAAAAATATTACTTAGTCTTTCACACATGCGACACATGTTGTAAAAAAAAAACTTAGTAATGTTTTAAATACATGCTTTTTCTTTTTATTATATACTAGTAAAGGTTTTTTTCTTAGAGTATCTTACAAGTTACAACCAACCAAAATAGAAGTTGATTCTGGAGATGGTCATATTTATCCACAGCTTGAGCCCATATATCATGTCATGCTAATGACCGGACGTGGTATGCTCGATGGAACATCGTTCTTCTTTGAGATGCATGATTCCTATGGTACCAAGAATGGCATCAACGACTTTTTCTTACTACGCTAGGTACCCATGCCTCGTAGTGGAAGTTGTGGCAATTCGAATATGAAAAGAAGACTACATAATTATGAAACAAACTCTATAGATGGTTCACTGATTTATCTAGAAATAAACATTATAATTGGTTGTTCAGTCTATTAAATTATACTGACCAAAAAAATACTCCATAACTGTTATTAAGGAAGGAGAAATATAATAGATATATTCCATATGTAGCAATACTGATTTACGAAAATATTAAACTAGGTGACCGGTCCGCACCATGTGCGGGTATATATAGATTCAAATTACGGATTCAATAATACAAAATTTTAGAAGTAATAGATTTTATATCATAAGACCACCGTCTTTGAGGTAAAGCATCAGATACAGAAAATGCTGGTACACAATATTTTACATGGAGGAGATGGAACAAAGTAGCTTCAGTATCAATAGGTAGTTATTGCGTGTATTTATAATTGCAACATCACAAAAAAAATTTGTGTGTTGAAGGTTAAATTTTATTTTCCAAATCTGAAATTAATAGTGTGTAGTTTTATAAGTAACATATTTTTTATTATCACTAATTAGAATTGTATTGTATATGTGTTGTAATTCTTAATTTTAGGTGAAAAATATTATTATGCATATATTTTTCGTAAAATGTATGTAAACAGATTAAATAAAATGTTACGCATATCCCTCTCGCTCTCTCTCTCTCTCTCTCTCTCTCTTATTATTCTGATTTTGGGACAATGGAATTTAATTAGGTCATTAAAGATTAGTACATTTGATACATCAATTCACTTTTTGTTTCACTAATATAATAAAAATTATAAGACAATACTATGAAAAAAGAAGATGTAATAAAACTGAAGAACTTATACGACAATAATGAGAAAATGTTTTTATTATTAATTTATAACATTACAATAACGTGAATTCCACAAAAGTAAAACAAAAAGTTCAATTAATAGAAATTCTAACAAAAGCCACAGCTTAACCAATAGAAGAGTATACTATTGATAACACGTTCTAAACTTAAACAACGTCAATGAGCTTCCGTTCAAAAGCATGATTGATTCAATCTACTCCAAGTCTGAAAGAATATGTAAAAAATTATATTTACCCAAACACAATTTCTAATGACGTTTTCTTTTGATAAAAACATGAGTTTACTTGGTTTATCCGTATTTTTTCTTTGGTTGCATAATATATCTTGTGATAGTTTTTTCCAAGTAGCATTCCAAACGTTTTCTGGATTTGTGATACTATGTGTTAGTAGTAGGACACAAAACAACTTGCGTAGATCCATTGCTGATGCCCAATAACATGCTTTTTTAATAACTTCAATATTTTCTTCATCATTGTCCTTGCAGATAACAGAAGAAGTTATTTTTCTCTGTATCTCTGTTTTAGATTCTCAAAATAGACATTCATATTTTGTTATTTTTTTTTAAGTACATAGGCACAGAAGTTTTTTTTTTTCTAAAAAACGTCATTAGATTAAGCTTTGAAGAAAATAAGCAACTTAAAATGTAAACCATAAGAAAATGTAAGATATATATATAACAGTGTTGATATGGTTGCACAATAAGTTAGTATCAAATAATATTTCATATTATTTATTACATTCTTTTTATTGATATATAGATGTTCTGAATTTAATGCATTAACATAAATCATTCTTAATTATTACCAATCAATCTTGTGAATTAAATAAGTAATATAAAATAAGAAGAACCGTTATGAATTAAAAATATCTCATAGAAACCTGCAAAAAAATGTCAAATTTTGTTAGCAAATGTACAATATAAAATAATTTAATAAATTTCTAAATTTTATTGAGACAAAATTAATATTAAATTTTCATATCACTATTGAAACAAACTGATAAATGGTTTATAGTTAACTACAACCGGTCTTTCGTCTGTGTTATTTATCTGTTAATAGAAAAACAAACAAATGTAAGAATTTATAAATTTAAATTTTTTTATCGAATAAAAATAGACTAATAAGGGAAAAACAAACAAATGTATTGACATCCCTTAGGTGTCTCCTTTATATATACTCTACCTTCCTTTTTTCTTATGTTATTAGGGAGATATTTTCATAACAAATGATGTTTAGGAATATAATTTCATAATAAATAATGAAATAGTTCAAAGAAAGATATTAAAGTTATATTCTCATTAAATGATTTACAATTAATATGTTATAAACTTGTGCAATTAAATCATATTCAAAATAAGGTAAGTTTTTTAAAACGAATTAAGAAATTAGAAACATTAAGGTAAATTGCATTAAAACTATGTAATAAATATGATTTGAAGTTGCACAAGTAATATGTGTTCAAAATAAGTTTATAAAAACGATTAACAAATTAGAAAAATTAAGGTAAATTTCATTAACACAATGCAATAAATATAATTTGAAGTTGCACAAGTAATATGTGTTCAAAATAAGGTAGGTTATTAATAAACTAAAAACATTAAGGTAAATTACATTTAAACTATAGATATTTAAATATTAAATGATATAGAATAAGGAAAAAATAAATATAAAAAGTAGTTGATATAACTTTTTGATTAATAAATATTACTATATATATTTAATTTTAATTAAAAAGATCATATAATTGCAAACCAAAAAAATATATCAATTTTAATTAAAAAGATCATAAAACAAAATCACAATCATCAAACCAAATATATATGTATATATAAGCTTATAATTCTAAACAATAATATAAATCTACTAATCAAAAAAAAAAGTAGATGCTATTGAAATGATATAGCTGAGAGATGTTATCAAATAGAGAATTTTTTTTACCAGATTGAGGAACAAATATGTTATCGAAATGATATATCAAAGAGGTGTACAATCAAATCATATATAGCTTCAGTGGAGAAATCGTCATAATAGGAGCTCTCATGAAATATAAAAGCTTAATGTTCTAAAATAAGAAGAAAAAAAAAGTTTAGAACATTATTAACATAAAAAGTTTAGAATACAAAGTTCAATGATTTCATTTCTTCTACTGTGAATGTCGTATTTATAATAAATTGATGGATGTTTCTCAATGATTTAGCTTGATGATAAGCTAAGAAGTAACATATTTTCTAATAAATTCTCAATAAATCTTATACTTTTATGGTAATATTATTTTTGGAATATCTTGTTGATAAAGTTAAAGGAGAACATCTCGTGAATAGATTGCACCAGAATTTTGGTTTAAGTTTTAAATGCATGATTTAGGAGAGAAATATCTTATCAATTAATTTTGTTTTAAATGCATGATTTTAAGAGGGAAAATATCTTGTCAATTAATTTTGTTTGAAAAAATGACCCATATAGCACAAATCCAAGTTTTTCTTCCCAAACTAACACTCAAAACTCAAAGTCACAAAAATAGGTTTCATTAAATGTATCAATTACCCTTATGTCCCCATGATTTACTAAAAAAAAATTGAAAATCATTTCTCGCCGTCGTCTTCCTCTAGTCTCCTCTCGTCGTCTTCCTCTCGTCTCCTCTCATCGTCGTTGTCTCCTCTCACGCCGTCGTCTCCTCTCGTCGTTGTCGTCTCTTCTCGCAAGCGAACCTGAGTTTTGATCTTTTGATTGCTTCTTGATTCATTTGTTGACTGATTGTAGATCTCTCAATCCGTTATTTATAGATTATAGAATCCAATTAGGTGTTTAGAAGATTTGAATTAGGGTTTAGTTCCCTAACTCAGTGAGAGAGTAGAATGAATTTGATTTTTTTGTTATGTCTCTCTTTACTGATTTTGATTTATTACTGAAAATAGTGGAAGAAAGTGAGGACTCTGTTACAAGTGGAAGCCAACAAGTTTCTCTTACAGGTGGACCAACACTTCCGATTCTCCAGAAAATTATTGATTTAAGTAGCAAAATCAAGGTACTCTCTCTTTTATTTTTAACAAGTTCCTTCTAAGTTGCAATAGAGATAGAAAGGAATATAAGTTAGAGGTTGTTTTTTATAGGTCTTGAAGGATGAGCATACGTTGGTGTCCAACCAAGTCAAAGAAATCAAGACTTGTTCCTTTGTAGCACCGGAAATGTCAAAGGCTCTCCATATTCTGAGTCAGTATCTTTATTTAAAGCTTGTTTACTATTTTAGAATTTTTAATTGATATGCGTCAACATGTTCAATGGCAGATACTGAGCTTGGAACTCTGAAAAAGCAGTACTTGGAAGTCTTCAGAGAAGAAGCGATTGTACAATGAATATGGATCTCAAGGGGAATATTAGAGTCTTTTGCAGATGCAGGCCTCTAAACCAAGCTGATCTAGCTAATGGTTATGCTTCTGTAGTTGAGTTTGATGCTTCACATGAAAATGAGCTTCAACTGCTTTCAACCTATTCCTCCAAGAAGCATTTTAAGTTTGACCATGTATTTAAGCCTGGGGATGGCCAAGGTATAATACTGTTTCAGCTTCGTTTTTAGATAAACATTTGCTTTTTGAATACTACATCATTGAGTCTTCTTATCTGACTGTACCTTTATGTGCAGAGACTATTTTTGCACAGACAAAACCTATAGTTACTTTTGTGATGGATGGTTACAACGTCTGCATTTTTGCCTATGGCCAAACTGGAACCGGGAAGACATTTACCATGGAGGGAACACCAGATAATAGAGGAGTGAACTACATGACAATAGAAGAACTGTTTCGCTCTTTAGAAAGTAGAAGTCGTCTCATGAAATTTGAGCTGTGTGTTAGCATGTTGGAGGTTTAAATGAGAAGATAAGGGATCATATTCAGTTGTTTTGGTTGTTCCTGGAAGATTAAGTTCTAATTCAGGATAGCCACCCCAAACAAGAATTGTCTGACATTCCTTACAAGCTTATTGAATTTCTTCGAAAACAGATTTATGTAATAAAACACATTCATTTTATTTTCGGAAATTCATCCTGAAAGTTCCAAAAACTATCCTAGATAACATGTGCCTTTTATAATCATACCACATTTAACACTTTCTTTATAGAATTACTCAAAAGGTTTCAAACTATCATATTTTCATGTTCTCTCTTTTATATGTGTTCTCTATCTGGAGATCTCTATAGCCAATGAATTTCTGATTATGTTTCTTTTGTTTTGGTTGTTCTGAAGATTAAGTTCAAATTCAAGATAACCATCCAGACCAAAAATTGTCTAACATTCCTTACACGCTTTTTGATTCTTTTCGTAAATAGATTTATGTAATAAAACACACTCATTTTATTGTCTGGAAACCCATCCAGAAAATTCCAAAAGCTATCATAAATAACATGTGTCTTTTATAATCATACCACATTCAACAATTTCTTTATATAATTACTCAAAAGGCTTCAAACTATCATATTTCCATGTTCTCTCTTGTATATGTGTTCTCTGTTTTGTAAACAATGAATTAATTGCTTCAAGTTAAACGTTTTGTAAATATGTTAATATGAAATGTTCTGGAAAGCTTTCCTGAAAAGACACAAATTCTTCATGAAATTAACAAAACCACACACTTTCACAAGAACAAGCAATAACAGTTTGATTTGTTCATCATGAGTCCTATGAGATTTATTTCACTTCCTGGTTATTATCAAATTATTAGTGTTTCCAAATCAAGCTTCTTACATCGTGGTTCATCCTCATTTGATTGGAATCATGAAGATATTGGCAAATGTCCAAAAAGACTCAACTGGAATCACATGATTAGAAAGTGGGATAGCTTCTTCGTCATGAGTCCTGTAAGATTTATTCAACTTCATGGTTATTATCAACTGATTAGTGTTTCCAAATCAAGCTTCTTACATCGTGGTTCATCCTCGTTTGATTAGTTTTATACATCTTACATCTTTTCACACCTTTTTGTGTGATTTTGTATGAATTTCTTCTTCTGAGACTATTCATGATACTTTTCCTAATATGTAATAAACCATCCAAAAATTCAAAATTTGTAGGTTTTTCTTGATTTATTTAGTATTAAAAAGCCACCTTCTGATAAACACATCTTGAACGGATTGTCTAACATTCTTTACATGCTTTTGATTCTCTACGAAAACAGACTTATGCAAAAAAACACAATCATTTTTTTTTGGAAACTCATCCTGAAAGTGCCAAAACTATTATATACCACATTTAACACTTTCTTAATAGAATTATTGAAAATTCTTCAAGATTTTTTTTTTAAAAGTATATGTCTTTTGCTTACTCACTTTATTTTCAGGAAACCCATCCTAAAAATGTTTCAAGACATCCTGAAATTTCTTCAATAACAACTTAAATGAAACAAACGTTGTCATAATTCATTACAAATTTCTTACTTGTCCAAGTCAACATCAAAGTTCAAAAACATAGTTTAGGCTAAAACAAAAAACGAGTGTGACCCAGCCAAAAAAGATACTTAAGCTCAGGCAGTGCTACCATTTCAGGTATTGAATCTCCCATCGTGTTGCCGTGCTGCATAACCAAGCCAAATTTTTTTTTCAAATTTTCTGGAAAGCTATCCTGAAATTTTGAAACACCTTCCTGAATTTTAAAAAAAAAAAAACCCCCACAAAGTTTCACAAGCAAATTCTTCTAAGTCACACTCAGAAACACTGGGATTGCAGATAAAATACCACCACATAATCAACATTATCTAGAAAAAAACACAATCAAAGGTACATTACCTCCATGTAGTAGTCTTTATCAAACAGTCTATTGAGATATTGAATCTCCCATCATGTTGTTGTCCTGCATAACCAAGCAAAAAAAAAAAATCAAATTTTCTGGAAAGCTATCCTGAATGTTTGAAACACCTTCCTGAAATTTAAAAAAAAAACAGTTTCACAAACAAAAACAATCTTCTAGAAATTTCATAAGATAATTCACGATCCTACCAAATATATCAATATGTGAAAGCCAAACAAGTAACCAAACAAAAAGAATTTCAAATTCTTAACACCAAATTTTCTGGAAAGCTTTCCGGAAACTTCACAAATCTTTCCTGAAATTAATAAAGCCACACAGTTTAACAAGTACAAGCAATCGTCTAGAATTTAAAAACAAATTCATGTGCCTACCAGAGATATCAATATGCATAGTAAACCAAATAAGAAAGCAAGCAAAAAAAATTAAAAATTATTAATATTTGATTTTCTGGAATGTTTTCCTGAAACTTTACAAATCCTTACTGAAATTAACAAAGCCACACAGTTTCACAATGTTAAAAGCAATCGTCTAGAATGTAATAACAAATTCATGAGCCTACCAAAGATATCAATATGCATACTAAACCAAACAAGTAACCAAGAAAAAAGTTTTTCAAATTTGTTAATATAAAATTTTCTGGAAAGCTTTCCTGAAACTACACAAATCATTACTGAAATTAATAAAGCAACACAATTTTAGAATTTCGAAAGCAAATTCACACTCAGGAGTACTAGGACTAGCTGGGGCTCGAGAATAACATATAATGTAACTCAACTGTATCTAGAAAATAACAAAATCAAAGGTACACTCAGGAGTGTTCTGCATTTGGAACAAGGCAAAACATGTTCTGTTTCAAACATAACTCCATAAAGCTTTTTTCTAGCTTATAATATACTCAAATAAGACTAATAGGTTTTGGCTCTGTTTTAACCATGATCTCGGAAAATGATAGTATTTCTGTGTAGGCTGGTCACAGCCAGAGAGGAACTTGTTCTGTTTGTATGCACCGGTGTAACTACAGTGACCATAGTCACCAGCTGCAGTTGCCGTCCAGTATCTACCAATGCTCTCACCGTTCACCCATATCTGACCTTTTCCCATACTTTCCATGTCCAAAGAAAGTGGCTCGTCTCCCTCAGGCGCATCAAAGTAAGTCTGAAAAAAACAAAAGGGGATCATCAGTTCAAGATTAAAAAAAACTTAAAGCAGCAGACGAGAAAAAAAAAAGAATACTAACTGATAATCCAACAGCAACACTTAGCAAAGCAATTATGTGAGTTCCAGAATGTAGATTGATCTTTCCCATATAAGTGAATCTCCTGTATCTAGCTGGGGCTAGAGATAAGCGCAAGACTTGAGTGTTCTACACAGCTCAACATGATAATTAATCATATTTCTCAATCAGAACTTAAAAAAAAAAGATAGAAAGACTTTGACATATACCCAGAACAAAAATAAAGAGGATAAAGCTCTGTACATGAAGATTTCTGAGACTCCTTCTTTGTAATTATGATTATGTTCTATCTGTTTGATTTGAACAACAAAACAAGCTCATATATATTATCCAAAGAACAACAAATCGAAACCCCCAATTTTCAGTTCAAAAACTCTAATTTCTTTTTTAAAGAATAGAAAATCCCCAAACTTTGAATCAAAAACCCTACTTTCAAAAACTTACATAATGACTCGTCTCTAGCATGATTTGTCACCGATTTTGATTGTAAATAGTGTGATGGTGATTGTCATCGGCGTATTCGTCTCCGGCGTCTCTGTCTTCGTGATGGAGAAACTGATCCCAAGAGAAGACGACGAGAGAGGATGACTAGTCTTTTTTTTTATTTCAGGGTTGTATAGTCTTTTAATCCATTAATGATTGTTATTTTTGTCACTTTTCCCTTCTAGTGCTCTTTTGGGGATAAAAACTTCAAAGAGGCTATTATGGAGAATTGCCCATTTTGTTTCTCTGACATCTAAAATATTTAATGAGTATTTAATGAATTAAAAAGAGAAAGGATCGCAAAAGGATGTTCTTTGAATCGAGAAAACACAAAAGGTAAGTATTTAAATGGATTTCCTTTTTAGTAGTGTCGATGGTAAAGATAAATCAAAAATAAATTCTAAAAAATCAACCAATAGAATCGCTAGAATTCTTATGAGAAGGGCTGTGTGAGTGCCACCTGGCAAATGTACTTCTCTTTTAATATATAGAGGGATTAGACAAATTAAAGTAAAAATTAAATAAAAATAACTAAAAAGGAAAATACAAAAAATAATTGAGAACTACTTTAGTGCTAAAGTACGAATGACAATTTTCTTAAGCTGGAAGTTCTTATAACTGATTTTCATAGTTAAGTATGGATGATGGATACAATACTCCTGATGCTACAAGAGCTGTTGCAAGAAAACCAGATACTACAAGAATTGTTGCAAAGGAAATAGTCAAAGACAGCCAAGGTCGTTATAGAATTAATCATGGTAGGCAATTTAATCATATCTAAAGAAATATACAATATATATATATATATATATATATATATATATATATATTTTTTTTTTTTTTTTTGTCAGAATTTCATAATCAAATGTAGGTCTTCTTGGTTTTGGTCGGAGTAAATATGTATATTCTCAACGCGACCATTCTCCCCTTCTCGTGAAAGCATGAGTATGGAAGCATCGGAGCTACATGATTCTCTTTAACCTCGAAGACATGCTAATTCTATGGACATATGTTTTTTTTTTTCGTCACACTTTAATCTAGAGTCGAAAACTAGTTAGGTGCTGGAGTTGATGATCACAAAACTAAGAATTGGATCCTCAACTGAATCCAGGGATTATTACAACTAAATGTTATTTGTATAACTAAAAGCAAATATGAATTGCAAAAAAGTCGGTTCGAGGACTGTTGAGATAGAAACTAATATTACATATTGCGATTGCTGACATGAAGGGATTACTGGCTTCGGTCCTAAACCTCATATTATTAAAAGAAAAGCTATGCAAGAATATAAATCCCTCAGAGAAAACAAAATCAAGAAAGTCCTAAAGCATAGGAAAGAAATCGGTGAAGGCAGAACATGGGTCAAACACAAGAGTGTATGTCTCATCACACAGACACTCTTGTGTTTGAGTCAGAGGAGATCTTATGCAAACGTCATAGCCAAAGCAGTTAGTCTCCTCCATCCAGTTAGTGTTAGTGCCTTCTTCTCCATGGCTTTCTCTCACTCCTGTAGACATAACTGGCTTGTCCGAAGGAGCTTCCACTGACTCAGTTGCGTTCTGTTTCCTGGAATTGGATTTCTTGTTCAAATGTGTGTTCCAGTAGTTCTTGACTTCGTTGTCAGTCCTACCTGGAAGTCTACCAGCGATCAAAGACCATCTAATACAAGAGAAAAAAGCAGAGTTAGTAATTAATAAAGTGATCAATGCTTAGGTGAAAAAAAAAAGATGAAACACCGGTTCCCAAGAAGCTTATGCATGCGGATGATGAGGTCTTGTTCTTGAGGTGACATGCCTCCTCTTTTGATATTTGGTCTTAGATAATTCTTCCACCTCAACCTACAGCTTTTGCCACTTCTCTTCAACCCTGACCGACGAGAGATGTCTGCCCAGTTTCCTTCACCATGAGTATCAACACAGTTTCTCAAAATCATGTCTTCCTCAGGTTTCCACAACCCTCTTTTCACATGAGACTTCCTTTCTTCATCATCTTCCCTTTTCTCCATTTTTTATTCTTTTGCCTCCACAGTTTGTGCAAGTGAAGCGTGTTTGCTATAAAATGCGCATAAAGTGCAACTTTAACTCTTACATGTGGGGGCTATATAACATAATTATTGAAGGGGAAAAGTGTACTTTTCAAACAGTAAAACTACTGTAAATTTCGTGCATAAACTATAGCTGTAAAAAAAGCTAAAAGCTCAGCTTCCTTTGTCTTTATCCCTCACTATTGTTACAAATTATTGGCGCTTTATGGCAAACATATAAACAAGGGCAGATCAGAGGTTGGAGATTGCCATCAACCTCGATACCTACGCAACTCCATTACCACTTAGTCTCTTACTTCAGTCACAGTGGTATTTTATTCCTTCTCTGTATATACCAATTCCAATAAGCGATCTCTTTTCTGTGTTAGTGCGGAGACATCTGCATCAAAGCTACAAGGCCCTTATAGAAAGCGCTCCAACATATTCAAAATTGATTTATACAACTTACAAAACAGCTGCGAAGAAAGTGCGTTTACAGCTGTTGCACTTCAACAGTTCTTTATCGCTCAAAATGATAAATGATGTGCAGTTTCTATGTGTTTGCTCAAAATGCTAGTTTGGAACGTACATGGCCAAGACTAGTGTATAAAAATGAACTAATATCAAACATCCAGTATACATATCAGACATATTAACGAAAAGAGACATACCACTAAGATACCTATTTGAGTGATCTATATACATATCCAGGAAATCCTCACGTTACTTAGGACGAGCAAGGTAATACGGAGTGGTCATCAACAACCGTCATTGGTCGTTGAGTACGGGTTTTTGGTTAGTATTAGTAATGTTTCTATAGAGTATTTTATCTTATTGACAATATCATAATATGAATGTCACGTTTTAACCTTGTATTACTTTATATACAAACAACATTAGAGCTAATGAGGTCTGGGTTACCGGATTCATCCAGTAATTTCTCAAAATAACAAAGAAACAAGATCTCTCTGCCCAAAAAAGAAAAACAAAGAAATAAGATGTTTCAGAAAAGATAATGGACAATCATCCACCCCCTTTCTTCTCCCTCGACTCTTTCGACTAAAAAAAAAACCAGTGATTGCCTCCGGCGCGTCTCTGCGCGTGCGACCGTCGGAGGGCTTTTCTTCCCCTTTTATCTCCTTTTTTCTTTGCTTCTTCCTCCCTTTCTCTTCACCGTTCGTCGATATGTCAGTTTCTGTGGTAGGTTAGTCAGATCCGGGTTCCTAGGCCGGAGTTTGTGCTGCCGTCTGGAGAATCTACGAGGCGCGGTGGCTTAGGGGTAGAAAGGAGTCGGCTTTTAGGGTTCGAACCGCGGCGGATCTATTTTTAATTTTCAGATCTCGTTTTTGGTTCGATGCTGTGATGGCGCGTGATGGTGTTGGAGGCTCTCTCCCTGAGCTTCACATGTTACTTCAGTCTTTCCTGGCATAGACTAAGCGACGACGGTCGTGTGGAGTGGTTTTGTTCGGCGTGCTGGACTCTAAGGCTCGGTGTCTTGTCTTCGGTTCTGGTTCTGCTGGTGGCTCGACAGTGACTCCATGGTGTGGAGGCGTGTTTCCTCGTGGTCTCTGTGGCTGTGTGGTCGTGGGTTCACGGGGGTTTCTGCGCGTGTTGTTCTTGTGGTGGGGGAGACGATGTCGTCTATGGCAGATTATCCCTTTTCCTCTGAGATTTCTCCCTGTCTGTCTCTTCCCTTCATGAATCATCGTCATGTTCTCAAGTCTGTTGGCTTGAGTTTTTGCTTCCGTTCCGCTGCTTTGTTTCCTCTTTGTTCCCCAACAAACGGAGCTTACCGGCGTGTAGAAGACTGGAGTTGGGTTCTCCAATCCAGGCTGGAGCGTATGGAAGTGTTGTCGGGTCTGTCTACTTGGCTTTTTCCAACGAGGGGATCCGGTGGGAGGGCAGTCATCCCAGTGTTTTGGTGGCTTATTGGCTACTGGAACAGACTATCCCTCTTCTTCTATACGGAATTGGAAGCCTTGATGTTTGGTTTGTCGTCATAGCATCCCGTTTTTGGTTGTTCTTACTTGTTGACTACAGGTTGGCGGGTACGAGCACCGGCGTCTAGTGGTTGGTCAATGGAGCTCGAGGCTATGGTATGCACTACTTAGTCCTTCCTCTGATTGATAAGCGCTTAAGGTCAGTGTGTAAGCAAGCTTGGTGAGATCGTCATTAGCCAGCTACTCTTGTGATGACACGCAAAGACCGGCATCCGAGGCAACGAGGTAAACCTCGCCCTTTGCAGTGGTTACCATCATAGGCTGAGAACGGTTATAGATAATCTAAAGATCTCGGAGCACTCTAGCGGAACGTGTCGGTTTGGCGGGCGAACGAAGTGAAAAGTGTAATGTGTTGAATTAGATAATTTTGTTCGATCCAAGCTTGTAAACATCACTTGAATCCCCGGTTTTCGGGTTGTTAATAAAAGTAAATATATTATTAAAAAAAAAAAAAAAAAAAAAAAAAAAAAAAA